GTCCCAAACATGTCTGGATGGCACCTGAATGTGCTCCTTGGTGTGCATGGAGCCGCTTCAATGCTTCACGTAGCCTGCAGAGTTTTGACCGAATACAGCAGAGCCAACAAGCTGCCCAGGTACATCTTAAGTTATGCAATCTCATTAGCAAACTCCAGGTTTCTGAAAATCGCCATGCTCATCTTGAGAATCCCTGGACATCAGCTCTGTGGTCACAAAGGGCTGTTGAAGAATTTTTGAAAGCCTCGCTTCCCGCTCGTTTAGACCAATGCATGTTTGGTCTGAAACATCCAGAGAGCCACGATCCAATGGAGAAGAAAACCCGGATCCAGACCACGTCCCGTGAAATGTGGAAAGAACTGGATCAGAGAACATGTTTGCATGAGCATGCCCATGCCCATATTTCCGGGCAGTGCACTTTCCGAGGACATAGCATGCCGGTATCCAAGTTTGCAGGTTTTTATCCTAGGGGTTTCGCCAAAGCTGTCATAAAAGGGATTCTAAGAACTCAACATGGTCCCATGGAACAACCAGTTTTGCATGTAGAAACACTAGAGCCACCTGCAAAAAGGGCTCGCATGTCCAAAGAACCAAGTGGGGAAAATAATCCAGAGCCATCTCCATGGAAGGAAATTTTTCAGATGTTGCAAACCGCTCTTCCGAAATCAGGTGTTAAAGATTTCACTAATCCCATGCATGAAATTTTTCAAGCCGTTCAAGGAATGATGCCAACTGCCAACATAGGTGTTCTCAAGGCTGGGAAAGGTCTGGACCGATACATCGCCGGAGAGAGCATTTGGCGTGAAGAGTTCCCGATTAGACACACGATCATTTGGCACAGGACCTCTCGAATGATTGAAGATCTAGGTCAGGAAAACTGGATAAACCTATCCAGGTTGCAACAACACCGACGAGCCAAACCTAGCCATATCATGTTATGCATTTTTATTGGAAATGGTCCTGTGGTTTCCCAAAGTGCCAATTCTGGTCCGGACGAAGCTCTTGATCAGATCCGTTCCCATGCCATGCCTGCCGATGCATCAATTCAAGGAACAGTCCCTTCCGGACAAGGTATCTGTGCCGAGATACCACCATGGACACCATTGTCAGCCACAGTATCAGGACCAAAGTTTCTATCCCTTTCAAGTGCTGATCAAGGGAAAATCCGAAAGCTCCATAGGAACTTAGGACATCCAACATCCGAGAAACTGGCACGACACCTTGCCGAAATGCATACTGTTCCTCAGCTGATTGAGGGTGCCCGAGACTTTCAGTGCGAATCATGCGCCGAGAGACATGCTCCACAAAAGGCAACACCAGGTAACCTGAAGGATCCTATGGAATTCAATGAAAAAGTTTCCACGGATGGTTTTGATTGGAAAAGTCAAAGCGGTTTATCAGCATATGTTCTTCACATTCTTGACGATGCAACACGTTTTCATCTAGGAATAAGAACACAAAGAGATAGCCAGCTTTTAACAAAGAATTTCAAAACTATGTGGATGAGTTGGGCAGGTGTACCCTCTCAGGTCATGCATGATCAGGGAGGTGAGTTCATATCTGAGGAGTGGAAAAGCTTTCTCCAGGAGCATGGAATGCAATCAATTCTCACTACGGCCCCATGGCAAAGAGGACGTATCGAGAGACATGGAGGGGTGATTAAAGAAATGCTTGATAGGATAGATCAAGAACAGCCAATAACAAATCTCAAGCAATTTGATGAAGCCTTATACCAATGTTTTCATGCAAAGAATACGCTTTCCATCGTCCAAGGGTATAGTCCCGAGCAAGCCGTACTAGGGAAGGCATCCAAACTTCCAGCGTCAATCGTGTCAGACGAAGATCTGACTGCACATTTGACTTGTGATGGACAAGATCTTGCCTCAAACAGGTTCAAAGAGAAACTTGAACTTCGTGCTCTAGCAAGGTCTGCTTTCTCCAAAGCTGACAATAGCGCAGCCATCAGACGTGCGCTGAGCCACCAATCTCGCGGTGTTATGCACAGTTGGTCATGTGGTCAGCTATGTATGTATTGGGACAAAAGAAAGGCGCCCAACATGTTAGAGAAGGGACGATGGTGTGGGCCAGCGCAAGTCGTATGTTCAGAATCCCGGACTGTTGTCTGGATCTCCCACCTCAATCGACTTTTGAGATGTGCACGAGAGAACCTGCGACCTGTCTCCCTGAGAGAATTCCAGAGACACTCTACGTTTGCTCAAACATCTACCCAAGATCAATTGAATAGCATGGCTCAGCAGCTCAGGGAACGCCTTAGAGAACGCAGTGGAATGTTTCAATATTCAGATCTCAGTAACATTGGCCCGGTCGATAATCCCGAAAATAATCCTTCAATAAATAATCCCGATAACCAAAATCAACATAATCCCAATCAGAACACACAGCCTGAAGAAGAACCAAACAGAAAGATCTCTATAGATATCACCACCGATGCAGAAAGACTCAAAATAGCTCAGGAGACACCAGTTCCTGAATCGCCTGCGTCTGCACCACCTGTCGGAGGTAGTTCACAGTATGAAGCCTCAAATGGCCCAACCCATTCTGATACGGACGAAGCCAGAGGTTCAGGTGACGATCCAATGGAAACTGAAGATGGGACTTCAGGTAATGTGACCATGGAACCCGTATACAATGCCGTCATGTTGGAAAATGCCCAGAATTCTGACATTTTGGTAGAAGATCAAGAATCTCATTGGCATCGACCTGATCAGTATGAGGTCGCCTGTGCTTCATTCTCTTTTGAGATCCCAAATCAACAGTTCCGAAAGTTCCTGCGTCAACCCGAGGAGCATCTTGACTGCCTTGTGGCCGCTGCAAAGAAATCCCGCAACGAGGTGGTATATCAAGATTTGACTCCCGAAGAAAAGAAGCTTTTTCAAGCAGCCAAATGTAAGGAACTCAAGTGTTGGCTGGACACAAATACTGTCAAAGCTATCATGAGGGATAAAATACATCCAGGCCGAATAATGTCATCTCGATGGATATTGACTTGGAAAGAGGATCCCAATTCTTCCAGTGGGAGAAAAGCAAAGGCCCGATTAGTAGTCAAGGGTTTTCAAGATCCAGACATAGGAGAACTATGCTCTGACTCACCAACTTTAACAAGGGATTCCCGAATGCTACTTCTCCAGACTATTTGCAGCAAAAATTGGGTAGTTCAATCCTTTGACATAACCACCGCATTCCTGAGAGGAAAATCGGATGACCGAGAATTGGCCATGGAAGCACCTCATGAGCTTAAGGAAATGATGAACATGGATAAGTCCCAAGTGTGCTTACTTCAAGGAAATGCCTATGGTAGAGTGGATGCTCCGTTGCTTTTCTACCGTGAGTTTAGAAAGAGACTTGAAGAAGTTGGTTTTACCGCCCATCCCTTAGACAATTGCCTGTTTCTTTTGCGTAATGAAAAGGACCCAACTCTTTTGGATGGAATACTTGGAACCCATGTAGATGACGGTATTGGAGGAGGTAACCATCACTTTGATAAGGCTTTGGAAAGACTTCAGAAAACACTGCCGTTTGGATCAAGAGAATATTCCAAATTCAAATTTACCGGACTTGATATAGAACAACTACCCGATTACTCCATCAAAATTAACCAAGGAAGATACGTACACAAAATTTCCCCAATTGATATTTCCAAACTACGCAGAAAAGATGAACAGAGTCCAATTACCAGCCAAGAGATGACACAGCTCAGAGGTCTCTGTGGAAGCCTTCAATATGCTGCAGTCCACTCCCGACCAGATATAGCTACTAAGGTAGCAAACCTCCAAAAGGGGATCACCAGTGCGACAGTCGGCACACTTCTGGAAGGTAACAGAGTCCTAAAGGAGGCACAACAGTTTGCAGAAACATCCATCATTGTTCGTCCGATTCCCATCAACGATGTTTGCTTTGCTAGTTTTGGTGACGCCAGTTTTGCCTCTGCCAAACAATTGAGTGCACAGCAAGGTTTGTTCATAATGGCTTGTACCCCCAAACTTTCTGTGAATGAAACTTCAGAGTTTTCTCCGATAGTCTGGCATTCAAAACAAATTGAGAGAGTAGTGAGATCAACCCTTAGTGCCGAAGCCTATTCGATGTCGAGCTCGCTCGATAAACTAACTTGGATAAGAAGTATGTGGGGTTTCATCCGTAATCCAAATTTTGAATGGCATCGACCAGAAATTGCACTTGAAAAGGAACATAAGGGTTTGATGATCACTGACTGTAAGTCGTTGTACGACCTCGTGACCAAAAATGCAGTCCCTAACTGCCAAGAATGGAGGACTACAATAGAGGTCATGCTTTTGAAAGAGCAATCCAAATCACATACAACTTGTCGCTGGGTTTCCACAGCAATCATGCTTGCAGATTGTTTAACCAAAGCAATGGACGCTACCTTTCTCAGAACTGTTCTTCACCTTGGAAAGTTCCGCATATACGACGAAGACCTGACGCTCAAACAGAACGCCACCCGTAAATTTGGGGTAACATGGATAAATGATAAAATGGGGTATTGAGTAACAATCGAATTTTAAAGAGTGACCAGTGTGAATTTTGCCAGTGTCCTGTCTTCCATTCGATTGTGCATCTCCGAGGGGTTTCTGGATGCAGCCGCATCTTTCGAACATACGTGGCTCAAGTCCACGGGTGTTGCAGGAAAACGGCGGCGGGGACGCCATTTGCGCTTGTGCGTTGGGTGAAGGAACCATTTGTTTGTCCAGGTGAATTACTAGATCTTTTGGGAAGACAGAGGACTGTCTATTGGTGATTTCTGGTGATCTTACATAGATCTTGGTGGTTGGATACAAAACATCCTATCTCTTTGAGGCCAAGGAGGTGACTGGGTGTGGGAGCTACCAGTGTAGTGGTCATTCCACTTACATATATACACATATATATATATACACATATATATATACACACACACATACACATATATATTGCTTTCACTGTTCACAGAAGCATGACTCAATGGAGAAAAAGTCTCGACTGAGGTTATCAGTTCCATCACATCATCCATGACCAAGCTTGACTTGCTCACAGTTCAAAGGTGAGGGACACGGTTCCACATCAGGGGTTCACATAGCTGGGAGACTTTTTCTCAAGTCGTTTGGAGTTTCAACGCTCAGGGATTCCAAGTTGACCGCGCTCAAGCAGTACCTGAGTCTTGGCAATGGACTAGTGCGAATATAATGCGAATACCGTGCGAATACAGGGTGAATAAATCTTCACTCACATGACTCTGTTCCCTCTCTGACAGTTGCCAGTTCTTCCAAACGAGACAATATTTTTTGCGCTTTTGAATCAATGACTTGGCAACTGCAAAGGTTTGACAACAACATCTCTCCACGCAACTTGGATGTGGCACGAGTCTTTTTATGTCTCAATCCCCTCTTTATATGCACGAACTGCTTGAATTTTTTTTGATCTCCATGCATAGTTCAGATGATGTCCTTGTTTAAACTGCTGTTGACGTGTGGGAGAAACCAGAAAACGTGGACTGAGCAAGCCGAGATAGAGACAGCTACATTTTACCTGCTTATCGAGGAGGGTGAGCTCAACACACAGAGCCAAACAAATGCACCAACAGAGTGTTCTGAGGCCTCACTCTACGCATTCAACGCAGTGTTGTAATGGCAATTCAGGATTTCGCACACTGGGAGACTGGGAGACAGTGAGAGGTCCGAAAAAGTTGTAATGATCCTGGCCTGGATCGAATGGCAATGGCAAGTTAGTGCAGTTAGTGAGACTCAGTCAGACTCAGTCAGACTTCCTGGAGGTGGAATCCCTCGCCCGAAGTCTTCAAAAGAATTTTGCTCCAGGAGCAGGAACGTGATGTCCCAGAGCACAAGGTTGAGCTTCTGAACTTGGCAGCCGAAAGCCTGAAGAGCGATCTGCACTTCGAGAGGCTGCAAGTGGCAAGTCCTCAAGCATCAGTTGCATCCATTGTTTCTTCAAGCTCAGAGCTTTAATGGCAGTTGAATCTTTATATACTCGACCTGATCAAATGTGTTGTTATGAATCAGACACGGCAGATGCAGGTATATGCCGCTCTTGGCTCAGCATCCGCTATTTGGATTTCTTCAATTCCTTGCAGAGGATGTCATGCGTCGCTTCTGCCATACTGCAATTTCCAGGCAGGGCAGAGCTGGGGGATAGCAAGTGAGGAGCAATCTTTGGATTGGTACTACTTGACAGTTTTGACTTTGGAACTCGGTTCAAACCTTTTTTTGGCAAGGATCTCGATAGCGCCAAGTGAAGCCTCTTGGCTGCTGCAGACGACCGGTTCAGAGACTTTGAACTCGCAGAATTTCAGAATCTTTTTATAAAAAAGCAGCCAAGCAGCTTTGCCCGAGCTGTTTAGGATGCTTTGCTGTGGTCTTGACGGTTGATGCTGCGCATAAGTCACCCTTTTTTCCGTTTTCGCAGACCTTCACCTGGCGGTTTTGAAATCTGCGAACCATTGTTGCCGACATGAGACACGGCCGCCATAGCCGCCGGCACACCACGATCTCAGTTTTGCTCCCAGGTGATCATTTCGAATGATACCAACCTGGAGCAAACCGATATGTTCTTCTTGGAGTCTGGCACTGCATCGTACGTGAGCAGCTATCAAGGCTGACCTGATAGGACATTTTCACTTCTTTGGCCTGTTGTCTGGGACGTTACAAGAATGGCGAAAGCAATGATGTTTTTAAATGGCAAAGCCTTGACTTGAAGTTTGAAATGTTGAAGCCTGGAAAAGCAAGCACTGACATAGAACAATCAGAAAACATGTACTGACTGTTCATTTCTCCTTGTTGTGCCCTCGGAAGAAGTACTGTGTGGCCATGGATTGCCATCTATGGATTGCCATCTATCAATTGCTGTCAGGTCACATCACCATTAGCAGCAATAGCCGCTTTCCGTGGCTCTGTGAGCCAGCCCTTTGGACTCACTGGTGCCTCGGCGAACACAAGCCCTGAGCCTTTCTGTATCTGTGGCCTTTCGGGGATGTGGCTGTACGTCATGTTTTTTCATTTTGTGTTGATTTTAGATTTGTGCTTTTTAGTTGTGTACACACCTGCACGCTGTGTTTGTTTTCAGAGAATGTCTGTAACGGGTCTGACAATTCAAAGAGACTCGCCAAAGGCCTAGAGGATCGGAAGCCAAATGTTCTTGGCCTTTCCTCTAAGGACAAATATTGGTGCATGCTTGGCGAAGACGCATTGCTCACTACTTCGCATTGATGGTCTCCAGTTCAGGCTGGAGTTTTAGATGTTGGTTAAACGTCACCAAAGATGCGACATGATGCAGCTATACGGAAAGATTTCTTTGGTTGAAGGGTGTGAAATTGGACAAAGGCGTCCAGTGTAGCAGTTTCGCAGGCAAGTGGCAAAGACCGCAGCACATCCGGACAGTCTTTGCGATGCTGACGTTGTCTAAGGGAAAGTACTTAACACAGGTTTGAGGGAAATTTTGCAGCTTTTTTGCGATGCACAGAAACGGAGACTACTGGCACACTGTCCGGGTAGATCATCCTGCTTCATCCCCGCATGCATTATCAGTATCATTGCAGTATCATTATGACATCAAACAGGTCAAGCTTTTGATGGTAATGCAGCGGTGAGTTTCAATGAGAGGGTGAGAGAATGTGGAGGACTTCCTGCCAGTGATTCGCACATATTCAGAAAAGTTCATTGCAACTCTCAACGAACAAGAGCCTGAAGATTTGACCGACTTGTCGCCGCCTTATGTGACGTCGACATGGTTGTGTTTTGCTTTGTTTCCTTAGCTAGAGTTTGATGCAGCTCAAATGCACCTGTAATCTTGTAAGCGGTGCTTTCCAGGCACGACTACTCCGACTTTGATCTGGAGACCGTTCTCTCAAGTACCCGAGAAGACACCCAGACCGAAATGGCAAATTCTCGACGAGCTGCCAAAGTGTTCCTCCAAAAGTCGAAACTTGCCAGCATGTCTTCAAGACGCTATATTTTAAGTGTCAAACACTCTAAGGATTCTAAGGTAACCTTTGCATGCAACTTCTGTCGCAGGGCACATGATGTAGTTTCATGCCACTTGAGATCAAAATAAGCCTTGATGGAAAGGGATGCTTCCAACTTTTTACGGATCTGTGTCGCTCCGTGAGGAAAAGGAAGAGTTGGTTGGGACGAGTGACGGACTCGAGAAGTGGACCCAGAAAGAGCTGATTTCTGAGCATTCGTGGCCCCCAGTTGCCAGTGTTCTGACGTTTTTGCATAGACCACTATTCACTCCCAGAATTGGGCCGTGCTTTTCCATCCATGGCATCCATGGTCTGGTTTCACTCTGTGTTCTCGTTTGAGCAATGGTTCAAAGGATCCTGAACAAATACCACTGACCTTGCTCGTTGCGGAATCATTTATCAGAATCATGGTTGTACCGAGTGCAGCCATTGACTCTATGCAGCAATCGAGCGAAAAACCTTGCCACCTCAGATTGCTGATGAACAGCTTGCAGAGCATTCCCAAGCATGGCAGGTGTGTCTCTGGGATCAAATTGTCTGTCCAGGCCACAGGTCATAAGATCAAGTACATCCCAGGCAGCTTGTCTGAGTATTGGAGGTATTGTTGACTGCATTCTTCCTATGCTGACACTTCAGTACTTGAACATCTTCCCGAATCGAAGGATGGGACTGCCATGGTCTCCCTATTGAGCTGAAGGTGCTTGGATGCGGTGTCATTTGGACATTTGGACATTGTGATTGTTGTGAAAGAAACAAGGAATGTACCAACTCGCCAACTTAATCAGCAGCCATCACATCGGATTATGTTTCTTGCTGACCTTGCGTTGAAGCAGAACTGACCATGTGGTTGTGTTGTGATGTGTTGTGTTAACAATTCAAAATGTCTCGCTCCGTAACATGCAGGTCCTTCAGAGCCTCAAGTCAAAGGACAAGAAGGGACTCACTCCTATCAAGCCAGAGCCAAAAAGCCACCGCACGCCACGGCAGAAAACCGCAGAGACAAACGTGTCCTCTAAGACTTTACGCAACTTTGTGCGCAAGTCCAGCATTGCTGCTAAAATAACATACGCACGAGAGCCAAGGCTGCGTGAGCAGGCAGCCAAGTTTGCTCAGGAAACAGTCAAGGAGCAGAGGCCTGTCTTCCTCCCTGACTTATTCGCATGGTGTTGATGAGACTGGATCAGCGGGGCCTGTTTAAATCCTTTTGGACTGTTTTGTGGATGGGTTTGAAGATTGTTTCTTCTGCCTATGTTTTCCAAATTTTCCAGCAAGGACATCCTTCCAGCGATATGGTGTTTGGGGTGATTTTGACGAGCCCTACTTGACTCTGCTTCCAAAGTATGAAGCAGCACAGTCGCTGTCTCAGGTAAGAACCCGATTTGTCCTTCTCAAATCGACATTCCAAGACCTTTGGGAAGATTGCAAGCCTGGCAATTCTAGAGAATGCTGAGTTGAAAAAGGAATGTGATCTTAGGCAAACCGAGGCTGTTTCATTAGAGATAGATCTCGACAGTAAAAACACAGATTCGCCAAGGCTTCGGATTTTCGAGGCAAGCTGGATACTTTGCCGTTTTTAGCGGTGACGCAGCTGGCTGAGAGCTTGAGGGTGTTGCAGGAGATGGTACGTGGTGGCCACATTTACCGTGGGAGGCACTTGGCTTGTGTCGCTCTCTATTCCGCTCTCTCTTTTCAATTTGGATATTTTTCAATGAAACCGACGCGCTCCTTGAATGTTGACAGGAAGCCAGTTTACTGGTCACCATCAACCCGTACAGCGCTTGCAGAGGCTGAGCTGGAATATCCAGAGGCAAGTCAAGCGTTGACTTTCGAGCACAAGAAACAGCAGTTTTCACATGTTTTCACAAGATCTAAATTTTCAGCATCGAAGTTGCAGGACCACGTCTCTCCGTCGATCTACGTGGCCTTCAAGTGCATTGAGTCTCGTTCTCAACACACGGTCTGTCTGTGACGTTGGGTATGGCAGCTTGCCTGGCTCCGCCACAGATCTGTTGAATGACGACTGTTTTGGATGTTCAGGCTTCAAGGTGTCATGAGTGACGACAAGTGTCATATTTTGCAACTGCTCGGATGCCATCCAGCCGCTTTCAGGCTTCCTGAAGACTTTGCCACCTTCAAGGACCTTGAGGTCTGAAATGTTGTGAGTAGAAGAGTGGAAAGTGAAAGCTGTACACAGGAATGATATGGCAACTGAATACTGCACTGATTGAGGAGATGTTCTTTTGGAATCTTTTGGAATAGACTTGGTTGAATGGGTCGACGGGGCCGGAATATTAATTTGAACTCCACATCTTTCATGGATCTTAGCATCCACATTGATCAGTTGGAGCCTGCCCAACAGTTGTTGTTTTTCCGGCCACAGGAGTTGTCTCTTTTATATTCTCTGGGAACGAGGGCAGGTATGGGTGACCTCTTTGTGTTTCAAGGCACTGCAAAAACACGTCTTTTAAAGTGTTCAAAAACTCAAAAACACAGCCCTATATATCCCTATGTAGTATCTACTATTATCTATCTATATCATCTATCATGTTGGCGCCTTGTGATGCGCCGGGCCATCGTGGGATGACCTGGACGTGGCCCAACGCCGGATTGCACTGCACCTTTTCTTGTTTGCTGTATTCGCCGTTGTGCCGTTGTGCAGTTGTACCTACTGTTGCTGGATGCTATTGGATGTTTTTGGCTGTTCTCCTCAAAGCAAGCAATTGTAAAATTGAGCCATGTGTGCATTATTCATGCAATTCAGCATGGTTCTTGCTATTTCGCCTCGTGATTCTCGAGCCTTGATTTCCCAAGTTCTTTCCTATTTCCACTTCCGTTTTTTCTTGTTTTTTCTCGCCCCTCTCTCTCTCTCTCTGTTCTCTAAACTTTCTAAGTTGGGCATTTTTTCCCAAACATTGTGTCCACACTGAGGGGTTCTTACGGTACAGTAGGTGCTAAAGACCGGGCTTAGACCGCAGGCTCACACAAGATGGGCGCCTAGGTTTTGGCTTTTCCGAAGGTCTCGTTCTACTAGCGTGCCGTGCTCGTTTTCTTTGAGCTGTGTCCATTTTTCGTGGCAGGCGTTGTATTTTCGGGACACTTTGAGGTCTGGAACGTCGTTTTGTGTGACAGGCACGGGAAATCGGAGACGGTTTCGTCCTCTGCACGTTGCTGAAATGTTGGCAGGCGTGGGTCAAAATGAGAGGTGGGAGGTCGTTTTCGTGGCAGGCGCAATATTTGGTGAATTTGGAGGAATGTTGACGATTCCGTGTGACTCCTGCTCCTACTCCTTGCTGGAACAACTAGTGTGTTTGGCTGCCAGCAGGGGATGGGAGATAACAGTTCTGTAAGAATGCTCTCCCACCTCACGAAGGAACCAGCAACCCACAGCAATGCCGCCACTGGAAATGGGAAGGGTGGGAACTGGTGCGCACCAACATGGTCAGCATTCTTTTGAACCCGGAGTGGTCGGCCATTTGGCATGCATTTACGGCTCCAAAGCATCGGTCCAGCACTGGGAGAGTTTTATCACTTGTTCTGCCGCGAGACCCCAGTGCTCTACCAAATAGCACACCACCATCTTGGATAGTGACAGCGGGCGTCGGTGTCCACATCTACTGCAGATGAACTGGATGAATTCTGGGATGAGGTCGCTCATGAGACTGCTGCTACCGAAGTTAACTTCAGCCCTTCTTGCACACTCACGCATGCTCTTGGCACACACACTCCTCATATTATTACGGGAGATTGGAACGCACAGCTTTTTGAAGACCCGAATGAGCCAAGTGAAATCATGGGGAGATACACACCTCTTGCCAGACATCACATTGACGAGTATTCAACTAGTAAGGTTCTGTCCCTTGGCCAATGGGTGCATGCCGACAGCCACCGACCTGCCCTAGGGAACAGACACCGCGGCACTTGGTACTCAGCGATTCATCGCAAGTATTATGAGATTGACTGGATGCTAGTTACTTCGCCGTAATCAGTTGTCAAGGCTTGTTAGCATGACTTTGCGACATACTACAGGTGACCTCCAAACACAGCATTCAGCCAAAGAGTACGTGTTGCGGCTTGAGCAAACTCAGCGACATCGGAGCATGACCCGGTCTCCTCGACCGGACTAAACTGTTTTAATGGGTATTTCTGATGCTGCGGCAGAGGCTCGCTACACACATGCAGAAGAGGTCAAACAGTCGTGCGCTAATGAGATGCCGTTCGCTGATTTTCGCAAGGTGGTAGAGCAGAAAGTGCTGAAGGTTTGCGGTGAAGTCAAGCGATCCAGTCGGAAACCCTGGTTGCGCAATGCAGCCGCTTCTGCAGCAGTTGGTAGTCTGAATTCTGAATGTCTTCAATTCCGACAGAACAAGCGATGTTTGCAACTTTGCGCGAGAACCTTGAAGATGAAGACGCTCAACGTCAGTTGGAAGAATGTCGGCGCCAGCACAATAGTTTGAAGAGAAGGAAACGTTGTTTACTTAGGTCTTTGGAAAAGGAATACTGCGAGCAAGTTCTGACTTCCCACACAACACAGGAGGCGGACTCCTTCCAGTTCTTTCAATCATTGCGGTCTCTTCAGAACAGGGGTGTGTACAAAGCGGCCCGACAAAACCCTTTTGGTCCTGATGAATGGCGTGAACATTTTTCGACAATAAGTAGCCAAGCTGACCTCTTGAGTAATGAGGTCAAAGCCTTCATTGACACCATGCCAGTCAGTGATGAGGTCAAACAAAACTCTGCAGATTTGGACGCGGACATTTCAGACGAAGAGATTCATGAAGCCATCCGCAAACTGAGACCGGGTGCTGGCAGTGGCGATGGTATGCCGCCTGTCGCGTTGAAAGACCTACACAAGGACCCAACTTTAGCTACCATGATCTGCCAGTATGTTCGCCAATTATGGCGAACGCCAGCGACACAGTGGCAGCCTTTGGATCTTGATGGCCCTGGTTTGCAAGTACTACTTTGGAAACAGAAAGAGCCCTTCAACAGCATGGATCGATGGCGCGGTGTGGTTGTGCTCTGGACCATCCCTCGAGTCCCAGCAATAGAATGCCAACAAGCGCGGTCAACACTGGTTTGAACAAACTGACCTACCACTGCAAGAAAGTTTTGGATTCCGCAAAGGTTTGGGAACAGATGACGCTTTATTTGTCCTCCGTAGATTTGACGAAGAAGTCTCAGCTTGGCAACGTTTTGGATGGCATGATGCAGTATACGAAGCAGGCCTCATGGACTTTAAGAAAGCTTACCCCACGGCCAACAAACAACCATTTTGGGCAATTGTTACATCACCATGGTATCAGTGCAGATGGCCCCTTTTGTAATGCTCTGCGTGGTTTTCATTGTCACAGGTCCTATTGCATTAAAACTTGCGCAGATACGTCGCCTGCCTCTCTCAGTTCTCCATATCAACCTTCCAGAGGCTTTGGCGAAGGAGATGGAACATCGCCTTGGGCGTGGAATGTGCCATACAGTGGCATTGTTCGCCTGATGGAAAGAGCAAAGAATGGTTGGGAATCAGCATCGTGCTTGGCAGTGGTGTGCACTAGCTTTGTCCACCTTCACAGAAACAATGCCGCTGACCAACAGTGGTGCTTCGGGCCTGGCCAGCCCATCTCTGACTATCCCTCGCAACTCCTGTCCCTTTGAATGGTGCTTGGATGGGTGGGTGCTCAGCGAAGAGAACTTGAAGAGGAGGCAGGCAGAATGTAGGAACATGATGTTGGGGGTCCTTGCGGCTGGACAGACAAGGTGTGCTGCCAGGGAACTTTGCAGAAGAGGTTGGCCAATATGTTGGGTTGGATGAGCGAGACAAAAGGCTCATCACAGCAGCAGGTGACCCTCTAGGAAGAGAAGAAGCAGAAGGCATAGTGCAGCAGAAGTGGACCGTCAAAGGCTGGGTCTTTGTGGCACCTGCTGAGCCACCTTGCCGACCTTTGTGATGGCTGCCTGCAATGAAACATGCAGTGAAAATTGCTTTTGCACTATGTGCTATGCTCATGCTATGCTTAGCTTGGATACGTTTCATCCCAAGTACATGAAGCCTTCGCTGACAAGCTGGAGCAAAAAGAAGTTGTCGCACTTGTGCTGGGGTTTGGCTTCTACATGAAAAGCAGAGGTCACACACGCAGCAAATGTCAAAGCAGCTGCAGGATTAGTGTGATCAGGTTTGAGGGGTTGGGGTAGCAGTTGCAAGAACATGTGGCTAGAAACGTCATGTGCTTTGCGTTCTCACACGCACGCTGGCCTAGTACACTTTCTCCTGCAATTCCACAGATGCATCACGCCCGCTGAGCGTATCTTCACATTACATTGGGGCTGATAACGCCATGTGCTTTGCGTTCTCACACGCATGCTGGCCTAGTGTACGTTCTCCTGCAATGCCACAGATGCATCATGCCTGCTGAGCATATCTTCACATGGGTTGGGTGGGGTGGGGTGGGGCTGATAATTTCGTGGTGTGCTGCGTTGGGTACGTTCGACTGCAATTCCACAGATACTCCTCAAGTTAACAAATTCACTTCGGTATGTCCTGTTCGTTGGAAAAATGTTTCCAAGGTCCAATGTTGCAGGGACACAGATGTTAGAAGTTGGCAAAAGTTGAAAGGCTTTTTGCCAAAGCCAATGTACCTTAAGTACAACGACAAAGGGCAGACTAAGATGCACCCCGGTGTTCCTGAGTATATATTGTATATATATATATGTATAAATATGGTGTTAGAGACAAAGTCTTGGAACAATAACCAAAGAAATTTCTAGCAAAGCTCGAAGAACTGCTGTGACCCACGCCATGAAGAAAAAGCATGCAGAACCGAATTTGTTGCGTCAAACCCATGTTTTGCAACTGTAGCATGGAATAACCATTGTCAAGTGCAAATCACTGCAACGGTGTCCTTCAAACAGTGCCCAAATACATTGAAACTCACAAAACGCTACGGCCGTCTATGCACTGTTGTCCTAGCTGCACATGCTCTGGCAATGTCTGTGCAAAGGGACCTGAAGCCATAGCGGCAAAGGCAGGAACAACCGTAGGTGGTGGTCTTGGGGCAAAGGCCCAGCCAAGAAGGGCAAGGGCAGGAAAGTGATGAAGAAGACGATAGCTACATCCCAGCTGAAGCACTATCAGACTGGTCTTGGGAGGTTCTTGTCCCAAGGTCTTGTAAGATCCTCTCCAGCAGCAGTGGGTTATTTATGACGCTGTTGTGAGATTCTCTGAGGGGTCCTGGCATGAAGATCTTGGTCAAGGTCCTGTACGATTCCTTGTCAGAAGATCTTGTCGTGATCCTGCTGAAATCCTTTAAGAGGTCCTTGCGTGATCTTGTAGAGGTCCTTGTCAAAAGATCTTGCGGAGATCCTGTTGAAATCCTCCTCTGGAGGTCCTTGGGTCAAGATCTTGACAGTGGCCTGCATTGGTGCTTATATGAAAGTTCTTCCGGGATCCTCATAGGAAATTCTTGGATGATGATCTGATGATCTTGTAAGGTCCTCTTGAAGGTCCTTCTTTGATGATCTTTTGAATTTCTTTTCGATGTCCTGGTATGAAGTTCTGTTATGAGGTGCTGATCACGAAAGCTAGCGGTAGCTAGCTGGAGTTACTCTTGCTTCAGCAAGGGGAGGGGCAGGCCTGAGTCCAACACGGTGATTTCTCACTCGAACCCCCCCAAGCTCCCGGGGCATTTTGAAGCAGTCTCGGAAGCAGATGGTCACGGGCTCAAATCCTGCCAGGGCCGTCCGTCTGTAAGTCTCTAGCCTTCTTTGGTTCAGATGTTTTACGACTCAAAGCCGAAGATTACATGCTGTTCAGATACAACCCTTGCGCCCTATGCTTCATCAGAGCATGACATTACAAGCTCGCCGGAGATTCGATCAATTTGGCCGTAGAACCGATAGAGTTCTTTGTGACTCAGATCCACAGTTGAGGCTTTTGACCCCATAAAAAATTACAATCTTGGATGGGGCCCATGCTTTTTACAGTAACCATCTTCTTTGGTTCAGTTGGCTTAATCTCAAAGCGGCAGATTACGTGTTGTTCCGTCTGACACTTTGGCAGTGAGCTCAAAAGCAGCTCCGGATACAATCCTCCCTATCGTTCAATGGCGGTGCCGGCTGCAAAGTCCTAGGTCACTTGCATTTATTTCCTGTATGTTTGCAGCTCTATATACCTCCATCGGATGTCATCAAACGCAGCATGCAACTGCCTTCTACATATGAACCTCTCCATTGTGCAGCTCCTGTGCCTGTATATGCATGTCTATCTCTTTGTGTCGATATCGTGTTCTGATTTTCTTTCTGTAATTTCTGTCTTCATATATAAATATATGTATGTATATATATATATATACACCTGTATTTATTTATACATATCTCTTTACATATGTATTTTATACATGCCCATATCTGTAAATTATTTTCGCTATCTCTCTGGCACGTTTCTAGTGCACGTTCTCCGCCCCAATTCTTTTCACCGCTGTTCCAATTTCACTTCACACTGCCGCAGTTTCACTTCACTGCCGCAAAAAAGGCTCTGGAGACATGCGCGTGCTTTCTACTTCCCTGTTTCCAAGTTCAGCTCATCTATTTCCACATTCATGTGACCCTTAGCTTTCGTTCACACCCTCCTGGGCCTCAAGTGATTAGACATAGCGTTGCTTCTGGCGCCAAAACAAGTTCCTGCTGCTGTACCTGACCTGTTACTGCTCCATAGCTATTGTTGCTTGTATTTGGCACATTATTGTACATTGTTTTCCTACCCCCCACACGGTTCGGGGTCTCTTGCCCGTGTAAATTAAATGGGTCTTGAAATAGTTTGGGGGGTCTGAGGCCAGCAGCTGCTTTCAATTTATATATTTTGCGTAGCGACTCAAGGGGCACGTCGAGCTTATGTACAAATTATTTAAAAACCAGGTTCGAACAGTTGGAAGGTCATGAGTTGTATTGAAACTACGTTGTGCCGCTTGGAAGGTGTTGTTCGCCTCAAACAAGTTGTTAGTACAATATCATTGAATCATGTCATTTTGTCTATCCTTGAACAATCCGAAACACATCAAACACGTTTTGTGTCTTTGTTTTGTTCTCCCCCAGCCCGGTAAAATTCGGACCCGAACCAAAAACCATTTTACAGATCCCACCAGAACTGTATTGTCGTATTCGGGTTTTTCATTCCGTCGCCGACAACGGTGTGAGCGGATTGTTCTTTCTTTTGTCCGCAGTTGTGCCGTTTTTACTTTTGCAAGTGTTTTGGATTATTGCTCGACTAGTTGGATTCATGTCAGAAGATGTGAACATTTCAGTTGGCGGTCTGGACCACGACACCGTGGACAATCCCCGCCAACCGGGTGGGGGGCCCAGTTTGTATCGTGTTTACCCGTGCGGAAAATTGCCCGTTGGACAAGTTTTCAGCAAACCCGAGTTGCACATTATTTCATTTAAGGCAGCGATACCATGTATGGACAATTCGTTCAATCGATTGGTAACAAACCATCCAACTGGGTGGCAAAACCTTCCACAATTCACAAGATGTCGCAAGGTCAGTCATTGTTCTTGTTGTTTCAGAGTCTCCAAAGGCAGTGGCAGTGAATCCCGACCTCAAGTTCCTCGGACAGAATCACGAAGGGCCTGCTGGATCTTTGACACAGAAATATGGCCACAGAAACCAATTTTTTCAAATGTTTTTGAATGCTGTTTTTGTTTTGAATTCTGTTCGAACTTCTCAGGTATTCCATCGTGAAGGCTGAATGGGCGGAATCTGACAGGCAGCTGAAACTTCTATGATTTGTGCAGAGCTCAGACTCCCAAAGCTGACAGCTGCTGCAGGACTCGGCATTTGGTGGTGGCATCTGGCTTGGTGGAGCGACTTGAAGGCCTCCTTGGTGCCACTCTCACAGCAAGGAGCACAGGATTGTGTCAGTCCGACGTGGCGCTACAACCGCGTCATGACATAGTGACAGCACAGTCGTTTTGCTCTTCAAGGTAGAGAAGGAATGTGAAGGAGGCCTTGCTTTCTATTGGTTTAGTGCTTTTGATCTTTTGACGCGGTGAAAACGCTTTCCAATTCCAAGTCGATGTGGAATCTTGACACCAAACTTGTCTAAATAGCTTGCCATCCCAACGCAGGTGCGCTTGAAGGAATCAAATACGAGCACCCAGTCAGTGGCATCGAGACACCCTTGGTGTGGAGCCCATCCTACACCCCCGAATTGAACACCTCATTCTTCGGTGCCTTCAGGTTATTGGTGGTGCCTGTCTCAGGGGTTTGTTAGCAGCTGTGCATGTGGATTCCTTGGAGCCAGCCCATATGGAAATGTCCACACCAAAGCTTATCCCAAAAACTCTCGTTTGCAAGAAACCATAGGAGACTACATCACAACCGAGTCTGGAACTGGACTGGCCTAATGCTCAGTAGCGTTCGGTAAGCTCTGACCAATCAAGTGTGTTTGCCTGTTGCCCCCAACATTTGAGTCTGTGAACACATGTCAGATGTCATCAGCGTTTCGACTGCTGCGGGTGCTTTAGCCGTTGATCCTGTGCTGCGTTTTGGCTTCAGCTTGCGTTCAACCGTGTGTGGGTTCCTGGATTTTCTTGCACCAAACCAAGATGGCACAGCAAATGGTTGGAAAGGCTGCACCGGACATGGCCTTGGAGATTTCCAGGGCAGGTGAGAAGAGCCAGTCCAACCTTTTGTCGCTGCAGAAGCCAGGACAGGCAATGGTGTTGGACTTTTTTGCTCCTTGGTGCAAGGCTTGCCCAAAGGCTGCTCAGCATCTGGACCACTTGGCCGAGAGCTACTCTGAGCGCTGTCAGTTTGTCCTGATCTGTGTGGATGGAGACGTGGATGAAGCCGTGAGCTTTGCTGAGGAACATGGCATCACTCGGTGTGTTGTAGCGTCTGTGGTGGATGAAAATGCACCGGCAAACTACCACGTTTCTGGACTGCCACACCACACTCTCATTGCTCCAGATGGCACCATTGCTCGAAATTATGAGGTGAATCTGCCAGGGGACTTGGAAGAAGCTCTGGCAAAGGAGGCCTCCAACGACTCCTTAGCACCGGTGCCAAAGAAGAGCCCCATCTCTGACAAGTACAAAGAGTTGGAGAAGCAAGACCCTTTGTTGAAGGAAAACCCTCGTCGTTGGGTGATGTTCCCACTTCAGTATCCAGAAGTGTGGGAGATGTACAAGAAGCACGAGGCATCCTTCTGGACTGCTGAGGAGATTGACCTTGCACAGGACAACAAGAATTGGGTAAGCCTCAACGAGAGCGAGCAGCATTTCGTTAAACACGTCCTCGCTTTTTTTGCTGCGTCCGATGGGATTGTCCTGGAGAACTTGGCACAGCAGTTTTCCTCAGAAGTGCAGATTCCTGAGGCCCGGGCCTTCTACGGCTTCCAAATTGCCATGGAAAACATCCACTCTGAGACCTACTCGCTGCTGATTGAGCAATACATCAAGGACCCAAAGGAGAAGGACGACCTCTTCGATGCCATTCACACGATGCCAGCTGTCCGTGAGAAGGCTAGTTGGGCCATCCAATGGATGAACCGTGAAAGCAGCTTTGCTGAGCGTCTTGTGGCATTTGCGGCAGTGGAGGGGATCCTATTCAGCGGATCTTTCTGTGCAATTTTCTGGTTGAAGAAGCGAGGTTTGATGCCTGGTCTGACCTTTTCCAATGAGCTCATCTCTCGCGATGAAGGCCTCCATGCCGACTTCGCCTGCTTGCTGTACGGCATGCTCCAGAATAGGTTGCCAGAAGAGGTTGTCCATGACATCATCCGTGGTGCAGTTGAGGTGGAACGCAAGTTTATTTGTGGAGCTCTGTCTTGTGATTTGATCGGCATGAACAAAGACCTGATGACTCAGTACATTGAGTTTGTCGCTGATCGGCTGTTGACAGCCTTGGGCCACAGCAAGATCTTTGGCTCCGAGAATCCCTTTGACTGGATGGAGCTGATTTCCTTGCAGGGCAAGACCAACTTCTTTGAGAAGCGAGTTGGTGAGTACCAGAAAGCAGGGGTGATGGCTGGTACCTCAGAGCCTTTGACCGCTTTTGCGCTGGACGCAGATTTCTGAGCGTCTGCAATGACAGACACGCGGGGTATGGTGGGGTTCAATCGAAAAGATTGTACACTTAGCGTAGATATCATAAGGCTCAGCGACACAAGTCTTATGAGAGTTCCCCTGATCATCGGCTGCACTGTTGATGCCTGTGCATGAAGCAGACACGTAGTCGGTGCAAAATAGTTTTCTTTGCGCAGAATCGCTGATTTTTGCTTATTGATGTCAATTCATGTCCATGTCACATGATGCGTCACTTGCGGAAGGCAACTTGTTCTATTTGTGGACTGCCTTGCAGCATCTTCTTGATTTAGGTGCATACGGCACCTGGACACGGTCAAGATGTCGTCATCTCAGAGATAATGAGTCGGAGTTTTGGTCTCCTGAACAGATGAATACCCTGCATACATTCTGGGTGCAAGGACTACGTGGTCGGTCAGAAGTACGGTCTAGAGGCTTGGGGCTCTTTTCTCAAGTTCCGATGGTTGCTTCAAACTCCCGTTAGCTTTGTGACCAGGAGAGAAACGTGCTGTTCTTTCTGCGTCCCTCCTTCCCTTGTCGTACCACCATGAAACTGGATCCTTCGGGCCGCTTGCGCTTGGCTTCGGATTCCTGTCGGATCTTGTGAAGGTTGCTGCGCCAGTGGATGACGCTGGAAACTTCACTTCTGAGGTTGGTCAGGATCTAAGAAAAGGCCCTGCGATGGGAGAAACACGGAGAACCACTAAAGCCACAAAAAGTCACAAAAGCTGCAATTATTGAACTTGGCCCAGCTCCAAGTGGATTCATACCCGGCTAAGGTTTGGAGAGCTTGGTCGGTGCAAACGTCCTCAAGGCCATGAGCACTTGATGCACTTGATGCTGTAAGTTGTATGAGTCAGCGATTCTATGTGGCTCCCAGATTCCATTGCGTGATAGTTTCAATCGACTTGCAACTGCTATGACGTCCTTGGTTTTTTTTGTCGCAGTTGATATATTCGCAGTTTAGGGGACCACAATTTGACAGAGAAACTGTGGCCTCAGGATGCGAACTCCAAAGTGACAGAGATGCTTGAGGAGAAAGAGTTGCTTTTGCTTCGAAAGCCGTGCCGATCTGAGATTGCGCATGGAATAGCCTGGCATAGCAAGCGTAGGAAAAATATGGAAAAATCAGAGCATGGCGGAGTGATGCCGAGCATGAATTTTACTATGTACACTAAGCTTTTAGCGATGAATTCCAGCAAGGGAGAGAATCTGGAATCGGATGCATGAGCTGGTACCCAATTCCAACTGTCCCCGAGGTATTCCCACAAGTACCCATACGATTGGAGAAGCAAACAGCCTGTCATTACTCGAGCGACTCCACAGTGGTTTTGAACTCAGTTTGGTCCATTTCGTGATGAGGGTATGGATCAATACCTATTAATACCATTTTTAGTGGGATGAACATCCATTCCCATGAATCATCATGTGCGGCGATGAGGAAATATGGCTCTAAGGTTCGCAAGCATCGATGGACTTCGTTCCAAGGTGCTGAAAGCGATGGATGAAGTCCAGCTCAAGACTTAAACTCCCAACTGAAATTGCGTTAGTTGTGAGTTGGAAAACTTGAGTCTCGCTGCTGAGCTATGAACGTAGTTGGCATTGTGCCACTAGGTTCATTCCGGAGAACTTTTCCAATCGCATGCGACCCATGGTCGTTGGCAGAAGCGTTTGGACCTTGGAAAGATAAAAGTCGTGTCACTGCATCATGTGATTTTCGTGCCCTGTTCGCACATCAAAGAGAGATCAGATAGACTTTCCCCTGAGGATTGGTGTATTTCTCGGCAGAGATCTTGGGGTGTGTGGGGTGACCTAATGTGCAAAACTTTGGGTCTTGCGCAGATGTGCAGACAGTGCTCCATGACACTGACAACCCTGGCGGGTTGACTTGGAGCGCTACTCTGGGCTAGTTTAACATCTGTTATCATTTGTTCTGCATCATCTGCATTTTTCGATGAGTCAAACTCCTGCATATATATATAAGTTAGGGTAGGCCTTGCCCATCTTCCTATCATCACATAACCCTGCACCAGCCCCTACACTTTCACCATCATTTCATAACAATCTCATAAAAACCATCATTCAAAAACATCATTCAACCAAGATTTCAAAACAACATCTCAAAACCATCATTCCAAAACATCATCTAAGCCAGATTTCATAACAATCTTAGAAAACCATCATTCAACAAAAAATCACAACCATCTCAACAATAACCATAACACAAATCATTTTGAAGATGTAAGCCAACATAGTAATCTTCAAAAGGATTTTCAACAAGTAATCTAGATAACCAAAAATTCATCATCAACCAAATACGGGCAAGGCCCCCCTCATAGAAATTACAAAAAACATTTACATAATACTTTATGAAGATTTCTTTTAATATATTCTTTCCCTGAAAAGGTGGATTTTCCAAGAAATTTTCATTAAGTATTATGTAAAATGTTTCTTTAAAAGTGTTTTACAAAAAAAATATATATCATGTTCAGACATTGTGAAAAAGTAATTGAAAAACTGGTTTCAAAAGTTCCTACCAAAGTTCAGGTATAAACAAGTTTGGTTAAATGCCCTTGAAAAAAAAATACTAGCACCCCCTTATACACGAACATGTTAATGTCAAGTGTATTTGTTTAAAAGCAAATCGTATCTTATTCATTATGAGAAATGAACTCCATGAGAAATAGACACAAGAAATTTCAATAGCAATTTTTGGAAAAATAATTCTGGAAATGATATTAATTTTGTTTCAATCATTATCTACAACTACAATTACACCTGTCGCAATATGGTATTATATTTTCCAATGTATGGGTATATTCATTATTAACCCTTTGGGCTGTTAGGTTTGTTGTTATTATATTTCCCCCTTTTATGATTGTATGAAATCCACATCCACAATAATTACATCGGTTAGTTATATTATCAAAAAACCATTCAACATTTACATAGCCTTCTTTTGGTATTTTTCTTTTTGCTTTTCTATCCTGTTGCTTGTAATTTTCAATTTTTCTTTCATATTTACTTTTCATGCATTTATAGTTGAAATCATCATTTACATCATCACTATATTTATAAAATTTTACCTTGTTTAAATCCCTTGCTCTTGTAATTGCAGTCCATAACCACTCTCTGTATTTTTTAATGTCATAGTGGTTATAATCAAAAATTGTTATGTCTCCATCTATACTACTACCTTGGGCTGAATGGCAGGTAGTGCAATGGGCGAATATGAAATTATCCCTTACCTTTTGAATTTTTAAGGATTGTAGTATATTGGTTTTTACGAAAGCCAGCTAGCTGGCTAGTTGCTGTTTGCGAACGAAGTGAGAATAGGGGGTGTGGGGGGGGGCGGTTGCCGAAAGGGAACGAAATCTCGCCGTGCCCCTGTGTTGAGCGCCAGAAAACGGAGCATTTTGCTGGATTAAGTACCACTAGGCAATTTGCTGACGGTGGGGTATCGATTCCCCCTAGGTCCGCCTTTTTGGTGGCCGGAAAGACCATGAGGATGTATTGGAAAATACAATGAAACTGCAGGAGAACATGATAACGATCAGAGGAAATCGTACAAAATCCCCTGGAAAACGGACGAAAACGGAGCGAATGCGAGGAACAAACCATGGAAAATCCCTTGGAAAATGGAGGAAACCGGAGCGAATGCTAGGCGCAAACCATGACGATGCAGTAAACATGCTGGAAAAATACAGTGAAAGTGCAGGAAAATGTGATAACAACGAGAGGAAATGGTGCAAAAAGGATCGGAAAATGAAGGAGTCAGGTAAAACTCTTGGATTAATATTAATATTGAAAAGGTATGAAAATGCAGGAAACCAGAGGAAATGGTGCAAAAACCTATGGAGGAAAGAGGTGAAAATGATAGGAAACATGTAGTAAAAAATGCTGGACAAAACATATTGAAAACCCACGAAGAGGATGTATTGGAAAATACAATAAAACTTGAGGAAAACATGATAACGATCAGAGGAAAATGCTAGGAACAAACCATGCAAAATCTGTTGGAACATGGAGGAAACCGGAGTGACTGCTAGGAACAAACTATGACGATGCAGTAAACATGTTGGAAAAAGACAGTGAAAGTGCAGGAAAATGCGATAACAACCAGAGGAAATGGTGCAAAAACGATCGGAAAATGAAGGAGACGGGTAAAACTCTTGGAAAAATACATTGAAAATGCAGCAAACCAGAGGAAATGGTGCAAAAAGGAGACGGGTAAAAATCTTGGAAAAATAGATTAAAAATGCATGAATAGACTGAAAACCCACGAAGAGGATATAGATGATATAGAAACTGCAGGAAAACATGATAACAATCAGAGGAAATCGTGCAAAATCCACTGGAAAATGCTGGAAAGATACAGTGAAGGAAAATGTGATAACAACCTGGCAGGAAAATGTGATAACAACCAGAATAAAGGGTGCAAAATCTGTTGGAACATGGAGGAAACCCGGAGCGACTGCTAGGAACAAACTATGACGATGCAGTAAACATGCTGGAAAAATACAGTGAAAGTGCAGGAAAATGCGATAACAACCAGAGGAAATGGTGCAAAAACGATCGGAAACTGAAGGAGACGGGTAAAACTCTTGGAAAAATATATTGAAAATGCATGAAATGCAGGAAACGAGAGGAAATGGTACAAAAAGCCATAGAGGAAAGCGGTGAAAATGGTAGGAAGCATGTAATAAAAAAAGCGGGACAAAACACAGTGAAAACCTACAAAAGAGAAGAAAGTAACCACAGGAAACGGTAGAAAAAACAGTGGAAACTGGAAGAAAAGTTGTGACAATATTAGGAAAACGGGGTACAAGCTAGGAAATGCTTGTAACAACTAGAGGAAACGATGTAGAAAACAGTACAACATGGAGGACACGCGTGAACATGCTAGGAGGCATGTAACATGTTAGAAAAATACAGTGAAAACCTAGGAAAATGTTATATCTAAAAATGCTTTAAACATATAGTGAAAACCAAGACAATGTTAACGAGCGGAAACGTTGAGCAGGAAATCCGATTTGGTTTCTGTAGATAATGTTAGATGATGAGCAATGTAGTTTGGTGATAGGAAATAGTGGCTGACTCGCGTACAAGACATTGCCATGAAACCTTGGAGCAAGATGCGGATGGTATAGGAAAAAAGATGTATGAGTTGTAAGATTTTAGGAGTTGCATGGGAAAATTGGTTTCATGGTAATCTGTGTGAAGTTAGAAAAGTGTGATTTCGTTCACAGAGTAAGAAAAATAAATACAATCTGCAGATTAGAGTATTTATAATGCTTAAAACTGTTTGACGTTTTTTGGTGCCTCCCTGATTCTGGTAGTTTTGTGATAAGAACTACAAAAACGATCTACTGGTAAACGGAAGGAATAGTCTTTCCGGTTTAGAACTGAGTCGACTGTCAAGTGATGCATAGGCTCCAGGCCTCTGGTTATTGTCACAAAGCATTGGAATGAAGATTGCGCCCAGGAGCCACCTAGGTTAGGAGACAAATGCTGTAATATCATTGTAAGAGGCCGTACTGAGAAGGCTGAAACGGAACTAAAAGTGAATCTTGTACTAAAACATCGAGAAAGAATTTGAATCTTCTAATGGCAATGACGGGAATGATATGCATCTGTACGTCCGTGATAGTATGTGTGCCTTTTAAAAGGGATGTTTGGCGAGTGGGATAGCTGAGAAGATTTTCCGGGATGCCAAACAATTATCTCTATCGATGTCAGAGATGATGCTATTCCGCGACATTTCCTGTAAAATACCTATTTTCCAGACCCTTGGGGGGTGGGGGGGGGTACCCAGGTCTGTAAATGGCCTAAATATATATACTTTTGATTTGGACTGCATGTTCGCCACTGTTCTATATTTCCCGTGGGTTTTGCATTGTTTTCCTCGATTTTCATTCGTTCTTATACCCTTTCTTACGTATGTTATAATATTGTCTTGGGTTTGCACTGCCCATTTTGCGAGTAGAGCTATATTTGATTTCTCACCGTACGGCCAAAATGTTGCGGAACTTCGCGGAGAAGCATGGACCACGATTCTGGGGAGAAAACAATTTAGACTTTGAGAGGTCACATGACCACTGTTCACACAAAAAAACGGGTATTATTTATCTACAATAGGTGGGAGCAAACTTGCGCTGTTTTAAGATAAATGAGCAACCAAAGGCGGATTTACGGAACTTGAGATAGAACTTTTCACAATGCCGCAGTACATTGTAGGAAACATATTTGGATATAGAAGTTACAAAATCGTGGAGTTTACCCTAAAAAGGTCCATTTAATGATTGGAAAATTATGACCCGATAGCAATTGTTGATGTTGGGGCGCTTCATGTTTGAGCCATGCCATATGGATGAGGTGGAGTTTCACGCGCCCTCGCGCGAGTCAAAAAGCAAGCGCTGGCTTTCGTTCCACCCCTTCTCAGGTAGTGTTTTTCATTGTCATCACTCCATCCTTTCCAATATAAACTATTTTGTATTTAAAATTTACATTGAATACTGACGTTTGAGTTTTAGTATATTCTCTACATATCAAGAATTCACCTACTTCATATTCATCTTTTCTATTTTCCAATTTCCTAATTTCACTTGCTACATTCTTACAAGTATCATTTAAATAGGCAATATTATGCTTTGAACCACTTTTACTAGTAGTATATCTGAAATATTTTTTAATGATTTCCTTGAAAGGAAGTTTATTTACAAAAATATCAGTTTTTACATTGCTTAATTTGTCCTTATCCTCAAGGAAACATGGACTCAGGCTTTTCTATCGTGGAAAAAAGAGTGGATTCTTACGAGGCCTCCCACACCACAGTCAAAGAGTTTTTACAAAAATTGAAAGGCGCAGCTTTTTTGGTCGAAGTAACAACAGCAGACGGGGGAGGCGTGGTCAACAAGTCTGACCAGATGCAGAGGTCAAACGCGGGCAAGATGAAGGCACCATGTTAATGTTCAATGGACAGGAGGCAAGTAAGCCTCCCATCAATGCTGACAAGCCAACTCCTGCACAGCTGTTCCACTTCAACCAGAAACTCATCATGGAACTTCCCGTTGGACTGGAAAGGAAGAAACGCGAAGAGGCCGAACAGCCTGCCGAAGCTGAGACACGTCGTGCCGAAGCTGAGACACGTCGTGCCGAAGCTGAGACAGGCAAACGCAAAGCGGCCGAGGAACGCGCGCAAGCAGCAGAGAGCGAGTTGAAGAAGCTTAAAGCTGCGAAGTGAGGGAGCCAAAGCAATGCAACTGCCAAAAAGCGCAGCGCCACCTGGATTTTGAAGCTACCTAACCGTGCCCATCTTTTCTACGTGATGTAGTTCTGGTTTACGTTCTTGGTTTGATGTTGTTTGATTTATTCACCCCGCTTCGCGTGGGGTGGCCGCCCACACCGCAGGTTTATTTCGGTCCGTGAGAGGGGCTAAGGGTGGTGTGGAATATGAGGAGCAGAGCAGCACAGGAGAATTGACATACATAACTGCTGGGTTCGTGAATATTTTTTTAAGTGGACGCTCTCCAAGCTGCGGAATTTCAAATAGCTAGACAACGACGCCTAGATAGTCCCCCAAATCCCGTGTTCTTTGAATGTGTTTCCATGTTTTTGCAATGGTTTCCTTCAAAGCACGGTACTTTACACTTTTGTCGCCATAAAACCGGTCGAAGACATCATGTTCGACAATGCTTCCAAGTGGGGCTTCCCAAGCTAAGCAATTTTCACTTTTCCCCCCCGTGGAGGCTTCCCAGGCGAGAATTTTCACTTTTCCCCCCCGTGGAGGCTTCCCAAGCTAGGGAATTTTCGCTTTTCCCCCCCGTGGGGGCTTCCCAAGCGAGGGAATTTTCACTTTTCCCCCGTGGGGGCTTCCCAAGCTAAGAATTTTCACTTTCCTCCCCGTGGGGGCTCCCCAAGCTAGGGAATTTTCACTTTTCCCCCCCGTGGGGGCTTCCCAAGCTAGGGAATATTTTAGTTTTCCCCGCCGTGACAGCTTCCCAAGCTATGGAATTTTCACTTTTCCCTCCCTTGGAGGCTCTCCAAGCTGCGGAATTTCAAATAGCTAGACAACGACGCCTAGATAGTCCCCCAAATCCCGTGTTCTTTGAATGTGTTTCCATGTTTTTGCAATGGTTTCCTTCAAAGCACGGTACTTTACACTTTTGTCGCCATAAAACCGGTCGAAAACATCATGTTCGACAATGCTTCCAATTCCCTTATCTCCCCAACCGTTGAAAATACCGCTATTTACAGTGTTTTCTTCAATTTTTCCATGTTCCAATGCCGGTAGCCAACTCCAACATATATATAAGAAATCCTTCCAAAACATTGTTTTTGACAGTGTTTTTCCAATGTTTCCAGTCAAACAGACGGTAATTTACACGTTTTTTGCCATAAAGGCAGTAAATCCTTCCAAAACATTGCTTTTGACAGTGTTTTTGTAATGGTAGAGGCTTCCCAGGCGAGAATTTTCACTTTTCCCCCCCGTGGAGGCTTCCCAAGCTAGGGAATTTTCGCTTTTCCCCCCCGTGGGGGCTTCCCAAGCGAGGGAATTTTCACTTTTCCCCCGTGGGGGCTTCCCAAGCTAAGAATTTTCACTTTCCCCCCCCGTGGGGGCTCCCCAAGCTAGGGAATTTTCACTTTTCCCCCCGTGGGGGCTTCCCAAGCTAGGGAATTTTCACTTTTCCCCGCCGTGACAGCTTCCCAAGCTATGGAATTTTCACTTTTCCCTCCCTTGGAGGCTCTCCAAGCTGCGGAATTTCAAATAGCTAGACAACGACGCCTAGATAGTCCCCCAAATCCCGTGTTCTTTGAATGTGTTTCCATGTTTTTGCAATGGTTTCCTTCAAAGCACGGTACTTTACACTTTTGTCGCCATAAAACCGGTCGAAAACATCATGTTCGACAATGCTTCCAATTCCCTTATCTCCCCAACCGTTGAAAATACCGCTATTTACAGTGTTTTCTTCAATTTTTCCATGTTCCAATGCCGGTAGCCAACTCCAACATATATATATAGAAATCCTTCCAAAACATTGTTTTTGACAGTGTTTTTCCAATGTTTCCAGTCAAACAGACGGTAATTTACACGTTTTTTGCCATAAAGGCAGTAAATCCTTCCAAAACATTGCTTTTGACAGTGTTTTTGTAATGTTTCCAGTCAAGCATACGGTAATTTACACGTTTTTTGCTATAACGTCAGTCCAAAACACTTGTTTTTGCAGTGTTTTCAATGCTCTGGCATCCAAAAACCCTGCAAAATCTTGCTATGTACAATGTTTTTTTTCATTTTTGGCCGTTTTTCCATTGCCGGAAAGCTACCAAAATGACCCAAAATTCCATTTCAATACCCTCTTGCGCTCAGACACCCAAAAATCCTCGAAAAATGTCGAAAACACCACCTAATTCTGGTCTCGGTGCGAAACCGTTTTTGCCCCCCCCCCCGGCTAAAGCTGATATAGCGACTGCTATATTAACAAATGTGATTGAACATTTAGTGTAGCCGTTTCCCCCCAATAAGCACGCCTTCACCGCCAAAGCGGTGTGGGCGGACTTATGTGAGGATTATTCAGTAAATTTGTTGCTAGATTTATTGAATAATTATTCTGGTTGTTGGTTGTGATGATTTTTTTGATGGTTTGGGAAATGCTGAGGTTGTTTGAGTTTTTTTTTGGTTGTTGTAGACTGTTTGTTGAGAATCCTTTTGAAGATTGTTGAGTTTGGTATCATCTTCAAAATGATTTCTGCTATGGTTCGTGTTGAGTCTGTTTTGAAATGATGGTTGGAAAGATTGAGTTGAGACACTGTTACGAAATGATGGTTCAATTTTTTTTTGGAATAATGGTTTTATGAGATTGTTTTGAAATCTTGGTTAGATGATGTTTTGGAAGTGTGGTTTTATGAGATAGTTATGAAATGATGGTGAAAGTGTAGGGGGGTATGCAGGGTTATATGATGATAGGAAGATGGGCAAGGCCTATCCTAACTATATATATATATATAGAGTTGCGCGTGTTTTTTTAAGCAAGAAAACTTCTCAATCTATTCTAGATTGCACAATCGTCTGATTTCAGGAGCCAAGTCTCTAAATCTTCATCAATTAGAATGTAAAAATCATTCGTCAAGTACAGGTCTTGTTGCGCTTTCTGAGGCCAATCCCGGCATTCTATCGCAAAGCTGATGGGGAGCCTCTTCTCAATCCTGACGTCATCAGTCATGCTTTTTCCTCAGAAAAAAGAAGGAAGTAGGGCAAGGTTTTTTGCAATCTGTATAGCTCTACACGTTGCGAAAGTGCTTCGCATGTCAAACACGATAGAGCACATGGTCTTCTCGCAGTCAGGTCAGAAGCATTGTGGAGGAGAAGGGCAGCAATGCATGGTCGTCATCTCAGGGCAAGAGCGACAGCTTAAGACTTTGGATTTGGATTGCGTGCTGCTTGTCAGGTTTGAGCTTCCACTTGCGGACTTGCTTCCAGAAGAATATCGGGATGCAGCCGACGAGTACGAGAAAGGCAGGTTTCTGCCGTCTTTCAGAGCTTAACGACCGTTATCAATTATAGGCCGGACTGTTGCAACCGTTCATTTCTGAGCCAGAGATTGCCAGGCACAGACACCATGGATGTCTGGTTCGACTCTGGTTCTTCTTGGGCATATGTTGGAAGCCTGGCAGACTCTGGCAGAATATTTTGGCGAAGCTTATCAATGTTTGGCATCAAATCTCTGGCATATCCTAAGGTTGAAGAGGAGCTCGGCTCCCCTGTGGATTTGTACTTGGAGGGCCAGGATCAGCACCGTGGATGGTTGGGCTCTGAAAAAAGATGTAGACTTGCAGCACCGGCAGCTGGTCTGGCTGGAGATTTTTGTACCGCAAAGCCGCAAAGCGCTGCAATGTTTGCTCTGCAGGTTTCAGTCTTCTCTGATCACATCGGTTGCTGTGAATGACAGGGCTCCATACAAAAGTGCCTGGGGCCAAGTGGATACAGAACTGTTTCATCATGACTCAGCAGGCACCATTTCAATGACCAAGTTGAGGTCATGACCCATGGATTTTGTGTCTGAACCTCAGGCAATTTTTCGATATTTCAGCTTTGAAGGAGTCAAGATACTGGGATGTCATCAGGTTGTTGTTGTTGTTGCTCAGCGCGTTAGTTGTCAGGTAGATGAGAATGGCCGAAAGATGAGTAAGTCGGTAGCCAAGCACACTACTTTAATGGAAACGTGTCCACAGGATGTTACACGATGTTCAATGAACGGATCAATGGTTGATGAAAATATGGAGCCTCAACTGCTGAAAGGTCAATTGGGAACGTCATTGACCCAAGAACAATCATTGATGGAAAGGGAGCCGATGTGTCAGAAGCCGAGACATCTTGTAACGTCCAGAGCAGGTCAGAACATTCACAACATATCACGATCATATACTTTCATTGGCCAATTGAATTTGTAGATGGTTGTGACTCTCAAGATGAAAAGGTGGTAGATTTTGAGTGCCACAATGAGAGTGGTTCAAGTAGCCTCGGGTGGAAGGGAAATTGATATGATGAATTATGATGAATGTAGAGTCGGAGTCTGCAGGCGATGCTCGCACAAGGAGTTTGCGAAGAGAGCGTCAAATGAGTCCTCTTCGTGCATCACCGTCAGCCTCACAGATCCACAGAGCTGTGGAGCAAGATAGTCCAGCAGCCTCACAGATGCTTGGATCTGCAGAGCGAGATCATTCAGTCAGCCCAATTCCAGAGCTGAACGCGCAGATGATGAGGAGAGCTAGCCATCCCTATTCAAGCTCTCGAGGTGGCTTCTTGATGCCAAGGGAAGTCATGACAGGCTTTTTGTCAATGGCCGATCGATGGAGCCACCAGGTTGAAGGGAACGATCAGCTCAAGCCACAACTAGCAAAGCAAGAGCCCGAGACACAGATCAAACTTAGTGAACAAGAGGTCAGTTGAGAGAGGCAGAGCTCAAGGTGAAAGAGATGCAGACGTTGAAAGCCATGGAAGTAGAAACCGACAGGGTGGAAAAAAGCAACAGCTGCACCTGCTAAGTCAAGACCAGCGAAGGCAGCTGGACCAGTGATCAAACGCGAACCTGAACCTGCCTCGCCGGGCTCGAAGCCTTCGGTGCTGTGGAGTGGACGGACGCCTGACTTGCCAGAGCCTGACACAGCTGCGTTGCATTTTTCAATGTTTCAGTGTCTGACAGTGACATCCAGACATGTAAACCATTGCAATTCTCCCGATCTTGGAGACCCCCCGAAAGTGGTATTTTTGCAGTGTTTCAGTGCCTGAGTGACATGCAGACATGTGAACCATGGAAGTTTTGAGAACTGAAGCATTCCCCCAAAAGTACGGCATTTTTCAATGTGTTACTGTCTGACAGTGACATCCAGACATGTGAGCCATGGAAATTCTCAGGTTCCTGGAGACCCTACGAATGGGGGTGGCATCTGTATGCGGATGTCGGATGACAGTGCGCTGGGCACGCCCGAACACCATGCCTTGTTCTTCATCCGGGTTCTGTACGTGGTTTGCTTTCATGTCAAGAGTCGTGGTGATGGATCGACCATGACGCCATGTGAGCCCTTCCCAAGCGCTGAGCATGGCATGGTGATGTCAGATGCATTTGCCAAGTCGCTAGTGACCATTGAGAAGAATTGGGTGGCAAGCTTGAAGAGTATCGCCCGCAAAAGGGCAGAAAAAGGGCGTGATTACCGCCACACAGCTGGTGACTGGCGCCGTATCGAGAGAGAGAGAGCTTTTCTCCAGCTCTGGCTGCTTGAAGCTGATGAAGTACTGGAAGTTGATCCAGCAACGCAATGCCAGTACTGGAAGCACCACGCAGGTGGTGATCCGTATGAGTTGGCCTCGCAAGCGCCTCGTCAGCATCTTTTGCAAGTATCATTTTTATATTTATTATTTTTCTGTTCCCACAATCCACATAAGAAAAGCATCTGCACGCCGTGTTCAGATGTGTGTTCTTCCGAAGGGCTTCCATTGTCCTGGCATGTCTGCAAGTGCTCAAGCGTCAGTGATGGAGAAGCCAAATTGGCTCTCTCAGATGCCCGGCGAAGACGTGCCGGACAATCAGCCGTGGACCATGGACTCAACTTGGATCACCTTCTGGGGAACCTCAAGTACGCTGTCAAGATGTCGTTTCAGCAGCCACGGCTGGGAGCCTTGGTGCGTCAGCTGCAGCTCTATACGTGTCGCCTCCTTGAGTCAAGAGGTTCCGGAATAGTGCACGTTCTAGCATTGAAGCCAGGCAGCACAACCCTCATCAAGTTGGGTGCCCCACAATGGCCAGACTGCGTTTGTAGTTCTGGGAGGGTGATGACCTATACAGACAGCTTTCCTGATGGAACTTGTCTTATAGCTGTGCGCTGTGTCGTGCTTTGTGCCAAGCAGCGTCAAGCCATGGTCTTGGAAGGTTGCGTCCACCAGCACTGCATCCAGCAGGGCTTTGCGAAAGCCAATTTCACCTGTGGCCCGAAGACTCGCGAAACTTACGCAGAGAAAGAACGGGACCGCATCGTCAAAGCACTCTCAGACACGTCCAGATGCAACCCAGCACAACTCGAGCAACGGTTCCAGCGAGACAAAGCCAAAGGCAAGGTATCAGAAGTGAACAGAGACCCAGCTCTCTGTGTTTCACCACACCCTCTTCCTCAAGGTCGACTTCGTAGCATGCGCAGAGCCAAAACAAGATGAAGCCCACGAACCCGAATGCTCACACGTATGTTAATGGTACAGATGTCAAAACACATGGTTATGCAGTGACGCACAATACCTTTCTGCAATAGTTTATTTGAACAGTCTTGTACATGTTTCCCTTGTTACCAGTCTGCAGTGTGGAGTGGAAAGTGTAGAGTGTGGAGTGTGGAGTGTGAAGTAAGGAGTGTGGAGTGTAAAGTGTGGAGTGGGGAGTGTGGAGTGTGTAGAGTGTGGAGTGTAAAGTGTAGAGTGAGGAGTGTAAAGTGGAAAGTGTGGAGTGTAAAGTGTAGTGTGGAGTGTGGAGTGTAGAGTGTAGAGTGTGGAGTGAGGAGTGTAAAGTGCAAAGTGTGGAGTGTGGAGTGTAAAGTGTAGAGTGTGGAGTATGGAGTGTAAAGTGTAGAGTGCGGAGTGTAGAGTGTAGAGTGTGGAGTGAGGAGTGTAAAGTGCAAAGTGTGGAGTGCGGAGTGTAAAGTGAGGAGTGTAAAGTGTGGAGTGAGGAGTGTTGTGGAGTGTAAAGTGTAAAGTGTAAAGTGTGGAGTGTATAGTGTAGAGTGTAAAGTGTAGAGTGTGGAGTGTGGAGGGTAAAGTGTAGAGTGTGGAGTGTGGAGGGTAAAGTGTGGAGTGTAAAGTGTAGAGTGTGGAGTGTAAAGTGTGGAGTGTAAAGCGTGGAGTGAGGAGTGTAAAGTGTGGAGTGTAAAGTGTGGAGTGTGGAGTGTTGAGTGGAAAGTGTGGAGTGTGAAGTGTGCAGTGTAAAGTGTGGAGTGAGGAGTGTAAAGTGTGTGGTGTGGAGTGTAAAGTGTGGAGTGTGGAGTGAGGAGTGTAAAGTGTGGAGTGTGGAGCGTAAAGTGTAGAGTGTGGAGTCTGGAGTGGAAAGTGTAGAATGTGGTGTGTAGAGTGTGGAGTGTGGAGGGTAAAGTGAGGAGTGTAAAGTGTCGAGTGTGGAGTGAGGAAAGTGCCACGCCTGCCACGCAAAACGACATGACAACCTGCTTGGAAACTTTCGAAAAGGAGAGATTTTGCGGCTTCCCCCATAGACACGACGACGCCACAGGAAAAACCAGAGACTCGAGACGAGACGCATGGATGCAGAAAAACAAGCATTTCGTGCGAGACCCCCTCCCATTTTGATATTTTCCACACGTTATCGAACAGCTTGGAATGTCAGAAAGTGCCACGCCTGCCACGCAAAACGACATGACAACCTGCTTGGAAACTTTCGAAAAGGAGAGATTTTGCGGCTTCCCCCATAGACACGACGACGCCACAGGAAAAACCAGAGACTCGAGACGAGACGCATGGATGCAGAAAAACAAGCATTTCGTGCGAGACTTCCTCCAATTTTGATATTTTCCACACGTTATCAAACAGCTTGGAATGTCACAAAGCGACATGACAACCTGCTTGGAAACATTCGAAACGGATAGGTTTTCCAGCTTCCCCCATAGACACGGCGACGCCACAGGAAAACCAGCGACTCGAGACAAGACACGTGGATGCAGAAAAACCAGCATTTCGTACGAGACTTCCGGCAATTTTCACAGTTGGCAACGTGACCAAAGGACAAGTTTTGCAGCTTCCCCCATAGAGACGGCGAGGCCACGGGACAACCAGACACGCAAGACGAGACAGGTGGGAGCACCAAAACGAGCCTTTCGTGCGAGACTTCCTCCAATTTTCACACTTTGTAGCTTCAAAATCGACGTTTTCCTACGAGTTTTCCTTAGAACCTGAAAATTTGCAACCTCAAAATCGATGTTTCGTGCGAGGCTTCCGTCAATTTTCAGCACATCGCAGAAAATGCCACGACTGCCACGGAATTTGCACCTTGTCGCCACTTGACGCAGCCCTGCCAATGCGATTTGCAAACAACACGCAACACGACACGTCTAAAGTGCTGCGCCTGCCACGAAAAATGACGATGGACACGTCCAAAGTGCTGCGCCTGCCACGAAAACTGCAACACATCTTCTGAAAACGTCGCAAAAGTATTGCGCCTGCCACGCAAAACGACTTTCGACACGTTCCAGAACACGTCTGAATGTCACGAAGTGCCACGCCTGCCACGCGAAACGAAGCAACGACACGTCTGAAACCTCCAAAAAGGACCACCTCTGCAAAACTTCCCATAGGCACGGCCATACGGAGTTCGTACGGACGGTTGCGGACGGCTGCGAACGGTTGCGACCGTGAACGCAACGTCGAGCGAACACACCCTCAACCCCCAGACCCCCAAAATGAAACGGGAACCCTTGCTACGCATTCGGGAAAAAAGAGATTCTATATCATAGCGCGGATGTCAGATTGTTGCCAAAAAAAGATGGTCGGAGACGCCAGATGCGGACTGCAAAATGTCCACTGGGCCGAGGCTGAGATATTGGGTGGCCTCCACGGACTTTTCCAGTGATGTGTCCATCAGTCACATTCTCAGAGATGCCAGATGAGGATCCACGAGGATCCAGATTTCGCGAACCTCATGGCCACGACAGGCCAAAACATCTTGAAGGCTACAGAGGAGACGGTGCGTAGGCTTCGAAATCGTGCGAGATTTGCACACCTGGCCAGTTGGACAGCAAAAAGATGCTGAATGTATGCTAAGGGTTTGCAAGATTATCGATAAATTTTCCTGAGTTTCTGTCTGCCAGATCCTGGGCAATATTCATGACTTCGACGTCACAACTGAAAGCATCGTCTATGAAGACTTGCCAGTGTGTGGCGCTTGGTGGCTCCGTGTTTCTCAACCGATACGTCGTTCGCCTTTTTCGTTTTTTGGAATTGGTGTTCCGACGTTATCCTGATGTTTGAGGATTGATCGGTGCATGATTCGCAGAGCGGAGGCGGTTTTCGATCAGATGAAGGAGGTGCAGCATTTTTGTCAGCAAGTCCAACACAACTCTAGTGCGACCGTTCTGTTTCCTTCTGCAACATGATGGATTGACGCAACTACGCACTGGCAGGCTTACGACTCCTACTCTTTTAGCATAGCGACCAAACTCCTGAATAGGCCAACTCTGGGGGATAGGGGACAAGGACAAGACGACCTACAGACCTACAGGGTGTGCGTTATTTTCCGGATAGAGACTTTGTCGGCAGGTTTGCATCTGTAGATCTGTCGTCTCTCTATCTGGACCTGGCGAAGGACAGGTGTGGATTCACAGCTTGTAGCTGGGTGCAACACATGCAAGAAGTAGGCGTTACAACGGCGTTACCTTTTGTTCTTCACAGCCCCTGTCTACCCATTTCTCAGGTTATATACTGCAGGGAAAAGCAGCCACTCGCGAAGAAGTGGCGGCCTCAAAAGAAAAGGACTTGAGTGTTTGAAAGACAGCAGTGGAGGCGGAAACGATTTTGAAAGATTTTAGCTGCATCATAGATCATCATAGGACCTGTGGATACCTGCGTTACTTCATATGACTTCGAATCCTGTCACCTGGAGGCTGCCAAACCGTGCTTCGTTGGATTCTCGTGAACATGACAAGAGCAATTGCTCCTGTGCGCCTTTGTGAAGCCATAGAAGCATGTGCAACACCAGTGTGGTGGCTGATGTGAAAGGATGATTCAAAACGAATTGAAAAGACATTGAATATTATATACATAATATTATATACTTAAAAAAATCGGGCAGAGGTACTTTGCCATCTTTCTGAAGACATTTGGCAGTTCCTTCCACCGGGAGAGGAGGACTGCCACGGTCAAGGCATCATAAAGACTGAATCAGACTGCGTGAGTACTGTCAGCAGTTTTTGTTCAGCCACAAACCTGAACTTTCAGCCTTAGGAGAGCAGCGTTTTCCTTTCTGGCTGGTGCAAACCTTTCCCTGGCAAGCCAGCTGAGGTCCTTTCCACAATTCAAAGAAAGGGTCAAGCGAAAGGGGAAAGAATCGCCAAGGAAAAACCAAAACCAAAACCAATAAGTTGAGAAATGTTATTTGAGATTGCAGGTGGAAAGCATTGTCGAAGATGTGGAGAGGGTCCTGCAGCTGCACACACCTTAGAGTCTCAGAGCTTCCAAATTCAAAACAACCTTCGCTCACTTGTGACACTTGTGAGCAACACACCACAGGCATTTTGAGCTCATTACACCTTCACCACACCTTTTGCTCGGCTAGGCGGGATCCTGCAAATTTGGCTCTCGAGCGAGCCCGCGGCAATAAGTTGATCGGCTTGCCGCTTGACGTCCTGATCTGAGTTTGCAAAGACCACAGCGCCGTTCTGCTGATCTAAATGATCTTGCGCATGAATACTGTTGATTTCTGTGAAGGCTTCAGTCAAGATTGTGGTGAAGAGTGATTCCGATCTTCACAAAGCTTTGGACAGAATGGTGCAAATCTTGGAACCCGGTGGAGTGACTGTGGGGAAGACTCTATTAAAACTACACACAGAAAGACCATATGACAGCTTGCTGCTTGACGCATCCCTTGCAAAAAAAGCCTTGAGAACCACGACAACGAGGAAAATACGTTTGATGCATTGTTGCAGCTATTTGGGTTCCGTTTTCTCTGAGCAGTTTCTTTCAAGTTCATGGACACCAGAACTCGCAGCAATTTCAAACTTGAGGCGCAAGTGGAACATCAGAGCGAAGATGGCCTGGACTCGCTTTTGTCTGCTGGGGCCTCCGTTTTCCAAGCAATCAGTGAGTCAATCCGTCTTTCGTTGGTCATTTTCATCCGTCCCCACAGGTCTCACGGGCAGAGTATGAAGCTGTGGAGACATTGCCAGAGCTTCCAGAAGACTCCCCCAGCAGTGAAGACAAGGTGTCAGCGGTGTCAATGTGTTCATTCCACAGAGTCCCAACTGCTGCACCCAAAACATGTTGAGAGGACCTTGGGGTGATTGTCACAGTTGACCGCTCCGCACTTAGTGACAATTCTATACAATTCTGCTCAATGGCTCAATCACTTAAACCACTGAAGTCACTGAAGTTCTACAGGTGCCGATGGCCTCAAATGCGAACGTTGCTGGGTCTATAGCACAGAAGTTGGTTGCTGCAAGGCGGGGCAGATAGGGTTTTGGGGCTCAAAAGGTGCTCCAGCTCCAGTACGCAGTGAAGTGGTTTGACCGGTTCCTCAACTCTCAACTTGTGTTCCTTCCTGACTGAAAAGACTGAACATGATTTTTCATATAACCATTATAAGGATCCTTATTATGGATGGGATGACCATCAACCATATAGTGAGTATTGACCATGGCTCATATAACATAAAGATCGTTGCAACGCTGTTTGCTTTGCTCCAAGCAGAGGCGCATCCAACACTTTGCCTGCGCTGTGCTGATGTTGTACAAGAACTGGGTGTCTGCTTCTCAGGACATCATAGGGATAACATAGGGATAACACAGAAGCAAAGTTCTCCATCGTTTCTTATTGTTTGTGAGGTGCCGTCACCACTGGAAACCTCTGCTGTTTGGTCTCTCAGTTTGCCAGTGCCTATTTTGCATCAAAAATACCTGTTGAATCCTGTTGACAAGATTTAACCAGTGCCAGCAAGTCACACAGATCAAGATCAAGATGATTCAACATCAACAAGAAGAGTCCAGGACAGGATAAACCGGGTAAACCAACCAGAAACTCAAGCGAAGGCCTGATGAGCGCAGAGTTCTGTTGCAGAGTCCTCATCAATGGTGAAGCTGCGGGTGTAGGGAAGCTGAACGCAGCGCGCGTTGTAGCTTCAGCATAGCTTCAGCAAGGCTCATAGCTTTGCTCTTTTCCACAATTTTCGCTTTGCCCAAGGCAGCTCCATTACACATCAGTATCATCAGTTGCATCAAATGGCACCCAGGCCATCTCCCGAATTAGGTTCAACATTGTACTAAACGCTGAAATTGTTTAAACTAGAGTTCCTTACAGTCCCTTTAGAAATATTTGAAATCATGTTTCTGTCTGCACGTTTTGCTGAAAGAAGTGGTGCTTCCCGAGAATCTCGAGACAATGAGGGTGTCAAGCCCCTGGGGTCCCCAACAGATTCCCATTTAACTTGTGTCCTCGTTTATGATGGTCTCCGACAAGCGAGCCATCACTTGGATGTTTCGAGCCTCACAGCGCATTTTTCGAAAAAATGAGATCATTTGAGATGTACATTGTTCTGCACAGAGTGCAGCGTTGAATGCAAGTCTGGCTATGTGTGGTCATGATCGGCCAAATTTCCGACATCTCAAGTTTAGGAATTTTCAGAACCTCGCTCTCAAGAGGTGTGGTTGCAGCCTGTTCCAAGCTGAGGGAACTGTCTGAAAATGATGACATGTCATTTCTTGTCAATCAATGCTGCAGCCACTGAGCTGCACTGTGACCCTGAGACTGAGGCAACGTAGGCAACATGTCGTGCGCAGATGCTTCTGCCCGCGCCGCTGTCCCGAACTCAGATCAGGTGAAATGATGACAGGTCCAAGGAAAAGCAGAACTCAAAAGGGAGGGATACAGGGAACCTGTACGAGTGGATATGGCCAGCAACTTCAGCAGCACTAGATGACTAAAGGCAGCCTTTGACATCATGGATGCAGATGCAGATGGCATCTTGGGAGAGGAGGAGTCATGACTGTCGCACACTTTCACTCATCCGAAATCCAAGTAATCCAAGTGCGTGCTGACAGACTTCTTCAAGCTGCATGTTTCCAGGACATCGCTCTTGCCCTTCGGCAGTGCGGAGTGGAAGTGGAGGTGTGATTGTTCCATTTTTTTTTGCGAAAATGCAGACAATGCCTGTCCCTGACCAGTTGCGAGTCTCCAGGCCAGCACCATTGCCGATTTGGCAGCTGGCAAGACCAAAGCTTCCAACGAAAGTTCCAACCCTCAGGTCGTGCCAGATGCCAGGAGTGGATGTCCAGGTCTGACCTCACAAATCTCACAACCTCTGACAAGTCAAAACATGGCATGAGGTACCCCCATGGATTCTGAAGCGTTCCAAGCTCTTGTGAAGCAGCACAGTCTTCACCTTAGTACTTTTTGTCACCAGGAAATCATTTCTTGAGATTTCTTGAGTAGACATCCGTCAAACCACGCTGCAGGTAGGGAGGTGGTGACGTGGAAGAAGGACGTACAATTCTCAGCTTTTTGCCTCATGTTGCCTCTGTTATTCTTTCTCGGTCGGAAAAGCTGTTTCAGAATGGATTGCTTAGGTGGTAGCGCAAGCGCTGACGGCATTTGGAGGCCTGTGCTACCTTTGTGCTAGCTCTATCAGGTAAACATACAGCCACAAAGCCATTCCACATTAGTACATCAATTCTCAGTCTAAACATCAGAAGTTCTTTACGGCAGATGATGACTTCGCCGACGGCACTCACATTGCAGAAGGCAATGCTTCTTGGATGTTCATGCTTGCCATGCAGAATCAGACCTCTCCCAATCTCTGTGCTTTCCATAGGCCTCCGAAGACTAGGTCTGGATGCAACAGACAAGGAGGCTCCTTCTTGCATGGAAAGAGGGACCGTTCTAAAACAGGAAGATCAGTTCGCAGGAAAGTGCAACTTTTCGGATTTGCCTTGCTCAAGGCTTGGGAAATGATGAAAGAATTTGACAAGGCTGGATTCCTTGGACCTGCAAATTCAATCCTGCAGTATCCCGATGGCTTTGACATGCTAGGATAGCGATGGCTTGCTGTCCCGGGATGAGCTGTTGGAAATGCTCGGCTGCGTTTAGAGCGCAGGAAGTTTGACATCTTTCATCGCTGCTAGTAGCGATGGCGTCGATGGTCTTGATGATAAATTCCAATGCCCTCTGTATGTGTCTAATTTCTGGAAAGAACCTCCTGGGATCTTGCAGAAGTGGAAACTCCTCTGCTCCCCTTCATAGATGCAAATAACTTGTTTTTCTGCATGGTTCAACTGGATTCCAGAATCTGCCCAAGGGACACCACCCATTAATTTGATTTCATGTGTGCATTTTAATTACTTGGCTTGAGCACACCTGCGTTGTACGCATGTGCATCCAAGCGCAGCTGACAAATTAGAGTGTAAATCACAAGCTTTTTGCCTCACGGGCGTTCACTCGTTGCATGCAAAAAGCATATGTGCTACTGCACGCTGCAAGACTCTCCTGGTTTGACAGTCATTGACTTTCCACTCTCATATGCACGGGTCCAGAAGAGCCACTTCGTGAACCTTGATGCTGCACATTGCTTGGCTCGACTCCATTGCATCGCTAAAGTTGCGATTTATAGTGTGTGAGCCGAGCTGTCACTCTTCGCCAAAATGCTCTGAACTTAGCGCAAGCAGATCCTTCAAAGTCCTGGTGGATCTGGTGGCAAGTTTCGAAGATATCCTAAGGCTGCGGTCCCGCTCGACTCTGCTGCGATGTGCAGCTGGTGTGGCGCTTTGCGTGGCCTTGCAGGCTGCACTTAGCTTTGTGGCTCCTGCCAGTGGCGCTGCAAAGGCCTGGTCCATTTTTATCCATTTTAATTTTAGTTCAATTAATTGAAAAGACAGCCTGTATTGAAGACTGACAATGAAAACACGTTAGCACACATTTTCGACGCAACACGCCCTTGTTTCGAAGTAGGCAGTGCATGCGGCTTTCAAAGGACACGTCCAGGTGCAACATGCACAAAGCTGATGCATGCTAATGTAATTTGGAGGCTCCAAGCAATACGCATGCCGTCGCCTCCCCGCAACTGAGAGCGCAGATGCAGCCAAGCAATGCGGCCAGCGAGGCACCGTTACATTTGCAATGTTGACATTTTCAGGGAGTGGCAACAGTCTTCGTGGTTGTACCTGTTAAGATGACCGACATAGCATTGTTCAAGTTGCATAATCTCAGTATGCCTCAGAATTTCGCAAACTTTTGTGCAGATGCCAGCCGCCCACGCATTCTCGGGATCAACGCTCATCCCTGCCGCACTTTTCACTGCCCGCTCGATGGTCAGTGTGACTTGTATTGATTGGACCCGTGGCAGATGCCTTTCAGGATTCCATAGTGCATCAATTGCATAGCTGAGCTGGTTTTCACGCTCTTGAAGTAGACAGAAAGCGTTGATGACGCTCAGGTTATGAACGTCATCAGCCGATACGGGAAGGCTCCCGTGAGTGACTTCGGTGCCCCCTCTGGCATCCGAAATTTCCAGGAGATCTTTGCCTTGAATCGAGCCCTTTCGCAAGTTGGTCACTCCTGGAATCGAACGACGTAGCATGCAATAATGACACGCAATCGGATTCTTGGATATGAGGAGCATGTCTTTTGAGCCATGGCCATGTCATCAGACATCTAATATCACTATATATCACTGCAAGTGGGGCATGAACTCACAGATGCCAGAGGAGATGGCTTTGGGCTTCACCTCAGACATTGCCAAGAACAACTTGGGAGAGTCCTTCTACAGGACAGTCACAAGACACTCCGAAAATGCTCGACTCGCAACTGCTCGATTTGATCGATTCGCTCAACTCCAGTCTTTCTTTGCTCCTGTGTTCTGGCAGGCCGTGGGTGCCTTTCATCACTACCATCTTCCTCTTCATCTTTGTTAGCAACTGGTCCGGTGCTTTGATCCCTTGGAAGCTGTTCGAGATCCCAGCAGGCCAGGCTCATTCATGCCGGAATGCAGGGCAGCTTTGGTAGTCGCCATAGAGTGGACAGGTTCGTTTTAACATGAAGGGATCTGATCTTTGCTCCCAGCAGTAACACTTTGCAACTTGGCCAGGTGAACTGGCAGCACCTACCAACAACATCAACACCACCGTGGCACTGAGCTTGTGCCAGCCTGATTTGGAGCCATCATCCAAAAGTGTTGGGTCATGTCAAGTCCAAAAATGGATCAGCAGTTCGGAAATGCCACATAGGCTTTGTTCAGGATACCGAATTGGCGATGATTGTCATGCAGAGAATTTTGTAGGTTCATGCGCCCTTCTGAGGCTGACCTCCTTGGCCTACTTTGGTGGCGGCCTCGCCAAGAAGGGCCTGGGTTACTTTGCTCGCTACGTTCCTCGGTTGAAGGTTGAAAGGTATCTCTTGGTCCTGAAAAGTCATGATTTCCAGCCAGCAGCTCATGTTCTCTGATTGAGGTGAAGCCAACCCCCATCCTGCTTCCCATCAACATCTTGGAGGACTTCACAAAGCCGTTGGGAGCTGAGTCAAGGGAGCATGACATCATGACTTCAGGACATTATGATACAACATCTACATTGACAAACCGCAAGATCAACTGGAACACAGAGAGACATAGAGCTTTGGGCCGTCCAGTTTAATGAACTGTAGCGCTTTTTTCTTGACACGGATGTGTCCCGTACAAGTGGTCTTTGGACTTGGGCATGGTAGGTAGCCAGCAAAATCTCTGAGGCTGTCCTTGAGCTTCCGACTTTTCGGAAATGTTGTGGCAGATGAGCTGACGGTGGGTGTCGCCATCTCAATTCATACCTGATGTAAAACACAGACAGACTCTCTCTCTCTCTCTCTAGAAAACTATTTGCTGAGTCGCCAAGTCGGATGGTTCTGCGTATTGCAACTTGTCCGTCCGCACACTTTGAGTGTGAAACATACTGGACTCTTGTGACGTCGCCACTGCAAATTAAGGTGCTCTGCTTCTTGGTTCCCTTCGTGATTCCCTTGCCTATCATGGGCCTGGGTCTCTTCGCAGGCAGGGAAAGAGTTAAGAACATAGAGAAAGTTAAGATAAGTTGAGAACATGTCAAGAACAACAAGCTGGCATTGACATCAGGTTCCATCCAGGCACTTATCTTCTCTACGTTGGCGGCGGCATACATCCATGAAGCTTTGGAGTGAGCTTTTAGGATCAGTTTTTGGTATTTTTCCTCATAAAGCCAAGGCCTGGTCGAGGCAATGTCGAAATGCGAAGCTTCACCCTGTGCCCACAAAAATTGTGGGCTGCGGACAAGGACAAACAAAACAGGACATGTTTTTCATTGCCGGTCCAGCGGCAAAACTGCTTCATTTAAGTGCCATGAAAAAGGGCTCCGGCTGCGAATGTGGAGATGATAAATCCAGTTGAGACTTGAGAAGCTTTGGCTGGAGGCTTTGGCCGTCAAGTTGCCAAGCTCTTTGTTAATCTTCTTTTAAGCCCTTTTGACTTTTGACCCAATGGTGCAACATGTTGACAAGTGCACATGAGAACGGTCCTCCAGAACGTAAAGCTGGGATTGGATAGCACCACTCAGCAACGCCTGTTGAAAGAACTGTACATATAGAGAAGCAACAGCATGGTGTGGAGAGAGCTCTTTGGAGTTTTGGGGTCATGCGTGCTCACTTGGCTGGTTCCTTTCAGTTTCTGCCAAATACTAGCAGCAGTTGCTCACTTTGATCTAGTCGTTCTATACGGAGGCACGGATTTTGGCTGTCTACACTGCCCCTTTTGATTGTGCTGCCGCTTGTGTACCAAGTAGTTGAAGATACTTTGGACAACCAGAGCCGGGGTTGTCCACTGCCCAAGATGTGCCAAGCTCGGTTCATGCCAAGAGAGTGCATGTGCCTGCTACAAAGCAAACGAAGACTTGAGAGACCAGCAGAGACCGCTAGAAACATTCGAAGTGGAAAACGATGTATGGCCATTGGCCATATATACCTCGTACCGTGATATGCCATATTAATCCATTTTATGATATATTATGCCATTGAGGCTGCGGTCCCGCTCGACTCTGCTGCGATGCGCAGCTGGTGTGGCGCTTTGCGTGGCCTTGCAGGCTGCACTTAGCTTTGTGGCTCCTGCCAGTGGCGCTGCAAAGGCCTGGTCCATTTTTATCCATTTTAATTTTAGTTCAATTGAAAAGACAGCCTGTATTGAAGACTGACAATGAAAACACATTAGCACACATTTTCGACACAACACGCCCTTGTTTCGAAGTAGGCAGTGCATGCGGCTTTCAAAGGACACGTCCAGGTGCAACATGCACAAAGCTGATGCATGCTAATTTAATTTGGAGGCTCCAAGCAATGCGCATGCCGTCGCCTCCCCGCAACTGAGAGCGCAGATGCAGCCAAGCAATGCGGCCAGCGAGGCACCGTTACATTTGCAATGTTGACGTTTTCAGAGAGTGGCAACAGTCTTCGTGGTTGTACCTGTTAAGATGACCGACATAGCATTGTTCAAGTTGCATAATCTCAGTATGCCTCAGAATTTCGCAAACTTTTGTGCAGATGCCAGCCGCCCACGCATTCTCGGGATCAACGCTCATCCCTGCCGCACTTTTCACTGCCCGCTCGATGGTCAGTGTGACTTGTATTGATTGGACCCGTGGCAGATGCCTTTCAGGATTCCATAGTGCATCAATTGCATAGCTGAGCTGGTTTTCACGCTCTTGAAGTAGACAGAAAGCGTTGATGACGCTCAGGTTGTGAACGTCATCAGCCGCTACGGGAAGGCTCCCGTGAGTGACTTCGGTGCCCCCTCTGGCATCCGAAATTTCCAGGAGATCTTTGCCTTGAATCGAGCCCTTTCGCAAGTTGGTCACTCCTGGAATCGAACGACGTAGCATGCAGTAATGACACGCAATCGGATTCTTGGATATGAGGAGCATGTCTTTTGAGCCATGGCCATGTCATCAGACATCTAATATCACTATATATCACTGCAAGTGGGGCATGAACTCACAGATGCCAGAGGAGATGGCTTTGGGCTTCACCTCAGACATTGCCAAGAACAACTTGGGAGAGTCCTTCTACAGGACAGTCACAAGACACTCCGAAAATGCTCGACTCGCAACTGCTCGATTTGATCGATTCGCTCAACTCCAGTCTTTCTTTGCTCCTGTGTTCTGGCAGGCCGTGGGTGCCTTTCATCACTACCATCTTCCTCTTCATCTTTGTTAGCAACTGGTCCGGTGCTTTGATCCCTTGGAAGCTGTTCGAGATCCCAGCAGGCCAGGCTCATTCATGCCGGAATGCAGGGCAGCTTTGGTAGTCGCCATAGAGTGGACAGGTTCGTTTTGACATGAAGGGATCTGATCTTTGCTCCCAGCAGTAACACTTTGCAACTTGGCCAGGTGAACTGGCAGCACCTACCAACAACATCAACACCACCGTGGCACTGAGCTTGTGCCAGCCTGATTTGGAGCCATCATCCAAAAGTGTTGGGTCATGTCAAGTCCAAAAATGGATCAGCAGTTCGGAAATGCCACATAGGCTTTGTTCAGGATACCGAATTGGCGATGATTGTCATGCAGAGAATTTTGTAGGTTCATGCGCCCTTCTGAGGCTGACCTCCTTGGCCTACTTTGGTGGCGGCCTCGCCAAGAAGGGCCTGGGTTACTTTGCTCGCTACGTTCCTCGGTTGAAGGTTGAAAGGTATCTCTTGGTCCTGAAAAGTCATGATTTCCAGCCAGCAGCTCATGTTCTCTGATTGAGGTGAAGCCAACCCCCATCCTGCTTCCCATCAACATCTTGGAGGACTTCACAAAGCCGTTGGGAGCTGAGTCAAGGGAGCATGACATCATGACTTCAGGACATTATGATACAACATCTACATTGACAAACCGCAAGATCAACTGGAACACAGAGAGACATAGAGCTTTGGGCCGTCCAGTTTAATGAACTGCAGCACTTTTTTCTTGACACGGATGTGTCCCGTGCAAGTGGTCTTTGGACTTGGGCATGGTAGGTAGCCAGCAAAATCTCTGAGGCTGTCCTTGAGCTTCCGACTTTTCGGAAATGTTGTGGCAGATGAGCTGACGGTGGGTGTCGCCATCTCAATTCATACCTGATGTAAAACACAGACAGACTCTCTCTCTAGAAAACTATTTGCCGAGTCGCCAAGTCGGATGGTTCTGCGTATTGCAACTTGTCCGTCCGCACACTTTGAGTGTGAAACATATTGGACTCTTGTGACGTCGCCACTGCAAATTAAGGTGCTCTGCTTCTTGGTTCCCTTCGTGATTCCCTTGCCTATCATGGGCCTGGGTCTCTTCGCAGGCAGGGAAAGAGTTAAGAACATAGAGAAAGTTAAGATAAGTTGAGAACATGTCAAGAACAACAAGCTGGCATTGACAGCCTTTGACAGCCTGTCACCACATCAGGTTCCATCCAGGCACTTATCTTCTCTACGTTGGCGGCGGCATACATCCATGAAGCTTTGGAGTGAGCTTTTAGGATCAGTTTTTGGTATTTTTCCTCATAAAGCCAAGGCCTGGTCGAGGCAATGTGGAGACTTTAAACAGTGATCTTTCCAGACAAAATCCTTCAAGTGATTCAAATTGATATATGCAACTTATTCAACCTTTAAAACATGTGATAGCCTCTTCATTGCCAGCTCTTCGGAGAGATGTGGCCAGTGACGTGGTAAGAAAAAGGGGTCATGGGAAGTTCCACTGTGGAGTGGATTGGTCACATGGCAGCCTGAAGTCCCAATGAGTTTGCGCAACTCTCTATCCATGTCCACCGCTGTATTTTACATAGTTCGAGATATTGGACAACTGGATTTGGGTTTGTCCACTGCCCAAGATGTGCCAAGCTCGGTTCATGCCAAGAGAGTGCATGTGCCTGCTACAAAGCAAACGAAGACTTGGGAGACCAGCAGAGACCGCTAGAAACATTCGAAGTGGAAAACGATGTATGGCCATTGGCCACATATACCACGTACCATGATATGCCATATTAATCCATATTATGATATATTATGCCATTGAGGCTGCGGTCCCGCTCGACTCTGCTGCGATGCGCAGCTGGTGTGGCGCTTTGCGTGGCCTTGCAGGCTGCACTTAGCTTTGTGGCTCCTGCCAGTGGCGCTGCAAAGGCCTGGTCCATTTTTATCCATTTTAATTTTAGTTCAATTGAAAAGACAGCCTGTATTGAAGACTGACAATGAAAACACATTAGCACACATTTTCGACGCGACACGCCCTTGTTTCGAAGTAGGCAGTGCATGCGGCTTTCAAAGGACACGTCCAGGTGCAACATGCACAAAGCTGATGCATGCTAATGTAATTTGGAGGCTCCAAGCAATACGCATGCCGTCGCCTCCCCGCAACTGAGAGCGCAGATGCAGCCAAGCAATGCGGCCAGCGAGGCACCGTTACATTTGCAATGTTGACATTTTCAGGGAGTGGCAACAGTCTTCGTGGTTGTACCTGTTAAGATGACCGACATAGCATTGTTCAAGTTGCATAATCTCAGTATGCCTTAGAATTTCGCAAACTTTTGTGCAGATGCCAGCCGCCCACGCATTCTCGGGATCAACGCTCATCCCTGCCGCACTTTTCACTGCCCGCTCGATGGTCAGTGTGACTTGTATTGATTGGACCCGTGGCAGATGCCTTTCAGGATTCCATAGTGCATCAATTGCATAGCTGAGCTGGTTTTCACGCTCTTGAAGTAGACAGAAAGCGTTGATGACGCTCAGGTTGTGAACGTCATCAGCCGCTACGGGAAGGCTCCCGTGAGTGACTTCGGTGCCCCCTCTGGCATCCGAAATTTCCAGGAGATCTTTGCCTTGAATCGAGCCCTTTCGCAAGTTGGTCACTCCTGGAATCGAACGACGTAGCATGCAGTAATGACACGCAATCGGATTCTTTGGATATGAGGAGCATGTCTTTTGAGCCATGGCCATGTCATCAGACATCTAATATCACTATATATCACTGCAAGTGGGGCATGAACTCACAGATGCCAGAGGAGATGGCTTTGGGCTTCACCTCAGACATTGCCAAGAACAACTTGGGAGAGTCCTTCTACAGGACAGTCACAAGACACTCCGAAAATGCTCGACTCGCAACTGCTCGATTTGATCGATTCGCTCAACTCCAGTCTTTCTTTGCTCCTGTGTTCTGGCAGGCCGTGGGTGCCTTTCATCACTACCATCTTCCTCTTCATCTTTGTTAGCAACTGGTCCGGTGCTTTGATCCCTTGGAAGCTGTTCGAGATCCCAGCAGGCCAGGCTCATTCATGCCGGAATGCAGGGCAGCTTTGGTAGTCGCCATAGAGTGGACAGGTTCGTTTTGACATGAAGGGATCTGATCTTTGCTCCCAGCAGTAACACTTTGCAACTTGGCCAGGTGAACTGGCAGCACCTACCAACAACATCAACACCACCGTGGCACTGAGCTTGTGCCAGCCTGATTTGGAGCCATCATCCAAAAGTGTTGGGTCATGTCAAGTCCAAAAATGGATCAGCAGTTCGGAAATGCAACATAGGCTTTATTCAGGGTACCGAATTGGCGATGATTGTCATGCAGAGAATTTTGTAGGTTCATGCGCCCTTCTGAGGCTGACCTCCTTGGCCTACTTTGGCGGCGGCCTCGCCAAGAAGGGCCTGGGTTACTTTGCTCGCTACGTTCCTCCGTTGAAGGTTGAAAGGTATCTCTTGGTCCTGAAAAGTCATGATTTCCAGCCAGCAGCTCATGTTCTCTGATTGAGGTGAAGCCAACCCCCATCCTGCTTCCCATCAACATCTTGGAGGACTTCACAAAGCCGTTGGGAGCTGAGTCAAGGGAGCATGACATCATGACTTCAGGACATTATGATACAACATCTACATTGACAAACCGCAAGATCAACTGGAACACAGAGAGACATAGAGCTTTGGGCCGTCCAGTTTAATGAACTGCAGCGCTTTTTTCTTGACACGGATGTGTCCCATGCAAGTGGTCTTTGGACTTGGGCATGGTAGGTAGCCAGCAAAATCTCTGAGGCTGTCCTTGAGCTTCCGACTTTTCGGAAATGTTGTGGCAGATGAGCTGACGGTGGGTGCCGGTATCTTAGTAGATACAGCTGCTCCCTGGCAGAGATGTGTTTCTCCATCTGCTTGAGTCACGCCTCTCTATGCCATATATGCCATGTTGACTCAGGTGCTTTGCTTTCTGGTGCCTTTCGTGATCCCATTGCCGATCATGGGCCTGGGTCTCTTCGCAGGCATGGCTGAAAGCTCGCAGTTGGTTCGTGTTGCCTTCTTTGCAGTGTGCTGGATGCAGCAGGAATGCGGCGCACTCGGGGATCAAAATCTATGATTCCAACTGATACCACATTTGGGGGGGAAGAACATCCACTTGCCAGCTATTTTTGTGCTCAGCAGGGTACCAGGCTTTTGACCCAGAGCCACCTGTTCATAAAAAGGTATCCTCGTCCACGGCAACTCCAACACCCGCATAACCGGCACAACCATCATTTTGACTTCAAGGATCACCATTACCATGGATCACCTGTTTGATGTAGCCCCTGGTCTATCCTGCTGTTCTTCAGTTGTTTCAGTTGTATTGAGGTAGTACTTTTTTTAGTTGGCATATGTTGGCATGTTCAGATTGTTCAGGCTCCATCCAAGCTTTGATCTTCTCCACCTTGGCTGCGGCTTACATTCACGAAGCCCTGGAGTGAGTGCGGCCTTGAGTCATTTCGAAGGATACAAGGATCACAAGGAGTACACAACAGATGGATTCAATATGCACCAGAAATCACCAGAATACATTGAAGACATGTAGAGCCTGTAGAGCATATGCCAAGATGCCAATTGCTGGCTGAACATTTCATTTCAGAATGATTTGAGAAAGTTTGAAAACTCGTTTTTGACCTATTCTTTATCAACTCAGAAGACTCTGCAGGTGAAGCCCGAGCAGAGTTTTCTTGATTTTTCCGATGGCCTGTTCGAGGCATGCGGCTTCAATGGCCGTCCACAGCTGTTCAACCATTTAGTCAGTGAATAATCAGCTGATCAGCTGAAGCGGTTCACAAAGGTCAGATGTGTAGCACTTGCAGTTGGACTGGCCCGGCCATTGTAGCTTCACCCAGATGTTGCGAGATCTCCCGTCGCTGGTGAAAAGGCTTCAAACCGATGTGGCTTCCATTCTTATTATACCGATTTGTTGTACATAGCTGCATGGAAATTGAAACTGATTGCCCTCCGGGCACAGAGCATTTCCGGTTCAGTGGATCAGACACCGGCTCTGAAAGTTTCGAATGCCAAGAGAATGCTTCAAACCAAAGTATTTCAAGCTGATCAGTTCTTTTTCAAATCAGACTTCTTGGACAAAGTCTCTGTAATCACTTGATGCTTGATTTGAGAGATCATGTATCACAGAGACTCGCTGTTGCTTTGTAGCTTGCACTATGTATGTTGGTAGATTTGCGTGCGTCTCAGCGCGAGCCAACTTGTATCTGTGCGTGGGAAAAGCATCTCGTTGAACTCTGCTTCATCGAAAGTGGTAAGGTGCGCGCGGCCAAAGGGGAGCCAACAAAAGAGGACAGTTCTCTTCAGAAACGCAAAGGAACTGAACACAGACCCAGGGTAAATGGCGTTGCTCAGGAGTTACGACGACTCAAGACCTTCTTCGCAAGAGCTGCGGTGGCATCAAAGTTGCTCAAGTCTCGACTGGCGATGCCCATTGCGTGCGCCCCCTCAATTTGCAGTTTGCACATGTAAAGGTCACGACTGGAAGTACTCAAGTCGCAGACATTGTAGGTATCCGCTGAATTCAGCCATGATGCGAGAAAAGGGTGCCGTCACTTGGATCAGATGTTTTTGGCGGATCCATATGCCTGGGACTTGACTGTCACACCATCTTCGACCCCAAGGACAGTGCTGAAGCTGCAAAGGCTCCCCTGTCATCTGGCCTCAAGGCCCAGTTGGCTGTATAACAAGTGATGCTGTGAAGAGTTCTGTGATACTTGCGATACTTGTGATACTTGCGATACTTGCGAGTTCCAAGTTGTGAGGACGATGAGTCCTGGAAGCTTACGCAGAAAGGATTGGCCCACGTGATGCCCATCGTGGCCGGCATGTCCAAGGCCATGGAATCTTCTCAGGTCTACGTTTTCGCGTTTGCTTCGGATCAGAGGGAGGATTTTCTCGGAGGCTCCGCGTTTGGTTCGACTGTTAGTGGGATATCGATGGATATCGGATGATCGGATTACCCATGATTACCCGATGGTATTGCGGGCATGAATGGTAGCAGAATTTCTTAACGGGGTTTTAGCAGGCCAAGGCTACCGGCTGTTTTGCCATGACCTCCATGATCCATGACAGCGATCTATGCTGGTGAGCATGGCTTAATGGAGACAACTGGCATGGTTGATACATGATTGATACATGATTGATCATGGATCAGTGTGAACCTCAATGGATCACACTGATCACACCTTCTAACTTACGTAGTCACGCCGTGTCACGCTGGTTGTTGTGATCAGCCTGTTCTTATCGCCTTGATGCATTGCTCATAGTTGATCATTGATGCATGATCATTGTCGCATATTTGAAATATTGACTTGCCTTCAAATAGTTCTGCTTTTGTTCAAGGGGTGAAGCTGGTAGAAAGTCAAAGTCGCCCAAACAAGATCGTTAACCTAAGTTTCACTAGCCAAAGAGAATATGGAGAGCTTTCATACATGTTCCTTTAGGCCTTGCACTTCCAAGGGATCAAACTATTCATTGGAACTTTGGAGTGGCTTTGGAAAAGAACACCAGGAAGTGTCGATGGCTTCTACTCAAAGGCTGCATGTTTGCAGAAAACGAGAACGCATGTAAAAGGGATCAAAGGGATCAAAAGGGATCAAAAAGGATTAATTTGCACCTTTCTGTGGCCACTTCCTCTTTTGGGGCCATGGCACTATCTGCGGACCCAAGACTTTCTGAGGACACTCTCACAGAAGTTTGCACGCTGTAGCGTTCACAACAATGTTGAAAAATATATCTTTCCGGCCGAGGAACCGCGTGGGTTGAGACTTCGGAGCGCCCAGGTCTGGGCCTTTTTCACCAGTTTTTTTCCAAAGCTGCCAAGACAGACAATGAACAACTTGATGCGCGCAAATGAGGATGTCGTTCTACTGCGGGTCAATGGCCCAACGGTCATTGGTCGCAAGGACCTGGGGTCAGTTTGAGCAGAAGATGTTCCTTTGGAAATTCCTTTGGAAATTCCTTTGGAAATTCCTTGGGAAATCAGGAGTGCGACATCGAGGTGAAGCATCCCTCGGCCTCCTGGCAGAAATTGACAGACATGCATAGACTATGCATAGATTACAAGTATCCATCATGCAAGAGGATGCAAAAAAGGTAGGACATGAAAAAGGCAGGGCAAAAGGGTAGAACAATTTCATTGGCACGCAGGTCTCTTCTCGACATGCATCCATCGAGCTTCTTCCGCCAGTAGCTGAGTAGCGGCTGCACCAAAGATTTGATGCCACTGCATGCACTGAAGCCTCATGGATGTTCAGCCTCAGGTCAGGGCCTGCCCAGGACCGCCCCTCATTCTTTCGTGCTTGGACAATCGGAAATTCAGTGCGAGTATGGCAAGATATGGAAGATGCACCTCCATGGTTCCTGTTTCCTCACCTCAGGACAGCTTTGAAAGCTCATTGAAGGCAGGAAACTGGTGGAGCCAAATCACTGACCTGTCTATGTGCAGTGTAGCCACCACTGGTTTTGGTGCTTTGTGGTAGGTAGCTTTGCTGACGGATCTCAGCTCCACCAATGGTGCGCCAAAGACCCAAAGCAGCAAAGCACTGGCCAAACTGGACCGCCAGAGAGGTACTTTTGCAGGTGAGCTGCCTGCTGGCACTCGGGTGCCGCCAGAAGGGGCGAGGCTGGAGCGCGATGGGATTGTGATAGTGGAAGAGAATGGAAGAGAGAAAAGTGATACAAAACGCTACAATCAGAATTGGTCCACTTGGCATTGCGTGCATTGCACTTCTGGCACCAGACTTTCTCTTTGCAGATTGTCAATTGGCGACTACATGCGCTTTGGCTTCTGCCCGTGGATCTACCGTTTAGAGGAGCCGTTGATTTGCATCAATGCGGCGGATTGGTCATTCAACTCGTTACCGGGAATCCGGTATCACTGGAAGAGTTTGCCATAGTTTGTCCAACAGGTCGTTCCAAGCGCTGAGAGCGCAGAGTCGACAGAGTGGGATCAGGCAACTGGGGTACTGTCCAATTATTCCTCTTGCGGGCTCAACTCTAACACGTGCGTAAAACACGAGCAGGGACCAATTGCAAAACAAAGGTCTTGATCTTGACCGTTTAATACAAAACAAATCAAGCCCTCGGATGGTGCCCAGTCCGTTTCTCCTCGCTTCTGTTTGTCTAGCCTGCTGCCTCCTGTGTCCGTTACTTTCTGTCGCTTGAGGTCCATGTCCTGTAGTTGAATTGTATTCTCTTTGTGTTCTGGCAACGCATGGGAACCTGTGCAACATTCACCGACTGTTTCCACACCTTCTCAATGGTGCAGGCAGGTACTTCCAGCCGAGATGAGAGGCTGCAGGGGAATATAGGGAGATATATGATAGTTAGGGGTAGTTTTGGGTAGGGATGGGTAGTTAGTTGCGCATGTGAGTTGCGGGGGCTTCTCAACCCAGTGGACGTGGTGCGCGCAGTTCTTTCATTCTGCCAGGCGGCAACAGCAGCTGAAATTCGCTGAGACGTCTTACCTTGGGTGGTTGACGCAGGCATCTGAAATTCTATTTTTGGTTTTACTATGTTTTACTCGTATTCTGATGTACTCTGAATTCTGCTGTTTTCTGGTTCTACTCGAAGGTCCGGGAAGAATATGCTGCGGTTCGAAGCAGAGCCGAAGCAGCAGGCAACGCGCATGTTGGGTGCCTCTGTAACTGATGCAACGTCATGAACATCGACGCTTTGCAGACATTGAAGCACAGGTTCTCCAATGGCCTACAGTCCTTCACTGGAACAGCTGGAGGTTTGCAATGATCAAACATCGGAACCAAGATGAACCGTTGAAGGTTGGGGAAGACGGGAAGACATCAGACCTGCTTCCAGAGGCCACTTGCACTGCCTTTCTGCAGCGGCCTGTGTCCAGGAGCCTTGGCAGAGATTAGGAGCCACATAGCCTACCCAATCTGAAAGTGAGTGCGAAGACTGCATCACCATTGACACGGGGCTTCCATGGGCTTTCTTAACAGTCCTGAGGTGTGCCAGTGCTTCATCGCCGTTTTCCAGGCACTCAGATCATCACTTTTTGGGCACTCAGATTTGGCGTCTCGAGTGATCCACCAGGGATCCACCAGTGATCCACCAGGACATGGGCATCAAAGTTGCCAAGTCCCTCGGGGAAAAATCGGCCTGCAACTTCGATGGCCCAGCTGGCCATGAAATGTGACCAGGTGTGGCTCGGGATCATGGCCAGATATGGCCAGCATGGCCAGCTGTGTTTCTCATTACAGTCATTGCAATGACCTTTGTGCACTTCCTTCCAGAAACTGTTTCATGGTCATGTCGCCAGAGAGGATGTGCTTTCCCAATCCTGTGGTGATGGTATTTGATGGTATTTGTATAGTATTTTTATCATGTAATATCATATCGTGCATCTGTTATTATCTGTTATTATTTGTTCGTATTTTGTGGAGCCTTCAACAGGTGGAGACCGACACCCTTGAAGGAGTCGAACCTTGTTTAGCAGACATCGAGGCGGAGGTAGAGCGGCTTGCAGGCAGAGTACAACTTCACAAACATCCAAAGCCAGCAATTACACCAATTGACAAATTCTTCATACTGTACATTTGATTGAGAGACAAAGTCAGAGTTCGGACTTGATCATGAGGCATTTTTCTGCGATCTTGATATTTCGCAGGGCGGTCGTGGGAAGTATCCAGCATTCTGCGACCATCCCTTGCTTCGGTCACTGCCTTGGATGTGCTGTTAGGAAATGATGACAGCTGTGCTGATAGCAAAGCAACCAACAGCACCAACAGCACCAACAGCATATTCGTTTTGGAGGCCGCTGATCTGGAAAATGTGGAATGCCAGATTCAAGAGGCTGGATATGGCTGGATTTCTCTGGATTCAACATGATTCGACGAGATTCGGACATAGATTCGGCTGGACATGGAGAGCTGCCAACACCCAACTGACATTGATGGAGTCTGATGGAGGCTTTGAACTTCGTCACTGAGTCTTTGCCGAGACTGGCATCGGATTTGGACCAGCAGGCGTTCAGCTTCACTTCGATCAATTGAAAGTATCCATGCTTGTTGAAACTAGCATCTTCAGTTTAGAATTGAGCATCGCTTTGATATGCATTGATTCTTTCAATCTTATGCACAAGGTTTGTGGACCTACCTTCCAAGCATTGTTGGCCCGTGGTCGGCCAGCACCTGGGAATGCGGCACGCTTGGCCCCCAGGGCTTTGCAGCAATCATCAATCAGATTCAGCTTGTACCGAGCATGTGGCTTTCGATCTGTGATGGGACGAATCCAAAATTTCGGTTTCAAAGAGGTGAGCGAACCAGCTCAGAGTTGCTGAATGGACTGGAGGAGGCTGGTGCCAAGTTCAAAGGGTCTGAAGTTTGCTGGATTTTCACTCATTCTGACCATGAAAATACCATGCCTACGTGTCTCACAGAGTCTCACAGAGTCTCAACAGACGCTGCAGAAGTTGTGTGATGAAGCTTTGTTTTTCTGTTTTTTGTATTTCACTTTGATATGTTTTGATCCCAAGTCCCAAGACCTACCAAGACCTACCAAGACCTCCCAGGAACTCCCAGCTCCGGTTGAGGTTTCAACTTTGGTGTTCTCTGCCGAGCAGCTCATCGGCCTTCTCCGGGTGGGGGCAACTCAATAGCTATTCAGCTATTCCAAGTGCCATACCTTTGAGTCCCATTTTGAGTCTATTTGAGTTAGGAATTCCATGGAATTCCTACACATTCACCAAAGAATTTCATTTCAGAATGGTTTAAGAGCATGGCATTACTGCAACTAATTCTTTGAAACACATAGGATGTTTCATGTTTATCTTCCTGGATTGGCAAGACTCGGCAAAAACAATAAACTTCAGCGCCAGGTGAAAATCGAAGATGATGCAGATTTGGCACCACCTGCCTGTGATTTCCTGTGTACTTAGGGAGCAAACTGAGAGTCGATGGCAGGCACTGGCCCGGACAGTGCTGGAAGACACAGTCCGCTTCTTCTGGGACTTGGACCAATGTGCCAAGTGCGAAGCTCAATCTCTGATCGTCTCTAATCATGTCATGTCATGGAATATCATAGAATCACATGAGCTCGCATAGAAATCACAACATACATGTGCTGTGATTATAGTGTGGTCTTGAAGACGCAATTCTTGTGATGTTCAAAACGGATCAAAAAGGATCAAAAAGGATCAAAAAGGCACACTGCATTCTTTTGGCACATCAATTGAACTACTCAAGACATGAGACATCATGAGAGAATTTTAGCAGATGCCATCAGCGAATGTACATGGATGACGGGTCACGTGTCGTATTAGTTGTATCGTCTTGTGCTCCATCTAGGTGGCGTAGAGTGTCCACATGGGAGCTCTTTGAAGAGGTTAACGACTGATGCCAGGGAACCACCCTACGGAACAGCGGGGCTACAGAACAGCTAAGCCGTGCTACGTGGTCTCTTCAGAGAATCATTTGAAGTGGACCTGTTGTACATTATGATCAGATGATCAGTCTCACTTGCTTGCAGAATGCGAGCTTAGTGACAAGCACGTCCTTTGAAGCGCAAAGAGTTCCCATGTGACGTCAGTTGAGATGGTAACAGGCAATAGCTGGGTGAAGATGAGTCAGCACATGGGCTGGTCCTCTTGACCGGTCAGGTAGCATCGGTGCTCAAAGCTACACAAGCACTGACATACTACCAGGCCATTGCATTGAGCATTTTCTTTTTCTCCAAAAGTGCGAGGAGTATTGGCAGTATTGGCAAGTACTTGGCTGCCTCTCTGGTGTATGATTTTCACAGGTGGCATTGTAAGAATTGTTCTCACTTAGATTTATATAATCAATTATAAATTATTAATATTTATTCCACTTGCGACACTTGCCTTTCAAGATCTTTCAAGTACCTTTCAACTTTCTACCTATCTTTTCGAAGAACAATGCCATGATCCTCCTCATCCTCCTGCCCGACAGTAGGGCGCACTTGGACCTACTCCAACGCCCAGCTTCAAATTCAGATGTTCAATTCTTGCCAGATGGCTGCCAGATGCATGTCTGTGTCAAATACAATATGAATATGTCTGAAAATGGTATATACCCCCAAATGATCAAATGGCAGTTTCAATGTATAGAACGCATATAGTTTTTTTTTTTGGTACCACATTCTCAGACAAACCCATACGCATCCCTTACGTAATAATGCACATATAATATATATATATATAACATAATTTGGTATACACACGAGATCAATGTCGGATATACTTCGGATATATGTTGGCAATGTGTTAGAATGATTTGTGTGTCAAATGCACTACAGATATGAATCAAAGATGGATTGTGTTGAGCATACATCGGATGTATGACAGATGCTTGGTATGTGTCAGACGTGCATGGCAGATTCACATCACAGACGCCTTCGATATGTGTACGTTCCTACGATATTCGGGGATAAACATGAAACTCCTCCTTTGTTCCCTGTAGCGTTTCGGCTTTAGGGATCGTATGTGGGGCCACACCACTGAGTGTGGTTGCTCCGTGTGTACTTCCCTTGGTCGAAGTTTCCAGGATTTATCCCACTTGCGGGTGGGCACGCGCGGGTGCTAGAGGGTGAGCTTCGTGACACCGTCGCCTTCTCCCGACAGGGGAGGCCAGTAGCTCCCAGTGTTCTGGCGGGTGGCTTGCCTCACCCTGCGCTGGGGCCACAAGTTCCACCTCAGGGGAGGGCCCTCCCTTGACCTCCCAGGAACCCAAGGCAAAGGAAAAGGCTGAGAGCGAGCAAGTCAAAGCCAGCCGAGCCGCCTTGAGGAAGTAAGGCTGTGGTGCCCAAGGTTGAGCCTGTGGATAGCCCTGACAACCTTGTGGACGCGCCAGGTGAAGAGACGCCAAAGCAGCCTGTGAAAAGATCAAAAAAGAAGAGAAGGAGCCCATCCAGCCATCACAAAGCATCCAAGCCTTCAAAGCCCGACAAAGACAAGAGAAGGAGCCGTTCCAGGTCGCGTAGAAGAGGTGACCGAGGTAGAGTGGCACAATCGCATTCACCGAGATCAAGGTCATGGAGGAGAAGAAGATCTAGGGGAGATAGGAAGTCTCCCAGTCTAGAAGAAGGCCCGAGGTGAGGCTCCTCCCGAACCTAGCTTGCTGCCAAGGAGGCCTAGGTCACCGCCCTTTCCTCCGGGGCCCAGAAGTCCGCTAGCCACCCAGGATATCGTGGAGGTCAGGACCAAGGGTGGCGTGGTCCACTTCCTTATTCCTCTCACCCGAGCTGGAGTGAATCAACAAACAAAGGTCAGGTGAAGAGGGCGAAGCAAGAGTACTTCTCGAGGAGGTATCGGTGAAAAGGAAAGGGAGGCATGCCTTCCAAGGCGAAGGTGCGAATGAGGAGGCCGGCAGCTCAAATGGCAGCACCTTGAGAGAGACCTGCAGCGCGTAAGGAGCAGGGCGATGATCACGGTGGCTCGTAGGGCGTAGGGTCGTTGAAAGTTTCTTCCCTGACGCCGTCTTTGGTGAGGATGTCGAGTTCATTGATGAGGAGATGGTCAGGAGATGGTCTTTGCGGTTGCTGGACGTGACTACCGTAGCTGTCTTTTTCAGCATGTCCCTAGAGTCTCACTTTGTCGGTTTTTTCGGTTGGGCACAGGTTCACGGTCTAGTTGAAAATGTGGCATCTATGGACTATAATATGAGCCAGGCCTATGGTGAGAGGCCGTGGCTTATTGACTCCCTTGGAGCCAGCTTGAGTCGATGGCTGCGCTTGTACTGGGTTACATGAGCAGTTGTGGTGTTGACATCCGATGCGGGAGCACAGGACAACTTCCAGTGAAAGGAGACGTGAATCTCCCAGCTTCCCTGGAAGCCAAAAACTATGTGGAACCTGGATGGGAGGCCGCGCAGGCAGGACTCCCAACTTTCACAACATCGAGACCGAGCACAACACCTCACCGGCGGCCTGCAGGATTTAAGCAATGCCAGCCCTACGAATTGGACCGTTGGAAAAAGGATCTTCATCGCTACCCGCCTTACCAATACCGTGATGAAAATTGCTTGCGCTCTACCAAGAAAAACTTTAGGCCTCCCAGTGTAGCAGAACGAGAAGCCATCTTGGGTGTCGTCAACAGATTGTGCCCGGGCCAATTTCCTACGCTGCAAGGTTTGCAGTTGCGACCACCTGTCATGGAGTACCACTTTCCAGGATTTATCCCACTTGCGGGTGGGCACGCGCGGGTGCTAGAGGGTGAGCTTCGTGACACCGTCGCCTTCTGCGCCCGACAGGGGAGGCCAGTAGCTCCCAGTGTTCTGGCGGGTGGCTTGCCTCACCCTGCGCTGGGGCCACAAGTTCCACCTCAGGGGAGGGCCCTCCCTTGACCTCCCAGGAACCCAAGGCAAAGGAAAAGGCTGAGAGCGAGCAAGTCAAAGCCAGCCGAGCCGCCTTGAGGAAGTAAGGCTGTGGTGCCCAAGGTTGAGCCTGTGGATAGCCCTGACAACCTTGTGGACGCGCCAGGTGAAGAGACGCCAAAGCAGCCTGTGAAAAGATCAAAAAAGAAGAGAAGGAGCCCATCCAGCCATCACAAAGCATCCAAGCCTTCAAAGCCCGACAAAGACAAGAGAAGGAGCCGTTCCAGGTCGCGTAGAAGAGGTGACCGAGGTAGAGTGGCACAATCGCATTCACCGAGATCAAGGTCATGGAGGAGAAGAAGATCTAGGGGAGATAGGAAGTCTCCCAGTCTAGAAGAAGGCCCGAGGTGAGGCTCCTCCCGAACCTAGCTTGCTGCCAAGGAGGCCTAGGTCACCGCCCTTTCCTCCGGGGCCCAGAAGTCCGCTAGCCACCCAGGATATCGTGGAGGTCAGGACCAAGGGTGGCGTGGTCCACTTCCTTATTCCTCTCACCCGAGCTGGAGTGAATCAACAAACAAAGGTCAGGTGAAGAGGGCGAAGCAAGAGTACTTCTCGAGGAGGTATCGGTGAAAAGGAAAGGGAGGCATGCCTTCCAAGGCGAAGGTGCGAATGAGGAGGCCGGCAGCTCAAATGGCAGCACCTTGAGAGAGACCTGCAGCGCGTAAGGAGCAGGGCGATGATCACGGTGGCTCGTAGGGCGTAGGGTCGTTGAAAGTTTCTTCCCTGACGCCGTCTTTGGTGAGGATGTCGAGTTCATTGATGAGGAGATGGTCAGGAGATGGTCTTTGCGGTTGCTGGACGTGACTGCCGTAGCTGTCTTTTTTCAGCATGTCCCTAGAGTCTCACTTTGTCGGCTTTTTTTCGGTTGGGCACAGGTTCACGGTCTAGTTGAAAATGTGGCATCTATGGACTATAATATGAGCCAGGCCTATGGTGAGAGGCCGTGGCTTATTGACTCCCTTGGAGCCAGCTTGAGTCGATGGCTGCGCTTGTACTGGGTTACATGAGCAGTTGTGGTGTTGACATCCGATGCGGGAGTACAGGACAACTTCCAGTGAAAGGAGACGTGAATCTCCCAGCTTCCCTGGAAGCCAAAAACTATGTGGAACCTGGATGGGGGGCCCCGCAGGCAGGACTCCCAACTTTCACAACATCGAGACCGAGCACAACACCTCACCGGCGGCCTGCAGGATTTAAGCAATGCCAGCCCCACGAATTGGACCGTTGGAAAAAGGATCTTCATCGCTACCCGCCTTACCAATACCGTGATGAAAATTGCTTGCGCTCTACCAAGAAAGACTTTAGGCCTCCCAGTGTAGCAGAACGAGAAGCCATCTTGGGTTTCGTCAAAGGATTGTGCCCGGGCCAATTTCCTACGCTGCAAGGTTTGCAGTTGCGACCACCTGTCATGGAGTACCACCACTGTTGGCTGCAGCGCAGTGCTGGTGCGAAAGTTGTTTGGCCTGGTTTCGCTTAAGGGTGAAGGTTTATTGCTTCAACATCATACGGATGTGCCAGTCCACTACCGTCGTCTTCGGATGAGTTTGCCCGTGCGCCTTTGGCGCTGGAGGACCGTAAGCGGTTGGCAATGGCAGGATTCGTCTGAGCACATCAACGTGCTCGAGCTGCGTGCAGCTCTCACCACCGCCAAGTGCAGGGTGGAACGGTTGAAGCAGATAGACCTTAGGTGCCTGCATCTAGTGGACTCCCTTGTGGTCCTCCATGCCTTCAGTCGGGGGCGGTCTTCCTCAAGAAAGATGAGACGCACACTTATGCGTTTGAATGCCTACCTCCTTGCTTCTGGCCTCAGGCCCTTGCAGGCATATGTTGATGCAGGGCAGAACCCTGCAGATAAGCCCTCGAGGCGCGGGGTCCGTAAGAGATGGCTAAAAAAGACTTGAGGTTCACAACAGGCCAGGGCAAGGAAGGTAGAAGAGCGTTGAGGAAGAGACTGGGCACCTTGAAATCCCTGACGGTCCAGCCTAAGACGGGATGCTATGGATGGACTTGTTAGCGACTATCTGGAGTTCCTTTGGGCTGAAGGAGAAGGCAGAGCCTTGACTAGCAACTTCCTTGCTGCATTGCAAGATCGGGACCCTAAGTTTAAGGGGCAATTGCCGCTCTCATGGCGATTAGTGCCGACTTGGACATCCTGGCAATTTCATATGACTTGAGCTTCTGAGCCAGCTGTGATCTCATTGGGATTCACAAAGTCAGGTAAACGGCAAGGGGCCGCTGAGAGCATTACCATTTCCGAACTGACAGTTTTACAGCTACCCTGGAGGTGGAAGCAGAATGCTTCTACCCACGAGTTTTTGACTGAGAAACCGCCTGTTTGGAGAGATGCTTTTGTTCGTTGTCTAAAGGCCCTTGAACTGGAGACATGGGGCTTCCGCCCTTATTCTTAAAGGCGTGGAGGAGCCACATCTTTATTTGTCAAAGTCGGATCTTTAGATTGTGTCCTTATTTTGGGTCGTTGGACTGCAGTTAAGACTGCAAAGATTTACTTGAACTCTGGCCTAGCCATGTTGGCAAATATTCAGATAGCACCCCGTCTTTTGCGTCCGTTTTCACCGTCTCTTTTATCATCATGTCTCCTCTGTCAAAACGCTTGAGCTCGCTCAGTCGAGCAGGACAGGGGGGACGTGGAAAGAAGGGAAAACAGGCCAAGAAGGCTTCCAAATCAGTCAGGAAGACATGCAAAAAGGTAATACCCGGGGGTAGTCAGGTCTTTCCTTTTTTGTCCGTCCGTTTTCGTCCTACGTGCTTGGGGCCTGGTCTTCCCCGGTTTTGAGGGGGTCCAGGAAGCACTTTTAGGGGAGTATTCTAAGTTCCGGTTTGGCGTGAGCATGTAGTATTGGGGCCCCCAGAAATTGATAGGGTTGTTCGTTATTTTCGTAATTGTTTTAATTGACAAAATTGGTCTGCACAGCGGAAGAAAAGAGGTGTGTGAATGTTTATATATATATATATACATACAGTCTGCGGGTAAATGTCCTATAAATGTATTATCTAGATATATGCAGGTATTTATGTATGTAAATATATATATATACATACATACATGCATACATACATACATACATACATACATACATACATACACACATATATATATTTATATATATATATATATGTTGTCATATGTCTACATGTTTAGACAGATGTACGTATTACGTGGAGATTTTGCATGGATCTCTTCCAAGTGACACAGGTTGTCATTTTTGCGTGTTTTCATGACAGTCACTTGAGCGCCAGGGCGGTCACGAGCGCCACGTGATGCCAGACCCAAATAAAGTGCCAGAGGATCCTGAGGCCCTTTCTGATTGGTCATGATTTGTGATGGTCGGTGCCTTTTGTCTCACTTTGCACTCTATCTGACGTGTGTCTGACCAAACTTCTGACCTGCTCAGGGTTGGAAGGAGAATGTTGACTATCGCCTGAATATGATGCGACCCAACCGCTTGAAAGGCTAGTGAAATTCAAACGATCTGTTGGTCGTTCCACTCTGTTCCGATCTGTTCATTCGCGACGTACTGACTATATTGACTCTCTGGAGATTCGCACTTGCGAAGCTGTGGGTTGCACCTGTGTTTTTGTGGGCCGTAAGTCAGCTCATCTCTCCCTTCAAAAGGCAAAAAAAAATTGACAGAAGCTTAAGAGCAACATCATTTTTCAATTTGGTACTCTCTGAAGATCTCTGAAGATCAGCACATCTGTAATTTCCCCATTCTGATTCAGAGCAAGTTGAACGTGTGTCCTTGGCCAGCTGCCTATGGCCGTGGACCGGGCTGGATCGTCACCAAGACTGGACAGGGCCACGGCTGGGATGACGTTGGAACAGGCGCGAAGACACGCCAAACACAGATCCAGGTTTGAGAGCCGACTTCAAGTGGGAATGGAAACCCAAAAATATAAAGACACCCAAAAGATTTTCAAAAAAGTTATTCAAAAGATTTCAAGACAATCTAAAGCATTAGGAAGATGCTTCTGGCCTACCAGGCAGAGTGGTGGATTCCCCACTGCACCGCAAGACAGTGGACCCCTTCGATGATACGTGCTGAACCCAGCCACTCCTCAGTGCTCATTAGAGTCCGATTGGTCACAATCTCAACCATCTCACATCTGGATACAATCTCAACCGACCCGGAGGCCACATTTTTCAACCCAGAGTGGAAAGAAATTTGCAACAAGCTTAGTGTGGTAGCAGTACCCAGTACACAGCAATCAGCCATGGGCGACATACTGGCTTTGCTGCTTCCTTTTTATCAGGTTTCCAAGACCAAGTGGAACCCTCGTAAGAGTGGCTCCCAGTAGACTCAGTAGACTGCAGATGGATACTCCATCAGCCAACGAAAAAGGAGACACTGAGAACTTGGGCAGTGCCAGCGTTAAGCTATGGCAAAATTGCCAAAATATTTGGTGAACATGCCATTCACTGTAGTTTGCCTTTCACCCAATTTTCAGCGGCGATCCACCTAAGAGGGGTTTCTCCCAAATAGCCACGATGGCTCAAAGATTCACTGCAGGGTCACATGTCACAAGCCAACGGTCATGACAACAACACGTAAGCTTACGCATGCCTTACGCATCCCTTCCATGCTTCACTTTTGTTAAAAAAAGGGGCCGTTACATTATATATTTGGTTTTCTTGGCACAACCATTAACAACCCTTCCTCAGAGCAAGCAATCATGATTTCAAGCCCCCAGCTTGGCACCTAGCTTTGTGAGTTATAGTTTACATATTTACCTACCATTTGCCGGGTGGTTGAGACCACGCCATGGCATTTGGGTGAGAGCAAATGCTGAAATGCCAAAGGTGAGACGGATGGATGCAACAGGTTCAACATGGAGAGCCATCACTTGCTGAGGACCTCCCTGAGACTCCGGCCTCTCCGGATTCTCCTCCTGAGTCTCCAGAGTTTGGAAAGGTTCATGTGATAGTGACACCGCCCAGCAATGTCCCTTCACTCCACACGCCAGAGTTTGGGCAGACTTCCAAAGTGGTTGAAGCTCCTGCAGGCTCACCCAAATTCGGCTTCACTGTCCCTGCATCGCCCAATTTCGGAGTGCAGAGCCCGGAGTCCCCCGCTTCACCTGCTTGGCCCACAGAGACCAAGGAAACCAAGGCAGCTAGACCTCGGCCAGCAGCTACGCTCCAAGAACCTGAGGATGAACGGCAGGGGGCAGGGGAGCCTCATCCTTCAACACCTGACTTTGGCAGCTTGAACAATGCTCCTCTCCTGGATGATGTTTGCAAACTGAGCAGTGCAGCTAGCAGCCCACATGGCTCCAGTCATGAGAACAGCCCGGAAAATGCTTCTGATAGATCCAAGAGGATCTCAGTTGATATGCTGTTGCCTTCACCTGCATCTCCAAATGGAGTAAGCAAAGAGTTTGCAAAGACTGGCGAACGAGTGGACAAAGATTCGACGGGACACGACAGTTCGAAAGGGAGAAAGTTTGACTTTCCAGTAGCTGAAGCACAAAAGGCGAATTCTGAAAAGGATGGGAACGACAGCCCAGAGGACGACGACGGTGAAAAAGAAGACTTGTTCCAAGAATGCATCTACATGCAGCGCGAATTGAAGAGGCGAGAGGAAATGCTCAACTGGTTCTATGAAGAGCTGGAGGCAACTTCAGCGGAGTCCCTTGGCTTTCACGGCAATTCCGAATTTCCCCAAGGCCCACCAAAAGCAAATTGGGGGGAAATTTCGCTACTTCGCAGGTATTCTGGGTTGTCAACGCGTTTGGCCTGTGCTGTAGTGGGTAGCTGCTGGTTGGTTCCTGGTTCCTTAAACTATGTCGGATTGGTTGGCATCCGTGTGTTTTAACTTTCAGGCTCAAAGAGCTTCAAGAAAGCCAAAGCTCCAGGCGGTTGCTGGTTTGAGTGAAGTGTCAATTAGACCCCATAGGAACGATCTGCCAGAGGGATGCATTCAAGAGGAAATCTTGTGGAATAGCTGGTTGGTCAAAGGAAGTTTCAAGGAGGAAACTCCGAGTTACGGACTTTCGCATTCTCACTAGTCCAAAGATCATTGTGTCCAGTTGGCATGTGCCTTAAGAGATCATGAAGTCACATTCTCACGAATCCAAAGGTCATTGTGTCCAGTTGGCATGTGCCTTAAGAGATCATGAAGTCACATTCTCACTAATCCAAAGGTCATTGTGTCCAGTTGGCATGTGCCTTAAGAGATCATGAAGTCACATTCTCACTAATCCAAAGGTCATTGTGTCCAGTTGGCATGTGCCTTAAGAGATCATGAAGTCACATTCTCACTAATCCAAAGGTCATTGTGTCCAGTTGGCATGTGCCTTAAGAGATCATGAAGTCACATTCTCACTAATCCAAAGGTCATTGTGTCCAGTTGGCATGTGCCTCAAGAGATCATGAAGTCACATTCCCCCTAGCCCAGAGATCATTGTGTCCAGTGGGCACTTGGGAAGAGGTAGAGCAGAGGTAGTAGAGGTAGACTAGAGGTAGAGTGGAGAGAATCGTAAAGCGTAAAATGTAGTGGCTGCATGAAGGTTGCGAATGGTGCTTTGGCAGCATATATGTCTCAATTTTGGCGCTTCCTGTGTAGCAGCTTCCCTGTGTAAAAGCTTGCTGTGTGTAAAAACCTCTCTGTGCAAAAGCTTGCTTTGTGTAAAAGCTTCTCTGTGTAAAAGCTTTCTGTGTGTAAAAGCTTCCCTGTGCAAAAGCTTGCTTTGTGTAAAAACTTCTCTGTGCAAAAACTTGCTGTGTGTAAAAGCTTGCTCTGTGAAAAAGCCTGCTCTGTGTAAAAGCTTCTCTGTGTGAATGCTTGCTGTGCGCAAAAGCTTCTCTGTGCAAAAGCTTGCTGTGTGAAAAAGCTTGCTCTGTGTAAAATCTTCTCTGTGTAAAAGCTTCCCTGTGTAAAAGCTTGCTGTGTTAGCCTGCTCTGTGTAAAAGCTTCTCTGTGTGAATGCTTGCTGTGCGTAAAAGCTTCTCTGTGCAAAAGCTTGCGCTGTGAAAACGCTTGCTCTGTGTAAAAGCTTCTCTTTGTGTAAGAGCTTAATGTCAAGCTTCTCTGTGCAAATTTTTGCTGTGTGTAAATGCTTGCTTAGTGTATAAACTTGCTCTGTGAAAAAACCTGCTCTGTGTAAAAAGCTTCTCCGTGTGAATGCTTGCTGTATGTAAAAGCTTCTTTGTGCAAACACTTGCTGTGTGTAAAAGCTTGCTGTGTGTAGAAGCTTCTGTGTGTAAGAGCTTGCTGTGTGTAAATGCTTCTCCATGTAAAAGCTTGCTCTGTGTGTAAGCGTCTCTGTGACAGGAGGTGAGAAGAGTTGAGAAAACTTGGCCAGAGTTGAGAAGGTGAGAAGAGTTAAGATGAGCTGAGAGCGAGGTGAGGTGAGTTGAGCAGAGGTGAGAAGAGGTGGGAAGAGTTGAAGAGGTGGCAAGAGGTGAGAAGAGTTGAGACGAGTTGAGAAGAGGTGAGAAGTGGTGGTCACAAGTGAAAAGGGGTGAGGCAAAATGACGACGAATTCACAGAACAGAGTTGAGAAGCTGCGAGGGTCCGCTGCATCTCCTATAGGCAAACCTTGTCTTTGGATCCTATAGCGTCACAATTCTTAAACCTGGACACTTCCGCCACCCGCCTTGCGCGGGTTCTACTTGTATACTATGTTATATAATTGAGACTTTACAAGTAGCAAGGGAGCCTTATGTTAAAAATAATTTTATGTTTTTTTTAAAAATGATTTTAATATGATTAAATTTATGATTCGGTTTTTTGATTTTTTTTTAAAGAAAAACATGATGAAATTTATGATGAAATTTATTTTTCAGCGTTTTTTTAAAAATGATTTTTCATGTTTTTTGTTTTTTGATGGTATTATTAAATGATTTTTTTAATGACTTTTAAAATGGTTTTTAATGCCGAGAAAAACAAAAATAATCATAAAAACAACGTTAAAAAAACATTCAAAAACATTAAAAAATCAAAACATCATTTCAAAAATCATAAAACATCTTAAAAACTAAGATCATAAAAAAACACATAAAAAACACAAAAACAAAAAACAATTAAACAACATAAATTCATGACTTTTTTGTTTTTGTTTTATTTTTCTATATGTTTTTTCATGATTTTTTGTTTTTTTTTAAAACTATTTTTTTCAATAATGTTTTTTTAATGATTTTTACGATTATTTTTTGTTTTTCTCGGCATTAAAAATCATTAAACAATCATCCATAAAAGGTCATATCTGAGGGTTTCCCATTTTTTCTGACAAGGTGAAATCATAAAAAATCGCAAGAAAATCATAAAAAAACATAAATAAGGTTATGTATTTGTATAGTTCTCGTTTGAGCTTACCAGTAAGGTCTCAGTGTTGATGTGTGTATGTATATATTTATTATATTATATTATATATATTTGGCTATTTTCGTTTGTAGTATTTTCATCGGAATTTGTGCCCTGTTTGTGTTTCAGGGTTCAGTGGGTTGCACGACGGCAGGTCAGAGCTGAGTGAGAAGCTAGAAGAAGCTGCTGTCAACGAAGAGAACCTCGAGCTGAAGCTAAAAAGGCTGGCAGTTGAGCTGATTTGACGATGTGGCTGCAAAGGTAAGAACACATTTGGACATACTTGAGACCCATTGATCACTGTGGTGTCATAATGTTATCACAAGATTGTTTGTCTGTTGAGCTCTTGCTGAGGCTTCAAGCCCAGATGCAGGAGCAAAGCGTCCAAGCACTGGAAGAGAAGCTCCATGAGGCAGAATGGCTTGGCATTGCTTGGCATAGCGAAGACCCACAGAGAACTCCAAAGTGTAAAACATGGGAAGTTTCAGAATTGAGTACTCAATTGATGCAGAATGTTCCAGATGTGTTTTCATGAGTGACACTTTCGAATAGGCAAAACAGTTACGACAAGAGGAGGCCGTGACAAAGACACTGCGTTTGGAGAATGATGACTTGGCCTCAGAGCTGCGAGATCTCTATGACAAGTTAGCTGAAACGCAGCGTCCGGCACTCAACTTTTGGAACTCCAGCGATGACAGTTGTTATGCAGTGAGATCAATGTGTTGTCAGTCTGTGTTGCGTGCAAGACCAGAAATTGTGGACCGCTGGCCCGCAAGAAGCAATTGTTTCATGAGCAGTCGCTGTATGGCTTGCAACCGCCAAATTTGCATCGCTTACACCCGCGTGATTTGTATCACTTGCACCGCCATCATGGCTCTGGGTCAGGATCATGTCTACTGATCATTTTCCAAGTCATCATTGCCATTGTCATCATCGTAATCATCGTAATCATCGTAGTCATCATCATCATCATCATCATCATCATCATCATCAGCATCACCATGAACGTTACTATCATGCTCATCACCAACATGCTCATCACCAAAACCATTCGCATCACCACACAATTTCATCATAAGTTATCATTACCATGATCATCACCACCATCAACATCTTTACCATCATCATCATGATCATAATCATCAACAACAACATCACCACCACAACCACCACCATCAGCATCATCATCATCATCATCATCATCATTATCAGCATCAGCACCGTCATCATCAACATCGTCATCGTAATCATCATCGTCATCATCAACAACATCATCATCATCATCACAATCACTATCATGCTGATCACCAACATGCTCATTACCAAAATCATTAGCATCACCAAATCATAGCAATCATCATCATCATCATCATCATCATCAAAAACAACATCATCAACGCCATGGACTTCATCTTTTTATTCGCTTCTTCATCATCAGCATCAGTGACATCATCAACCTAAGTATCTAATTTATCGCTATTATCAATCTCATTGTCATCACCTTCATTTCCTTCCTCATGATCATTATCATTGACATCAAAAACCTATATATCTAATAAATCATACCACCATCAGATTCACCATCATGCTCATCACCGTCCTCATCACGACCATCATCATCAAAGCAGGCAGAACCAAGAGCTGACATGATGCACAAAAGGCCTGCTGCCAACATCTGTGTGAAGCAAAGAAACCCTAAAGATGTCGTACCCGTGTACTTCCTTTGTGAAGCACCGAAACCTTCAAGGTGTTGTACCTGTGCGCTCCCTGTGTGAAGCGAAGAAACCTTAAAGGTGTCTTTCCTGTGTTCTTCCTGTTTGACACAAAGAGATCCTAAAGGCGTCGTACCTATGTACTTCCTGTGTCAAGCACAGAGACCCTAAAGTTGTCGCACCTGCTTCTTACACCCCAAAAATAAATTGTCGCATCCCCTAGAAGGAGTGCTGGCGTAAGTGATTCGAATTTGTTGGTCGTAAGTGAGTGCCTGCTGTGTAAGTGAGTGGGTGGTGCAAGTGAGTCGAATCTGTTGGGTGTAAGTGAGTCCCTCACATCTACAACACATTTGACACGGGTTCATTATGTTTCACTTTTTCTCAGGAACAGCAGAGGAGGTCTCCACGCTCCGGATTTGGAAACAGGAAGCGGCAGCCCTTGGAGATGCCTTGGAACGAGCAGAGGCTTGAAGGGTTGATCGCCACAGTTTCGTGTTCCACCAGTGAATCAGATGGGAAGGCAGATGCCTTGGGACGCGCTGCAGCTTTGAAAGGGGAGGCGTTGCTGTCATTTTTGTATTGAACATCAGCTGGTTTTTACGCCACAGATTTGTGTTCATTCAGTTGAGTTGGTTGCTGCTGGGCTGACAGAACTTTGACCTTGACAAGTTGGCGCAAACGCAAGACGAACTCAAGCAGTCCCGCTTGGACTCTGCCCAAAATGCCGCAAAGATTCACAAGTTGGAGGAGCATAATTGGACAGAAGGGGCATGAAGGGACACAATACAGATGGATAAAGATGGATTATGTCCTTCAGATCAATGATTCAGTGGCATTTTTGTTGGCCGATGGAAGTTGGAGGTGTTGCATTGATTGTCGTCTGCCAGGACAGTAGTGCAGCAATGACAAGGGAAATGTCAGAAGCGCTGCAAGCACTGGCCGAGTCGGAAACTTGCTGTTGATTGGAAAAGGTTCGAACCCATGATTCCATCACTGGAACTGATGCACTGTAATCCGGTCAATCTGCCGGCATGCCAAGAATCAGAGCTTTGACCAATCTGAGGTCACAAGCACAGGTTGAAGAAATCACAGCCTCGGAGTGGAAGGCAGCTCAAGCTTTCGACCAGCTGGCTGAGATGTCTCGGCAGCTGTCAGAAGCACCCGGGCTTATTATTCAGGGCTATGCTGATGCTGGACATTTTGGAACAGTCGCATCAACATCTTCAAACCTATTAATAGTGTGCTTTACCTTTTCTGACTTCCTTTGTCCCAAGCTGCAGCAGCTGAGGCCACTGCCCTGGCTGACTCGGAAATCGAGCAGAGGGCTGCGGTCGTTGCAGCTTCCAGAGCTCATTCTGCGAACCTCAGTCGGAACAGCCACAGACGATACACCGGACATTTGTCATGCCATGCCAGAATATATTACTAAGATATGATGATAATATCATAACATTCATTAGTCATATTACATAATTGAGGGAAGGTTAGAAGTCAAACTTCCGACAATATGGACAGATGGAAAAGCAGAGGTGGTAAGAGTAAGCGAAGAGAAGAGCAGAAGAGAAAAGATCAGAGAAGAGAAAGAGTAAGAAGAAAGAAGATGCAGATGCGCGAAGAGGTAGAAAAGTCGCGATTCACTGTGTTTTTCCAATGATTTGTGGCTCCAGAAATTCGAAAAGTAGGTTCGCTAAAGCGGCGGGTGCGGAGCCATTTGGCCAGATGAGAGATGAAAAATTGTACGCCGTTGTGGCGCGAAGCACATCTCGAAGTCAAAAGTGTTAAAAACTGACGGGTTCGGGCCACTTTTGGAAGTTGAGATGTCGAAAAAGTGCATGCCAGTGTGGCGCGAAGCACATTTCCAAGGCAAAATGTTAAAACCACCACATGTTCGGACCACGCTTGGATGTTCAGATGTTGTTTCGCGTGGCCGGCCCAAGGGATTCTGCACCTGTCAAAAATGAGCAAAACGTGAAGGTTTTCTAGCATGTCCAAAAACGATAGGCAGGCGTGGGAATAAGACGATCTGGAAAGATGCATGTTCCGTGGCAGGCGCAGTACAAGAGACATGTTCATCAGAGATGTTAGGAGGTCCGGGCGCTGATTTCCTGACAGAGGTTGCATTTTGGAGCATCAAATCTTCAGTTTCGGGAAGATGATTTTGTGTGACAGGTGCAGGACTTCGTAGGACCTGGCCTCACTTTTTCGTGGCAGGCGCGATACTTTAGAGACATGGAATGGACAAATCGCAAAACGCATTGGCACGAGGCAGTCAGCTCTGCACTCAGCTTTCCATTCTTGAAGGAAATCTCGCAGAATTGCTTCGTTTTTGGTGTTGCCAACTTCAAGAATTGAGGAAGTCTCGCAGACTCGCTTCGTTTTTGACGTTTATCAAGTTCAAAAGTTGAGGAAGTCTCGCAGAATTGCTTCGTTTTTCATGCTGTCACCTTCGAAACTGGAGGAAGCCTTGCAGAATAGCTTCGTTTTTGATGGTGTCTCAATTACACTTTCACATGCCACGGGAATTTGCAAGCACAAGTTTGGAGAGTCTATGTCTTGGAATTGTTGATGTTTCGAAATACGAGGTACCCTGACTCATGTTATTCGATCCTGTGTCACCATCGTATTTCTTACCATAACGTTCTTGAACTCTTCATGCTTAGGACAGTAGGTATAAGGAAGAGAATTTAATCCAACGAACGCTAGTGTGGACTCATCATTGTTCTCATCATTGTTCATAAGGCAACAACATCTCATTGTGTCATCCACTACCATACTTATCTTATGAACTCATTCATGACATAGCCACGGGAAAGGAAACAACAGAAGGTAGCGACAGGTAAATGTGTTGGATCGATTTTGATATCTCTCACTATATGTTCAATGCGGTTCGTCACTCGCGCTGGCCGTATCTGGGTTTGGTTAAGGAGTGGCATATCAGGACGCACCATCATGGGATCGGATTGGTTTTGGGACCATATCTGTAGGTGTCACTAGGTGTTCAATCGGTTGATTACCCAAGGGAAGTCCATTTGGTTCGGTCCTCAATGTGTCATTGGATATTGTATCAAAAAAGTCAGGAACTGGGACATGAAAAGATGTTATATCGATGTGTCAGTGCTTGCCTGAGGGAAATTTTGACTGCGGATGTCTGTTTGGATGCCTTTCGGGTCAAAGTCATGATCGTTTGTTTTGCCATGATCAGTCACATGTTTATTTAGGTTTCAAGAGGTTAATCATCTCTGGCAAAGCACGAGCCCAGTAAGTTTCATGTTGTTGACGCAACATCGTAACTTGACACCACTAATGGACCAAGTTAGACTTATGATTAGTGACATTGATGTTCATAGAAGGATAAGATCTGACAAGTAGATCAACAACAGTGCAACGTCGCGTGTCTGCTTGTTCTCCGCGTCGAGTGTGACTTTGCTGTCCGCTTGACGAATCCTGTAGTTGCGTGGTGTGACTCTTCCGCCCTCTGCACGTCGCCATGGCTCTGCAGAACATCGCGCTTTCTGGTTCGTTTGTCAGTTACTCGAAAACGTCAGGAACACATTACCAGAGGAACTGGTCTGTCTTGCAGCCGGGGAAACAGATCTATGCAACGAGCGGAGCCTCAACTATGAGCAATGGAAGGCGCCAAGATACAACATCGGACAATCGCTGGCGTCGGTGGATCCGGCGGAGGAACACAAGACGCTGGTTTTCTGGTTGGACGAGCTACTTGCCGATCATATCCATCAATGTCGGCAACATCTTTTGGACGGAGCATGTCTTTGGGAGCAGCTTTCGACCAGTTTCAACAATTACATGTTCAATGTGTTGTGGAGCATGACGATGACAGTCGCGGCGTGGTTGCGAAACGTGTCTCGAAGCAATCGCAGCCGACTGATTCTATCATTTGTGTCTGCAACGCTGGGCAGCATCGGGCGTGTACTTCAGTCGCATGTTGCATTTTGTCTTTTTGATCGTTTTCCGGTTGCTGAACTTGAAGTCCAAGCACAAATTGCATTGGATTTGGGCCGCCGAAGCGAGGGTTAGAGCAGAACTTGATCATGTTCGACGGACGAGAGATTCGAACAATGCAAAGGCTCAGCAGCGCCAATCCGCCATGGTGCTGGCAAAAGTCAAAGCTGTCTTTCTCGGTCCACATATGGTTCCGCATGTGACCAGCATGAATCTCAACGATAATATGTTCAACGGGTTGGCCAAGCGCCCGTTTCGAGATCATTAGGAATGCATCTTGACAGTAGTTGCACGCCAAATCACCCTCAATGATCACTGGGGGCCCTTTATGCAGCATCTCATGCAGTTGTTTCCCGCGCGGTGCTCTTTGTGCGCTACGTGGTCTTTGCGACAACCGTGGACTGTGATTGTCGAGGAATTGCCGCGTCAGGAACCTGAAGGGGGTGTGTTTTTCTGACCGCCTCCGACCTTATGATTCTCAGGGTCATATACACATGTCCACACTATACTTGCAGCCGCCGCTGCTGCAGGTTGCGTCTGTGACACGCACGGATCGAACCTGGACTGCTCCGTGGACGATGACGAAGGACATGTTGCGCCCAGATGTTTGGTATGAGATGGGCAAAGACAGTCGGGTGATCGGTTTGGAAGATGCCATGTGGCAAAACGAACCGCAGGATGAGACTACGCCTGGACGAGCTACTTTGAAGAGATGTTGGTCCCAGGCAGTTTCAGGGGTGGCGGTCACTGTGCGTCCAGCTGCATCGACAGGAGCACACCCAGGCAGCGCTCTCCCCGGTCTGCCACCTTGGCATTTGCACCGAATGTGGCACCGCCTCCATCCCCCTTCGCTGACCGGGTGCACTCGGTCAGGCAGAGCAACTGATAACGGGAGAAGTCCGACAAGGCAAGACAATCAGGTGTGGAGTGCACTTTGGGAAGGCACCAGCATCGCCTTCGCGGAGATTTTGCGGCGGCTCTGCACCCACGTGGAGCTTTGCCACCTGGAGGAGATTTCGCTGGAAGAACATCGCTGCTCACCAGATCGAACCCTGGCAGAGCAAGCGTGGTTCGCTGTATGCTCAGCATCACACCGGGCAGCTGATGCTTTTCTTTTTGTACAGAGCGACAACTGGCGGCGCTGTCCCCGCTGTCTTGGTGAGACGCTGGATAGACCGGTTACAGCAGTCTGCGGTGCTATATAGACAGCTATTGTCTTCGGGGACATGTTTTCAAAGTATCTGCAGTTACACATGTGCCATCTGACTGTTTGACACGTCGGTAACTTTTCCCGAATGCGTAGCGAAGGGTTCCCGTTTATAGTCTGGGGGTTTGGGGGCTGGACCCTTGTTTGCCTCCAGTTGCTCGTCGCGTCGTCGTCGCGTCGTCGTGGCATCGTTAATTCGGTGTCTATGGGAGAAGCTGCAAAACCTCTCCTTTTCGAAGGTTTCCATGCAGGTTGTCATGTCGTTTTGCGTGGCAGGCGTGGCACTTTGTGACATTCCAACCTGTCTGATACCGTGGCGAAAGTGTCAAAATTGGATGAAGTCTCGCGGAAAATGTCCCCACTCCACACTTTACACTCCACACGCCTTACTTTACACTCCACTCTCCACACTCTACACTTTCCACTCCACACTGCAGACAGGCAACAGGGGAAATATGCATGTACTGTCTTCAAGAAATGTTTTCCATGCGTGTCTTTGTGCGTTAGTTGTCTCTTTGTTGATCAGGTGCCTTCGCTGAGACGATATGCGCGCACGATGCATGAAAACAATGTTCGTTTTCCTATTGCAGAGGTTTTCACTCGTAGTCCAAGAACGTGAATACATTCGGGTTCGTGGCTTCCATCTTGTTTGATGTAAGTTTCAGTTTTGTAAGCCATTCCCTATCCCTTTTGCTGCACAGGTGGCTGCCGTCGCTCCTAGCATTGCGATGACAGCGCGGAGCTGCGGCATGACGAAGCTGGAAAAACAGAGCGTTATTCAGAGCAGCGTCTGCTTTTTCCAGAATGCGTAGCAAGGGCCCCCGTTACACGCCACCGCCTTGTGCGTTACTACTGGCAAAAAGTTACTATGATATCTGACTTTGTTACCAACACCTGCCTCGAGGATGGAGACGGCAAAACTTGAAGAACAGATGGCAGACCTTGCTGCACAGCTTCAGGTGGCCAACGCGGCTTGGAGTCTTGTCTCACAAGACGGTCCAGTGGAACTCATGGTTTGTGGTGGAATTCCAGTCTTCAGTGGGACATATTGTGACCATTGCATTCAGTGCATTGCATCATGAACTCAGGAAAGATGCTGAGTCGCGCCTGTCTTTGACGGAACTTTGTAGCGGAGCATCTTCAAACCTGGAACGAGAAGAACTTCTCGAAGCGAGAATCCACGATCTGGAGGGCAAAGTGGTGGAAACTGCTCCTTGTATGCAAGACAAAGTAGTTAGATGCTGTTAGCCTAGTGCTATAGTGCCCTCTTAGAGAGCAAGGAGTCTTGTGTTCCCTTCGCCTAGTCCACCTCCAAGGCCTCGTCCAAGCAGAGGGTGGATGGAAAAGTGGCAGCATCAGAGATGTTGATTCAACATCTTCGGGGTGAAATTCATGAGGAGATCTCAGCCAAGCATCAGGCCGAAGTGCGCTTGGCACAGGCTGGAAGATACCGTGTGGACTGTGAGGGATGTGGGCATGGGAATCACATGGGCACATGAGCACGTCCGCACATAACATGCAAAGAAAACTGCTATTGCAACACCCAGATGATGATTTGGCATGAAGAGACACCACCAATGCATCGAACCATCAGCAGGAGATGTGGTGCCATGAACCCACCAGGTAGAGAAGTCCTCGAAGTCGCTCGATTCCAAATTGGCCTTGGCCACTGCCTGCGAGCAAGATGCGGAGGTGCTGGGCTGGAGCAGTATTGTTTTTTTCGACATGAAAACATACTTATTATTTGATTCTCACAGGATACTCATTTGCCGGTTGTCAATTGGTGGTTTTTGTTGGCATCCGCGGCTCAGGTTCACTTGACTCAAGAAGAGGAGATGAGATGGGACTTGGAACGACAGCTGGAAAGAGAATCTCGTTCCAGCAGGTCTATCCACCATCGCTTGGAACAGGTGCGAAGAAAAGTGGATGGGTGGCCTGTTGGGTTTTGGCTGAGCCAAGGAGACCTGGTATCGTTGTCAACTTTGAATCTGACAGGCTGAAGAAGCCGCTGAATCCTCGGGCCACTCAGCTTTGCAGCCAGCGTTTTTTTGGCGAACTGATTGAAATGACTGAATGATGAAGAATCAAATTTGAATAAAGACTGGGTCAATCTTTGATCGCAATAAACTTCTGGCTGCTGATACAAAAGAGTTGCAATACATTTGAAGCATCCCAAATCTACAGCAGATGAGATTTGCAAACGGCTTGCTAGTCGTTTAATTTTGTTCGTTTAATTTTGTTTAGATTTTAGATCCAATTTTGGCGAGGTCAAGAGTTGGGCTCGGCCTTGGCAGCGCGCCAAATGGATGAGAGCCGACTGAGTTCCGTTGAAGCTGTGGTTCAGCAGCTGGAGGCGGGACCTACCGTAGACAAAAGCCATCAAAAACCGTATAATGATGGAAACAATATATATCATTTTTAGAAGTTTAGATCATTGTAGCAATCAGGGATGATTCCTTGTTGAGGCTGAACGACCCCACTGTCAGCTGAAATGTTTATTTGAGGCCTCCCTAGCGCATGCTGAGACCAGGGCGAGCTCTGAAAGTCAAAGAGCAATCCTGTTGCAGGTACGCAAAAAGAGGGAGCTGCGTGGGATTTTCAATGGATTCTTCATGGGATTCCCCACAGGATTCCGAATGGATTCCCCATGGATTGAAGTCCCTATGATTTTCGTCAGGCGCAGCTTGGCGACACTACTTTGCGATTGGATGCAGAGACCCAACGACGAAAGGATTTGGAGGTCAGGGCACTGCGTGGAGCAGGGGATGATGAGGGGTTGATGAGGGGTTGATGCTTAATGGTTGATGATTGGGCTTTGTGATTTTGAGTGATGAACATGTTTTATATTTTCATTGTGCCAGGCTCACCAGCGACAGCTTCAAGGCACTACCAGAGATTCGGAAGCAAAGCTAGACTCTGCTATTGGAGCTCGTGAAAACGTTGAAGTTTGGCACCCAGGAAAACGAAATTAATTGTATGCAGACTCTGCAGTGTTCTTCGTTTTCTAGTTTTTTTTGGTTCTAGAATTTGGTTGTCAAACAGGTTTCTTCCATTTTTGCGCACAACAAGGCGCAATTGCAAGTGGCGCAGCTGCGAACTGGACAACTCACAGAGGAGATCAAGACGTACCACGTTGAGCTGCACTCTACCAAGGCTCCTTGTGGCCGTAGCCAGACTTGTTGACTTCCTCAACCTGCAAGATACATCAAGATACACGAAGGGTTCTTCTCATCCACGCAGAGCAGATGGGTCAATATATACATAATATATATGGACTTATAAGATCTTATAAGTAGGTAATTTTGGTTACCATGTTTAATGACGCTTTCGTCCAGGGCAACATGTACTTGGATGAAAACCTTGCAGCTCCATTGCCTCCACTGAAGGAGTTTAGAAAATCATAGAAAGCAATTGACCAAATGAACATGAGATGCTATGATATGCTATGGCTATGATTCATGGTGTGTTATAGGGGGACAGAGACAAAAACCAGCACGATGGGACGATGGGGTGATTGTTGCAGGCTGATGTGGCAAAATATCAGCAACTGGCAAGCACGAGAGCCATAGAAATGGAGACCTCCTCAGAACTGCAGGCTGGACATGGCTGGACAGAGATTTGGGAGACTCGGATGTCCCGATTCCGTCGAAGACTGACCAAGAATCGCAGGCGAACCTCATCAAGCTGCAGAAGTCCTCTGAAAAACTGCAGGATGAGCTAGCCACTGAAATGAAGTTGGCAACTAGCCACAAGGCTCGCCGTGCTTCGTACTGCAGTATATAAATTGAACGGCTACTGTATTAACTGAGGTGGAACAAAGTGGAAAAAACATTTTTAAGGGTCGTCAACGACTGTGTTTGCCACATTCAATAAGATGAACAAGCCAGAACTTTTCATCCTTACACAAAGAAACATGTCACAGACTACTAATGATGTGCTGAGACATTGTCACAACTGCAGCCGGATAAACATCTTCTGGGTGGAATGATTTCTGCAGGAAAATGCAGCAAGTAATGGTCTTTTAGCGGATCATCACAAGGGCTTTGAACCGAAAATCGAAGGATCCGTTTCTACAAAATTAGAGCAGTACTTCTCGCTGCTTCTTCGCAGGCACTTGTTGGGACTTTGGAAATGGAAGTTGAAACCGAGAAGCAAGGGCGCGCATCAGCCCAGGACGTGCCGATTGAGACGTCATTTTGTGGCACCAGAAGATCCTTTGTCTTTGTGTGTCAGGAAGCCTTCGGAAAAGTGACAGATTCAGCCAACTCCCTGGAGTGCCAGCTTGCATCAGCTTGTGCAACTGCAGAAAGGCTGAAGGTGCCAACCTGGGGTGGGGAAAATCTGTTTGAAGAGCCGCTCAGGGCTCTGAATTAGCACCAAGATATTCTGATACTGGTGGCGGATCGTCAGAGGCTCTTGCAGATGAACAAGAGGAAAGCCGCTCCAAGTCATCGGCTGCGCTTTCTCTTGCCCAAGCAGAGCAGGCCTGGGCCTGGAGAATTTGGATTCGGAAGGTCCCAGCATTACTCCGCCTATGTTGTAAAACGAATAGCTGATCGGTGCAGATCAGGCTGACAGCGAACGGGAGATGGAGGAGCTCAGACAAGAGCTGCTGCTTGCACGTCAGCAACGTCGGGCAGCCATGCAGGCAGCAAGTCATTCCTGTTGTGCTGCTGGGCCTGGTTTTTCGAGATGACATACATTTTATTTGATGAAGATTTGATGATATGCATAGAGATGTTGCATATTCGTAGGAACTTGAACCGACCAGCCACACAGGCTTCTCAGAGGGCACAGATGGCTCGCCTGAAGCAGCAGGAGCAGATGGAAACAGTGGAAGCTCAGGCAAGGAAAGAGGCAAGAGGCAAGCAGCAAAGCTCCCTTCATGTTGTGACACTGCAATGGCAGGCGGTCACCTTGAGGAAGCAAAGTGAGCCATCGACTGAGAGTCAAAATGAGTCGAACATGTCCAGGGAGAGTTGCCAGGGCGCATGGAGAGATGTGAGACATGTGGATGGCATGTTCGACATGGTAGGCTGGATGAAGCAGCACGTTCGGCTTCACTTGCTTTGCTCGTTGAAGAGCATGGTACACTGGTCCGAGAGCAGCATGTCCGGTTCTCACAGTCGACCAGCAACGGTAAATAAAAAAGGTGAAGCATTTGGCTAGGAATGAGGCGCGAGCTTCAGATGCTTACAGCATGACTGAAAGCGCTTTGAATTCGAGGCAGAGCTGCTGCAAGAGGTCAGAGAATGTCATGCCCAAATCTTGGATTCCGCTACTGGTAGGGCTTGTAAATCTGCTGAGGGCAAACCCTGGTGACTTGATAGAGCATACAAATTTCAGCGCACTGAAAATGAGGCCATGGTTGCAAGGCGTACTGCTGAGCTTTCAGAATCTCAGGAGGCGAGTCAAAGGGTGCACGACTGCAGAGACATTTTCACCTGGGAACCCCTTTGCATTTTGTTCCTAGGAGTCTTACAGACTGAAGCACCGAATCGGCCTCCTGGAGGAGGAGGCTCGAAGCCAGAGATGGGTATATAATGGTGTATACATGTATATACGATATATCCATTGTCCATTGGTCCACAGTGTCCTCTGTCCATCTCTGTCCTGCCGGATCCGTCAACGCATGACTGTGACCAGGCAAATGCAGCGCAGAAGCTGGCAGATTCTGAGGAACGGAGCCATAGCCTCAGCAACGATCCAAACCGAGTCACTGCCAGTCACTGCCAGTCACTGCCATGAGTGTTTCAACACGTAGTATGTGTGCATATAGTGGAAAAAATGTGCCATCTAGCATGATGGGCATGCTAGAAATGGAGAAGATGGTCTAGAGATCGAATATCAAAGTTGATCTGGGAACAAGGTTGCAGTTTGCTATTGCAGCAGCTTGAAGAAGTTACTGTCCAGCCATGCTCTGAGCGGAGTATGACAAATGCATTTTTTCACGGAAGAGAACAAAGTCAACAAAGCACAGTGTCGGAGAATGTCAGTACGAGGAGTGTCTAGGAACTACCTGTACTCGGTAGGAACCACAAAGTTGTAGGAACTACAAAGTACCTTTGTAGTCCATGTGCAATGCTGCGATTTCTTGCCACAGGTCCATTGAAGCTGCCAGAGAGCCGCAGCCAGAGGCCAGCAGACTATTTTCTCTGGTGCTTCACTTGTGCAACCAAAATATGGATCAACCCTGATCGTTTACATCGTTTTTGAATGTTTGTGAGCTGTTCACAAAGGGATGTTTCAGTATGGAAGAGACTGCAATGACACGAAGTCTTTGGAATTGCGGAATGCCAGGTTCCCCTTTCTCGAACAGAAGTCGCACAGGACCGAGACTTGAACTTTGATGGAAAATATACTGTAGAAATATCTGGAAGCTGTGACTGGGAGGCATTCCAGCTTCGCGATGAGTTGGCTGCTTTGCAGGCCTCAACAAAAAGTAGCAAAGCTGTGTAGCCTCACCGATCATCTTTCTTGGTCTTATTCCTTTCCACTTCAATGGCTTAGCTGTGCATTGTGAAATTTAAGAATCCTGTTGTGAACTTGTCTTGAAATTTCTGAAGGTGCGCCAGCTGCAGGATGAGGCAGGATGGTGTAAGCTGTGAAAGAATTTGTTGTGCTGTTCGAAATGGCCATGAGGAACGATTGCGGCGGGTAGTGGGTGATCACCTCCCAAAGTTAAACGTTCAGATGAAACTCTGAAGGCGGCTGCAGTCAGACGCCAGCTGCAAGAAGTGCAAGGGGCTGCGCATGTCCTCGCCTTGCACTTGGAAACAAGAGCGACTTCGGTGTATATATATTTAGAATATTTAGACGCAAACAACAGCAAACAACCCCTGCCTCTTTGGGCTGCCTCTGAGAATCTCTCATGAAGGAGCTTGAAGGAGTCTTCAATCCCCAAGTCTTTGACGCTTTTCTGCTCGATTCGTTTTGATCGCTGTGGGTTCGCGTCTCTAGGCTGGGAGTCTATCTGGAGGTGTGGCTCATCAATCTGCTGGAGAGACCAACAATGAGAATTTGGGAAGGCAAAGGTTACGTGGGGAAGTTGCACTAGGCTAGGCAAGGATCAAGTGGAACAGGGAGGCACAACAACACCTAGATCACCTAGATATACCTAGTAGATATACCTAGATCTTTATCTCCGAGTTTGGGAGGCGACTCCACGTTCGACTATGACACTCCAATGCGCAGGATCCATGCAGTAGCGAATATCTTGTTTGCTGGTCTGGTAGCACAGATTCAGATGTTATCCATTGTTCTCCCGTAGATTCTGTGACATGTTTGCGCTCCTTGGAGGATAACACAACGAGGCAGGATGCGGCAAGATCTTCATCTAGCCAGAACTTAGCTCGTTCTTTTTTTTAAAACTATTGTACCTCATTGCCTGCCTTTGTTCGAGAGGCCAAGTATCTGCCTTGCCTTTGTCAGCCAGTGTAACTTGGCAGAATCAGGGGTGCTTTCTACAAGATCCAAATGAATCAAGAATCGGGCTTCCTCGGCTAAGTATCCAATTTGGAAGAATATTGGGACGCTGCGCACATCCCAAAAGGTATCCAAGTGTAGGCATCCTGGATTCCTGGTGACAAAGCGCCCAAACACAGGTTTCACCCCACCCTCAAAGCTTGAGGCAGTAAGAGGCAGTAAAGTGTTTTTGCAAAGACCATGTAGCTCCTGCAAGTGGTACTTCAACTGCATGAGAATCCGAAATCTGGGTTGTAAGATTGAAGCCATCAGGCTGTCAGGGTTTCAACTTCCGATAGGTGGGAAGTCCGAGTCCAATGAGTTCCTTGCGAGCCCAAGTAGGGCAGGGTCTCTCAGTGGCCTTGTGGAGCACTGCTTTGTCTGAAGGAAGCTCTGTGTTTTGTCGAGCACCGCATGCACAACGACTTTCTCTAGGTCGCAATGGCCACTACCTTGGGGTCCACCACCTGCAAAGGCTCAGGTGGGGCCGGGGTTCAGAAGCGGGTTGATACATTGTAAACAAGACGCTGTGCGCATGGAAAGAAACACACACGATGGATTTCAAGAATGTGATGGAGAAATTGGTGAGTAGAAGCATCTTAAGATTTATAGCAAGTGGAGTTCGCCGCTACCGGCATGACTCACAGCATGATTGAGAGGACTTGCTTTTTAGCCAAAGTTCAAGTCCAGCTTCTTCCTCTCGTCCTCTGGAGCGATGCTGCAAGTGGTATTGATGTAGTTGCATCTGTGAGGCACCAACACAGTGGTCCAGCATTTTCGTCCTTGTGCTGCAGGATATTTCAGGACGAGTGAGCCATAAAGGCTGAGTTGTCATGGACATTGCGCCCCAACAGCCCAAAGAGGCTTGGCGCCATTTGTCCCGTACGTACATTACAGTTAATGTTCTGGCCTCACACAGGTTGTTTGGCCGTGCTAATGAGAAGGGTGAACAGCTTCGCCCTGCTGAAGTTGTTGCCGACCTGCTACTGGCAGGATAGTCATGGCCGAAAGCAAAGTGATGCCAAAAGGTCAGTCCATTTGTTCGGTCTCATCGGTCTCCAGTCAAGCAACACACTCACAGATTTCAAGGGAAGTTGAATCAGAGCTCTGAGATGCAGAAGTGGTGTGACAAGATCACAAAGCAGAAATGAAGAAGGCACCATCAGGAACTCTTGGCACTGCGATCAGCTTTTAGGCTCAGTTTCTGCCCCGAACAGGGCCTCTTAAGTCCAGGGTGTGCAAAATCTCTGATTGGGTGGCCCAGAAAGGGAGGGTCCTGACATGGCAACTTTGAGTTTCACAGAGGATGAACTCTGCCATGTTTCCCAGGTGGAGAGATGGAAGGTCTTGGCAGCTATGGTGCATCTGCCGGATTCTAAGGGGTTCTGAGGGCAGGGGAAACCGAGACCGCATACCGAATCTAAGGCTGCTCGTCCGGCTGCTGCGGGGCAGCCGGCCACGCAGCAACTCCCAAAGTCTCTCGAACGCAGTCAGATCATGACCTGAGTGGGTGGAAGATTAACGGCTTACACGTCCCCAGTCAATGCCCATGCCAGAAAGTCCACAGGCACTTGCGTGATGATTTGGAGATTCAGCAACTTTGTGCCAATGCCTTAGATCTTGTTTTCTCCTCCAAGACCACGTGACAATCGAATACAATCTAAGTGGTATCATTTGTAGTTTGCAGCCGCCTGCATCAAGATGGATTGGCATGGGGTTTTGTAATTGCGTGCAGATGGATACAAACTTGAGGACCTCTACCAGTCGCAATTGGCAGAGCTGAATGCCTGCCATTCACTCTTGACAGTTGTCCGCGTCTCGAGATTCTAGTCGAAACAGATTGAAATATCTTAGCTTGTGGTATGTCATTGCAATATGTGTCAATAAGGGATCTTCCACCCAAGGATCAGGAAAGACTGGCAACGATGTCTCGCGCTCGGGAGAGCGGACGTACACTAGTCACTTATTCCCCCGGGTCTTTTTTCCTTTGGATTTTCATCATCCTTTTACCACGAGATTGCCTCTCAGGCTCGCCCCATATGTGAATGCCTCTGGTGAACTGGTCATGGAGGAGATGCTTTGCTGTCTGGTTGATCTTCTTGGATGTTCTTGGCAACTGTTATCTAACTTGACTGGAAGATTTGACATCGAATCGCTTTGTGCCCACCAGGCTCCAGATCCGGATGTGATGCTGTTCAAGCATGGCTTGGATTTGCGACTGAAGGCTTGGAGCACGAATCCATGTGTGCTGACAGACTTTTTTGGAAAAATGCAGCAGTTTGCTGCAGGAATTCGAGGAAGACTGCAAGCGCATTCAACAGTCAATGCCCAAGTCCTCACTGAAACACTGATCTCAAGATTTGAACCTTTTTGAGACCTTTAAAGGATTTTAAAGGGATATTCAAAACTTGCAGATCTGAGGACTGAGCAGAAGTTACAAGACAAAATCGACAGCGCTGCTTCAGATTATGAGCAGGTTTTGAGTTCCGCTTGGAATAGCATTACTAATAGTTGAAAAAATGCTGTAAAATAATCAATTGTACAGCTCCACTGCACTTCGAGCTCTTTGTGACAGCTTGAACATTGGGCTTTCATATGCTTTCATTGACTTGCTGAAGAGAGGTCTTTGCTAGCCCCATGCAGGCGATTCATGGGATGGCCACCGCGACAGATGCTCGTATTTTCAAAAGACTCAGAGAACAGCAACGGCAGATCGAGCTGCAGCAACAGGAGCAAGTTGGATGATGGATGTAGATCGTTTTCCTTTGACTCTTGACTTACTGAAATTGTTCGTGCCATTTTCCAGACATCTAGAAATTCGAGCGGGTTCAAGACCCGTTTCCTGACATGGAGGAGATCGACCAAATTCGCTTCGAGAAGGAAATCCTGCCAAGCACCTAGGAAAATCACTGTCCCACCATGCACACGCCAATCGTCTATTGTCAGTTGAGAGTCTGACTCGGATTGGTGAGGCAGGAAGAAACGAAGCGTCTGCGAGAAATCTCCAGAAAGGATGCAATGAGATCCAGGCCAGTGGCTCTGGATGGCTCTGGATGGCTCTGGCATCTCCTTGTGGTTGGAGATCTTAAATCTTGATCAGAATGATCAATAATGACCTAACAGTATGATAGAATATGTTGATATGATATAGTATGTGATATATATATATATGTATATTATACATGTAATACCAATTAACCCCGTATAATATAATGTAATACGTAATACAAATTTAAGGGCTGCCGCCCCTGCCGCCGACCCCGGAAGAATGGTCAACTAACCAGTTTGTTTTCCGATTCTGTTGATTCTGCGCTACCGCGGTACGACCATTTATAAGCGGTTTCTCGATATTCAGAGTTCTCAGCCTGCCGGGGGGCCCAAGGGATCACAAGGAATCCCACGGCAAATTTGAACAGCAGGGTGCAATGGTTTGGATCCCTACTGTACTTAATTACATCTTAAGAATCTTATATAATACTGAATTCTTGTTGTTTTCTTTCATTTTATGATATTTCTTAGGTACGGATTCTTTTTTATTAAATCCCAAAGTGAAAGAGTGGACGCCTGCTGAAATATTCAGGATCGGCAATGTCAGCTAGTTAATAGCTGGACAGTCCATCAATTCCAATTTGGTTCCAATACTTACAATATCAAAATCTATCAAATTGTTGTTTTGGGGGTATCATCTTCCATTTTGAGACACATGCACCCCATTTCTTTTTTTTTGGTGTGTGTGTGTGTAATCATCATTGGGTTTCTTTGCACCAATGGAACGGATGTAAAATGGTGAGATTTTCCAGAGCCAAGGTGGCAGCCAACCTTTTGGGTTTCCATAAATGGAGGATCCCCAATACTAGTAGCATCAATAGCTGAATGGTCTTTTCACGGAGAATCCCAATCTAAAGTGTTTTTTTTTCAATGGGGTACCCTCATTTACGGAAACCACCATGGTTTTTTTGAATGAGGGTTGGTCATGGCGAAATCGAAATCCGTAGGGCTGATCATCGAAAAGGATGATTTGAGCCACTTTTTCCTCCTTCTGCTGCTGCTGCTCCTGCTGCTCCCTCTGTTCAAATGGCAGCTCCCGGATGGGAAAACACCATGGCAGCGAAGGACGGAAAGGCATCAAAATTGCGCGCAAAAAGTGCCTAATGTAACTTCTGAAACCCATAGAAAACGATGATTTTCGCTACTTTGTCCTACGCACGATTGCTGCTGCTGGGAAAACACCATGGCAGCGAGGGACGGAAAGGCAGCAAAATTGCGCCCAAAAAGTGCTTAATGTAATTTCTGAAACCTATAGAAAAGGATGATTTTCGCTACTTTTTCCTCCGCGCTATTGCTGCTGCTGGAAAACACCATGGCAGTGAAGGACGGAAAGGCATCAAAATTGCGCCCAAAAAAGTGCCTAATGTAACTTCTGAAACCAATCGAAAAGAATGATTTTAGCAATTTTTTCCTCTTCCTGCTGCTGCTGCTTCTGCTCCTGCTGCTCCTTCTGCTCCTTCTGTTCAAATGGCAGCTCCCGCATGGGAAAACACCATGGCAGTGAAGGACGGAAAGGCAGCAAAATTGCGCCCAAAAAAGTGCCCAATGTAATTTCTGAAACCCAAAGAAAAGGATGATTTTAGCTACCTTTTCCCTCCTCCTGCTGCTGCTGCTCCTGCTCCTGCTGCTCCCTCTGTCCAAATGCTAGCTCCCGGATGGGAAAACCTGCTGCTCCTTCTGTTCAAATGGCAGCTCCCGGATGGGAAAACACCATGGGCAGTGAAGGACGGAAAGGCAGCAAAATTGCGCCCAAACAGTGCCTAATGTAACTTCTGAAACCCATAGAAAAGGATGATTTTAGCTACCTTTTCCTCCTGCTGCTGCTCCTGCTCCTGCTGCTCCTTCTGTTCAAACGGCAGCTCCCGGATGGGAAAACACCATGGCAGTGAAGGACGGAAAGGCAGCAAAATTGCGCCCAAAAAGTGCGTAATGTAACTTCTGAAACCAATCGAAAAGAATGATTTTAGCATTTTTTTCCTCCTCCTGCTGCTGCTGCTGCTTCTGCTCCTGCTGCTCCTTCTGTTCAAATGGCAGCTCCCGGATGGGAAAGCACCATGGCAGTGAAGGACGGAAAGGCATCAAAATTGCGCCCAAAAAAGTGCCTAATGTAACTTCTGAAACCCATAGAAAAGGATGATTTTAGCTACCTTTTCCTTCCTCCTGCTGCTGCTGCTCCTGCTCCTGCTGCTCCCTCTGTTCAAATGCTAGCTCCCGGATGGGAAAACACCATGGCAGTGAAGGACGGAAAGGCATCAAAATTGCGCCCAAAAAGTGCCTAATGTAACTTCTGGAACCCATAGAAAAGGATGATGTTCGCTACTTTTTCCTCCGCGCTGCTGCTGCTGGCGCTGGTGTTGGTGGTGGTGCTGCTGCTGCTGCTATTGCTGAAAGAAGAGTACCAAAAGCACCTCCCGGTGTGGCAAAGCTACCACATCAAAATTGCGCGCAAAAAGTGCCTAATTTAACTTCTGAAACCCATCGAAAAGAATGATTTTAGCAACTTTTTCCACCTGCTGCTGCTGCTTCTGCTCCTGCTGCTCCTTCTGTTCAAACGGCAGCTCCCGGATGGGAAAGCATCATGGCAGTGAAGGATGGAAAGGCATCAAAATTGCGCCCAAAAAGTGCCTAATGTAACTTCTGAAACCCGAAGAAAAGGATGATTTTAGCCACTTTTTCCTCCTGCTGCTGCTCCTGCTCCTGCTGCTCCTTCTGTTCAAACGGCAGCTCCCGGATGGTAAAACACCATGGCAGTGAAGGACGGAAAGGCAGCAAAATTGCGCCCAAAAAGTGCTTAATGTAACTTCTGAAACCAATCGAAAAGAATGAATTTTAGCAATTTTTTTCTCCTCCTGCTGCTGCTGCTGCTTCTGCCCCTGCTGCTCCTTCTGTTCAAATGGCAGCTCCCGGATGGGAAAACACCATGGCAGTGAAGGACGGAAAGGCATCAGAGTTGCGCCCAAAAAAGTGCCTAATGTAACTTCTGAAACCCATAGAAAAGGATGATTTTAGCCACTTTTTCCTCCTGCTGCTGCTGCTGCTCCTGCTCCTGCTGCTCCTTCTGTTCAAATGGCAGCTCCCGGATGGGAAAACACCATGGCAGTGAAGGACGGAAAGGCAGCAAAATTGCACCCAAAAAAGTGCCCAATGTAATTTCTGAAACCCATAGAAAAGGATGATTTTAGCCACTTTTTCCTCCTGCTGCTGCTGCTTCTGCTCCTGCTGCTCCTTCTGTTCAAACGGCAGCTCCCGGATGGGAAAACACCATGGCAGGGAAGGACGGAAAGGCAGCAAAACTTCGCCCAAAAAGTGCTTAATGTAACTTCTGAAACCAATCGAAAAGAATGATTTTAGCAATTTTTTCCTCCTCCTGCTGCTGCTGCTTCTGCTCCTGCTGCTCCTTCTGTTCAAATGGCAGCTCCCGGATGGGAAAACACCATGGCAGTGAAGGACGGAAAGGCATCAGAATTGCGCCCAAGAAAGTGCCTAATGTAACTTCTGAAACCCATAGAAAAGGATGACTTTAGCTACCTTTTCCCTCCTCCTGCTGCTGCTGCTCCTGCTCCTGCTGTTCAGAAGTTACATTAGGCACTTTTTTGGGCGCAAATTTGCTGCCTTTCCGTCCTTCACTGCCATGGTGTTTTCCCATCCGGGAGCTGCCATTTGAACAGAAGGAGCAGCAGGTTTTCCATCCGGGAGCTAGCATTTGAACCCATAGAAAAGGATTTTAGCTACCTTTTCCCTCCTCCTGCTGCTGCTGCTGCTCCTACTCCTGCTGCCCCCTCTGTTCAAATGCTAGCTCCCGGATGGGAAAACCTGCTGCTCCTTCTGTTCAAACGGCAGCCCCCGGATGGGAAAACACCATGGCAGTGAAGGACGGAAAGGCAGCAAAATTGCGCCCAAAAAGTGCCTAATGTAACTTCTGAAACCCATAGAAAAGGATGATTTTAGCTACCTTTTCCTCCTGCTGCTGAGCTCCCGGATGGGAAAACACCATGGCAGTGAAGGACGGAAAGGCAGCAAAATTGCGCCCAAAAAGTGCTTAATGTAACTTCTGAAACCAATCGAAAAGAATGATTTTAGCAATTTTTTTCTCCTCCTGCTGCTGCTGCTTCTGCTCCTGCTGCTCCTTCTGTTCAAATGGCAGCTCCCGGATGGGAAAACACCATGGCAGTGAAGGACGGAAAGGCATCAGAATTGCGCCCAAAAAAGTGCCTAATGTAACTTCTGAAACCCATAGAAAAGGATGATTTTAGCCACTTTTTCCTCCTGCTGCTGCTGCTTCTGCTCCTGCTGCTCCTTCTGTTCAAACGGCAGCTCCCGGATGGGAAAACACCATAGCAGTGAAGGACGGAAAGGCAGCAAAATTGCGCCCAAAAAGTGCCTAATGTAATTTCTGAAACCCATAGAAAAGGATGATTTTAGCTACCTTTTCCTCCTGCTGCTGCTCCTGCTCCTCCTTCTGTTCAAATGGCAGCTCCCGGATGGGAAAGCACCATGGCAGTGAAGGACGGAAAGGCATCAGAATTGCGCCCACAAAAGTGCCTAATGTAACGTCTGAAACCCATAGAAAAAGATGATTTTAGCTACCTTTTCCCTCCTCCTGCTGCTGCTGCTTCTGCTCCTGCTGCTCCTTCTGTTCAAATGGCAGCTCCCGGATGGGAAAACACCATGGCAGTGAAGGACGGAAAGGCATCAGAATTGCGCCAAAAAAAGTGTCTAATGTAACTTCTGAAACCCATAGAAAAGGATGATTTTAGCAACTGTTTCCTCCTGCTGCTGCTGCTTCTGCCCCTGCTGCTCCTTCTGTTCAAATGGCAGCTCCGGATGGGAAAACACCATGGCAGTGAAGGACGGAAAGGCATCAGAATTGCGCCCAAAAAAGTGCCTAATGTAACTTCTGAAACCCATAGAAAAGGATGACTTTAGCTACCTTTTCCCTCCTACTGCTGCTGCTGCTCCTGCTCCTGCTGCTCCCTCTGTTCAAACGGCAGCCCCCGGATGGGAAAACACCATGGCAGTGAAGGACGGAAAGGCAGCAAAATTGCGCCCAAAAAGTGCCTAATGTAACTTCTGGAACCCATAGAAAAGGATGATTTTCACTACTTTTTCCCTTTGCTGCTGCTGCTGCTGCTCCTGCTCCTGCTGCTCCCTCTGTTCAAATGCTAGCTCGCGGATGGGAAAACCTGCTGCTCCTTCTGTTGAAACGGCAGCTCCCGGATGGGAAAACACCATGGCAGTGAAGGACGGAAAGGCAGCAAAATTGCGCCCAAAAAGTGCCTAATGTAACTTCTGAAACCCATAGAAAATGATATTTTAGCTGCCTTTTCCTCCTGCTGCTGCTCCTGCTCCTGCTGCTCCTTCTGTTCAAATGGCAGCTCCCGGATGGGAAAACACCATGGCAGCGAAGGACGGAAAATTGTGCCCAAAAAGTGCTTAATGTAACTTCTGAAACCAATCGAAAAGAATGATTTTAGCAATTTTTTTCTCCTCCTGCTGCTGCTGCTTCTGCTCCTGCTGCTCCTTCTGTTCAAATGGCAGCTCCCGGATGGGAAAACACCATGGCAGTGAAGGACGGAAAGGCAGCCAAATTGCACCCAAAAAGTGCCTAATGTAACTTCTGAAACCCATAGAAAAGGATGATTTTAGTCTACATTTTCCTCCTGCTGCTGCTCCTGCTCCTGCTGCTCCTTCTGTTCAAATGGCAGCTCCCGGATGGGAAAACACCATGGCAGGGAAGGACGGAAAGGCAGCAAAATTGCGCCCAAAAAGTGCTTAATGTAACTTCTGAAACCAATCGAAAAGAATGATTTTAGCAATTTTTTCCTCCTGCTGCTGCTGCTGCTTCTGCTCCTGCTGCTCCTTCTGTTCAAATGGCAGCTCCCGGATGGGAAAACACCATGGCAGTGAAGGACGGAAAGGCATCAGAATTGCGCCCAAAAAAGTGCCTAATGTAACTTCTGAAACCCAAAGAAAAGGATGATTTTAGCTACCTTTGCTTCCTGCTGCTGCTGCTCCTGCTGCTCCCTCTGTTCAAATGCTAGCTCCCGGATGGGAAAACCTGCTGCTCCTTCTGTTCAAATGGCAGCTCCCGGATGGGAAAACCCCATGGCAGTGAAGGACGGAAAGGCAGCAAATTTGCGCCCAAAAAGTGCCTAATGTAACTTCTGAAACCCATAGAAAAGGATGATTTTAGCTGCCTTTTCCTCCTGCTGCTGCTCCCGCTCTCCTTCTGTTCAAATGGCAGCTCCCGGATGGGAATACACCATGGCAGGGAAGGACGGAAAGGCAGCAAAATTGCGCCCAAAAAGTGCTTAATGTAACTTCTGAAACCAATCGAAAAGAATGATTTTAGCAATTTTTTCCTCCTCCTGCTGCTGCTGCTTCTGCTCCTGCTGCTCCTTCTGTTCAAATGGCAGCTCCCGGATGGGAAAACACCATGGCAGTGAAGGACGGAAAGTCAGCAAAATTGCGACCAAAAAAGTGCCTAATGTAACTTCTGAAACCAATAGAAAAGGATGATTTTAGCTACCTTTTCCCTCCTCCTGCTGCTGCTGCTGCTCCTGCTCCTGCTGCTCCCTCTGTTCTAATGCTAGCTCCCGGATGGGAAAACACCATGGCAGCGAGGGGCGGTAAGGCATCAAAATTGCGCCCAAAAAATGCCTAATGTAACTTCTGAAACCCAAAGAAAAGGATGATTTTAGCTACCTTTTCCCTCCTCCTGCTGCTGCTGGCGCTGGTGTTGGTGGTGGTGGTGGTGCTGCTGCTGCTATTGCTGAAAGAAGAGTACCAAAAGCACCTCCCGGTGTGGCAAAGCTACCAAATCCACACTGTTCACAGGAAAAGTCCAAACACAGGGGCACTGCGGCCGTCAATTTCAAATGGCAAATGGGACAATGTCTTATCACAGGAAAAGTCCAAACACAGGGGCATTGCGACCGTCAATTTCGAATGGCAAATGGGACAATGTCTTATTCCCTGGCTTGCGTCTGCCGGGGTCGGCGGATTCCCTGGCGCGCTCCCCCTTGCGTCTGCCGGGGTCTGCTGCTGCTTCTGCTGCTGCTGCTGCTGCCACTGCACAAAAACACAGCCACACGGCCCTGTAGTAGTAGTAGTAGTAGTAGTAGTCGTCGTCGTCGTCGTCGTCGTCGGCGTCGTCGGCGTCGTCGTCGTCGTCGTAGTAGTAGTAGTAGCAGGAGTAGTAGCAGTAGTAGTAGTAGTAGCAGTAGCAGTAACAGTAGCAGTAGTAGTAGTAGTAGTAGTGCAGTACATCTTCTTCCCTTACGCGCTCCCCCTTGCGTCGGCCGGGGTCGGCGGATATAATATGGAATGATTTCAAATTTCCAACTGAGGGGACAAGCAGGAGCTCAAGGCTTTTCATGCTCGAACTCTCCACTGCGGTGGGCTTTGTGGTGCAAGGCCTGAGGTCGAACTTGTACGGGTTGGCCTGTCCCTTTTACTGTGCCTCACCTGGCATTGGGTCGTTGGTTGCCTGTTACCTGGCTGGTGTGTTGTCTGGTGGCTTTTTCTGTGCTTGGATTTCTGTCAGGTTTGACTTGTTCCCTGCTTGGTCCTCCACTGATACCCACCATTCTCAACCACCACCTGGATTTTCGCCTGGATTTCAGCCGCCCCTTGGACGGGCCAGTTGAGGTTTCTCTGGATATCGCTGGCCTTCGGGTTACTGTCCGTGGGGACTCTGCCAAGGTTGCTGATTTTGTGCAGTTTGTTGGTTCCTTCACTGGTCAGCGTGCGCGGTCCCCTACTAACTCAGTTGGGTCCTTTGAGCTGCTTTGTGAGCCCCCTGCTGCGTCTTCCGCTCCCTCGGGTCGAGTTGGACTTGAAACCCGAGAACAGATATCAGCTTCCTTTGCGGCTTGTCCTGACCGTCTTTTGTCTTGGGGTAACAAGCTGTCTGGTGCCAATCTTGCTGGACGTGATCGTGCCTCGCGTGCCTGGGTGGCTGGTTTGTGGGCTCGTGCTGTCGTGGATCGTAGGGTCCATTCCCCAAACCGCACGCCCCCGCTGGATTTGCGGTCGCAGTTTTACGCTGTGGCTAGGGCTGACTCTGTGGATTGTCCTGTGGTGTTCCGCTCCTCGACATCCTACTGGCGTGCCATCGGCTCACTTGAAGGCAGTTCTTCAGTGTCCCAGTCCTTCCCAAGTGAGGCTGAGTGCCGTATCTACCTCCTTGCTGCAGGTTTCTCGGGGGGCCAACATCCAGTTCTTGCCCTGATCGAAGAATCAATGGCTTTGGATTTGATAGCCGAGTCCCCTCTGACTTTTGCTTCTCTGGTCACCGTGGAGGAGGATCTAGAGCCCTACGTGCTCGAATGGCCCCCAGTTCCAGATGCAGACGGCTCTTCCGAGGCGCTAGTAGTGGTGGTTTTGAAGCGGCAGGCTGGCTTCCTTCTGGCTGTTCCACGAGGGTTCATCCCACAACAAGTTTTGGATCGGGCAAACCAAGGAGTCGATGGAGGTCCAATCGGGCCATCTACTGTTGGAGAGGTAGACGTCGGGAAATTGACGGGAAATTGCTCACAATACATCCCGTAGAGCTTTCCCATAGATGTCGGGAAATTGACGGGAAATTGCGCCACACCAATACCATCCCGCTAGCAGCTTCACATTGTCCCCAAATTGCCGCTTTTTCCGGAAAGCCTCTTCTTTTACTTCCCACCCCCTTTCCATTTCCCTCGCGCCTTAGCTTCACAATACATTTTCCAGTAGAGCTTCCCAGAGACGTCCCGGGACCCTCAAGGAAATTGGGGGAAATTGCCTCCTTACAATACATCCCGTGAGCTTCACCATAGACATCGGCGAAATTGACCCGCGGCAAATGCTCACAAATAAACATCCCCCCCCAATGCCAGCTCCTTGCTTCCCATAGTAGTTGGGACCCATTGGCGGGGAAATGCTCAACAAAAATTCCCCGTAGAGCTTTCCCATTAGCGGGGCACCCGTAGGGAAATGTGGCGGGCAATTGCTCAAATAACCCGTAGAGCTTTCCCATAGACGTCCCCGGGAAAATTGACGGAACCTTGCCTCCCCCCCAACCAACCATCATCCGTGTAAACTTCCCATCAGACGTCGGGGTGAAATTGGCGGGAAAATGCCTCACAATACATCACGTAGAGCCTCCTTTCCCCATGACGCACGTCCTGGACAATTGTTTCACAATACATCCCGTTCCCAAAGCATCCAGTGTATGCAAATAATGCTAACATTCGACAATGTAGTTGATTTTTGATAACATTGGCCTGTTCGAGACCAATGTAGCCAAATTGTGCCTACATTCGATAATTCGATAAATTCGACAATTCGATAACTTCGATAATTCGATAAAAATCACACATAGAGCACCCTATATTCCCACAAATACTTGACTAAACCCCCGCATAAATGAGTTTGGTCCATTTAAACATAAATATTTAGTCAGGCACCGACGGCCTTGACAAAATGTTGAGAAACACATTGCTGGAATTTGGCCTTCAAGAAGAGCCCAAACGAGAATTGACTTCATTTTATGAGACTGGAAGCAACCACCACCATCGCTAACCTTCACTTCCTTGCTTCCAGTTCTTTCTACTGGGGAACTCAACGACAGCTTGCAAGTAGTATTAGTCACTATGTGAAGGCATTGTGCATTGTAGCCATATGTTAAAAAAGGATAAAAAAGGAATGGTGTGGCAAGCCCGTGATTTCTTCCTTTGCTCATCCAATTCATGTTCTGAGTGGGGGTGCGCGTGGTTCAACGGAAAACATGTCAATGTGAACAATCATCTTTCCAACTGCTAGTTTTGGTTTCAACATGCTTCACCAGCTTACACCTACAATAGTTGATCGCTACTATCTACTTGTTGCATTCTAAATGAACATCCTCTCCGTGTTGTGACTTCATGGCTCCACCAAAAGCGCGAAAGGAAGTACCGATGAACTAGAACAACAATCATACATATATTATGAGAGATTGTGAGAGTATGTCATGTGTTTTTGCCTTCAAGCCGTTTGTGGTCTCATGAATATCTGGCTGGCATGGCCAGGCGGCCAGGCTATAGCAAGCAAATCATCTTTTGAATTCAGCGCAACCACGCAATATAATGAAACATGATTCTGCCGAAAGAAACATGTGACAAGTGTGCGCGACCACTCCTGGACATCAACAATTTGTCTTTTAGCAGGTTTTAGCGAGGCAACCACTCTGTCCCAGCATTCATGTTTCATCAAAGGAATCCAGCATATGTACGGTGTAAAGATGTGTAAAGTGTAGCTCAGTGAGTGTGTATGGGTTCTCTCAGTACGACTGTTTCGCGCGCAAACAACTCAAAAACTCATAATATCTAAATGTTGAGGGTTTTTATTTTGTTGTTGACATTGACTGAGGTCAAAAGTTGGGAAACCAAGACAAATACCTTGTTTTTTTTGTTCAAACTGACTTGCCTTTCTTGAAACATTCTTGTTCAAAAAATATACTAAACAAAACTACGTGGTAGGGGTCCCAGAAAAAAGTAGCCACAACACAATTTTGTCATTGAAAAATCACACAGAGTAAATCAAATCACTTGGTGGTTCGCCTTTTCCCCGTTTTGTAATGTATGTTTTTGCAGATATGAATATTTACACCATTTTACATCAAGTAAAGTTACATTTTGAAAGTAATGCAACCTGCAAGCAATCATGAGCAATGAGTGTGAAACGATATTTGCATGTTTGTATACCAAAGCGTTGTGGTATATGATATCATGCTTCTCGTGACCCGCTTTTCTAGATGCGGGGCCTGCCAATTGTTGCACGTTTTGC